ATTCCCACAAATCCCATCACCCTGGGAGTTAGGGCTTCAATACATAATTTCCTGGGAGCTCGGAGAGGCACAATTTTGTCTACTTATCACTGTAACATATAATAATCTTTTGTCTTCACCTGAAGGCGGACCATTACTTTTCCTGTGTCAGGGCTTTGTTGTCTTCTGACTTGTGGCTTCCTGAGTCACCCTTGGTGCCTTCTCCAGCAGCGACTATAGGAGCATAAAGAGATTTTATTCCCTTTCAGAATTTCACTTTAAAACCACGAATGCTCTGTGTGATTGTGTTTAGATTCCTCTCCTTTAAGCATCATTTTGGCTTAGTTCATTAGTAGGTATTGACTATCTGTAAATTTCCAAGTCTTCCAACCTAGTCTCCATCCACCCCTTTCAGTAACATCACTGTACTCCCTGTGGGTAACTTTATCAGAAGACATCTTACATTTAGTTTTTAATGTGAATAGCTGCATAAACCGCTAATATACTTTATCTTCTATTTCCTTGAGTGTTCCAGTCTTAACTGCTATTCCCTCATGGGTTCTTTAGATACACACAGAGTCACACCATTTAAGCCACTAATACAATCTTTAGGGAAGTGCACGGTGAGGTCTTGAGGACCACCTTGCCCGAGCCTTCAATTTTAGGCAACAGTTTCTGTGCTTGGCTGCTTCGGGGTTCTGTCCATCTTCTGAGAGACTGACACAGAAGGTGGCTTCCTGACCGCTGGTCCATTTTACGTTACCTGTGTGTGCATTGTATCTCTGTACTTGTAGCTACGATGACTTTGAAAGGATTTTCTGATGTTTCACCGAAGACTTACCCACCCCTAAGGATTTCTTCCCTGCTATTTTTAGATTTACTGTGTTATGTTATGACAGCTTACCTTAATTTCTGTGATCTGAGATTGCGTGTTGGGCCTTTGAAATTTTTATCTATTCTGAAATTTGTTCTGAATAATCCTACTTTATTTCTTTCTTCCTTTCCAAGTATGTAAAAAAAATTATATTGGGCTGGAGAGATGGCTCAGTGGTTAAGAGCATTGCCTGCTCTTCCAAAGGTTCTGAGTTCAATTCCCAGCAACCACATGGTGGCTCACAACCATCTGTAATGAGATCTGGTGCCCTTTTCTGGCTGGCAGACATACACACAGACAGAGTATTGCATACATAATAAATAAATAAATAAATAAATAAAAATTATATTTTAGAGGAGAAAAGTATGCATTAGCTCTACTTCATTATCAGTTCAGTAACTCGTTAATTAAACATTTCAGGGGCCACCTCCTGGTTCAGTGGGTAAGCGGAATGCAAGCCTGGCAACCTAAGTTCACTGCCAGGAGCTCTTGTAAAGATGGAATGAGAAGCACATTCCATAGAGCTGTTCTGACCTCCACGTGTGCACAGTGACACATGCCCCACAAGCCCTGTGTAGCATCTATGCAAAATAATCATTAAGTAAGTAACATTTACTGAAACCCCTTTAACTCGGATTGTGTTCAGTTTATGCAGCTGACCCCTCTATAGTGTGATATGTTAAATGTACTCTTCCCTCCCTACCTGTCTGGTCCTCTTCCATTCCTACACATGCACAGCCTGTGGCTTGTTCTCCGTCTTGGAATTCATGACTTTCTGATTTCTGTGTTTTGTTGTTTCCCAGAATTGCACCCAGCTCAGTGAAAAATGTCCTATTCCTGCTCATACCTAGGCCTCGGCTGTTCTTACAATCTTGTATTCATAGTTTGGATTTTTGTTCTTTGTTCTGCACTGCTTTCAGTTTTTCTCTATTCCAGTTTTTATTCTCACTGCTCCCTCTAGTTGTTGTTAGATGGTATTTTTTGACAGTTGCCCTGGAGAGCCCAGACTTCTGGTCCAGTCCAGTGCTTCCTTCCCTTGTTTGCTAACGTTGGGATAAGAGTTGAATTAGTAGGGGCTTCCATTATCAATGTACAGATACCTGTATCCGCCAGAGAGAGAAGAACATATATGGATTGCATACCTCAGACAAGATGCATAAACAGACACAGTATTATTATTATTTTATTGCAATCTCTTCTCTCCTCCCCTCATATGGACAAGTATGACCTTGAATTAATTCCTTTTTGGATGGATTTTCACTGCTGTTCTTTTTTTTTTTTTTTTTTTTTTTTTTTTTTGGTTTTTCGAGACAGGGTTTCTCTGTGGCTTTGGAGCCTGTCCTGGAACTCCCTTTGTAGACCAGGTTGGTCTCGAACTCCCAGAGGTCCGCCTGCCTCTGCCTCCCGAGTGCTGGGATTAAAGGCGTGCGCCACCACCACGTGGCTTCACTGCTGTTCTTAATAATTTATCTTTATGTGGGTTGGTGTGAAGATTTCATATGAGATCCCATGGATTTGCATACAGACGGGTATAAACTGCCATGCAGGTGCTGGGAATTGTACCCAGGTCCTCTGCAAGAACAGCCAGTGCTCTTAACCATTTGAGCCATTTCTCCAGCCACAGACACAGTATTATTAAGTCACTTTCCACAGGGGATGGGATAGTAAGTATGAACTAGCTCTCTTCAGTGAGGGATTGAAATTAATTTAAACATACATGGCTTCACTGTGGATTTGCTTTTAGATGTGAATTTGGTTGTCTTGTTAGAAAGCTGCTCTATGCATTCATTATTGTGTATCAGCTTAGCTCTGACATTTCTTACCTGGTTAAAGAGTAAAGCTTGGAACCTACAACGCAGTATTTCTTGGAGATCCACGTTTTACTAAACAAATCAAGTGACTTGGAAATGATCTTTCAGTATAGATGAGTAACAGGGAGAACTCATTAATACTAAGTGTCTATCAAGGAAAAAAATGTCTGTGCTTCTTGAAGTTAAGAGCCAGCCTTACTTTCCAGCTTGACACTAGATCGGTTTCATTACCTTTTGGCCTGCTCTTCTATACCCAGTTCTCTTTGATGCCAAAGATCTACAGTAAGAGACCCTGAGACAGCTGCTGGTGGCGCTGCTGGTTTGCTGGGAAGGGGAATTGGATTGGTGGAACTGACGATCCCTGCTGATTTGGGCATATTTTATAACAGAGTGGGCTGATGTAGATTAAAGTCATGATGATGCTCCGTGGGTGAGGACACTTGCTGCCAAGCCTGGTGACCTGTTTGGTCCCCTAGACCATGATGTAGAAGGAGAGAACCAGTGTCTTCACATTTAAACTCTCAACATTGAAACTGTTCAAAATCAGGTTTCACGATTAATTGAGGCTAAGTTGCAGATAATGAATATTCCAGATTTAATTTAAAATTCTAAAATCTAAATCTAGATTTAAAATTCTGCTTTAGAGAAGCCTGAGGACCAGGTGGTGATGACAGATGCAAGGTGGATCTCTGAGATTGAGGCTAGAAAGTGTAAACGAAGTGAAAAACAAGACAGTTTTCTTTTTTATCTGCAGTGATCTCTGGGGTGGTGCTTGAGCTCAGGGTTGCCAGGAACCTGCTTTTACCATCCTTCCCTCTGTCATTGTGTGGCAGGTTCATACCGCATCTAAGTCATGGAAGAACTTCATAATTCTAGCGCTGTCTCCTGAGCTGTGGGTATTCTTAACTATCCTGTATTCATACGTGAGCTTTTTATACTTTACTCGACACTGTTGCCAGTCTGTCTACTCATAGTGACTGCAGCCTTCGGAATGTAAACAAGTGATGCTCCTTTATTTCTCAGTGATCCATAAAGTTGCTTTTGTATATTTCTTTCTGCCCAGACACTTAGGAAAGCTTTAATCTCCTCCTCAGTCCAGTACTTTCCAACTCCACACCCCATATTGAAAGTGATCTGGAAATGATTCACTATTTCTAGCTAACATTGTGTTTCCTAGGAAACTAGGGGCCTGGTTGTCAATCAGTGCCTGAGAGCTTGAAAGGATGTAGTTTTAACTGGTTCAAGCTGCCTAAGGGAGTAACTTGAGCATCTGCCAAATGAGCTGGCTTGTTGGTTAAAGAACTCAGGACCTAAATGATTGCTAATCTTACTGGTTTGGGCTTTAGGGGAAATTTACCTTTGGGGCAAAGGAAATAAATGCAAACGATTTTTGAAGTATTTCTTTTCTTATATATTTTTGGCTTTATTTAAAGTGTTTTTTTTTTAATTACTTGGAAATGGTTGGCAGTGGCTTTGGGGATTTTTTAAATGTTTATAGTTAATATTAATAACTCTACATTTAAAAAGCATTACATTTTGTGCTGAATGATAGCTTATTGTGTAAGGGCACTTGTTATTGCATGGGAAGGACCCAGGTTTGTTCCCAACATCCACATGGCAGGTCACAAGTGTATGCAGCTTCCTTTCCAGGGGATCTGACAGCACCCTCTTCTGGCCTCCGTAGGAGCACCAGGCACCCACGTGGTACACATCCATACATGCAGGCAGAACATCCATGCACAGAAGATAATAAGAAATTGAATTAGATTTTGACTGAGCTCCATACCTCATGCTAACTTAAAGACCATTGTTTCATGTGGGTGACGGTGCACACCTTTAATCCAGTATTTTAACTCTGAGTTTGAGGCCCTCTTGCTATACATTGCAAGTTCCAGAAGAGGCAGAACTACATAGAGAAATGGAGTGGTGTTTATTGGAGAAAGTTTTCAAAGTGTGAAAAGCAGAAGACAAAAGCTTGAACTGTGTGTGCTAATTAGTACTTCAGGTCCCTGCACACTGGAGGTGTGCACCCATGTACTCAGGAGCACCTGTAATCCCTGCAGCTGGAGATGTGCCCCTGTGTGCCCACAAGCACCTGCAGTCCCCCAGCTGGAGGTGTGCCCCTATGTACCCACAAGCACCTGCAGTTCCTGCAGCTGGAGGTGTGCCCCTGTGTGCCCACAAGCACCTGCAGTTCCTGCAGCTGGAGGTGTGCTCCTGTGTGCCCACAAACACCTGCAGCCCCCCAGCTGGAGGTGTGTTGATGCATGATGGTGAGCACCTGCAGTCCCGTGAAGCTTGCTGATTTGACAGACGATCCATTCCTTTGTTCACAGGGGTCAAGAGAGCGCTGGCATTGTGACCAGTGATGGGAGTTCAGTGCCTACATTCAAGGTGCATAAGGTAAGTGTGAGCCCTAAATCCTGGTGATATTACAACCAACTGTTGCCAGCTGGTCATTGGTATCTGGGGTGGGGCTAGGCACAGGAGTGTGCATCTTTAATGTCAGGACTCGGGATGTGGAAGCAGGTGGATTTCAGAGTTTGAGACTAGTTTGTTCTGCACAGTGAGTGAGTTTCAGGCCAGACTTGGCTACACAGTAGATGTGTTTTCTAGGTAAACAAGTCAGTAAATAAGTAAAGTGTGGGGATATGAATAAAATTGGAACTAGAACCGTTTGGATCAGCAAACTGGATGATTCTTGGGTCAGTCTACTTCCAGCTTTGTGTCCTCGCATTGGTCCAGTTAGGGTGTATGTCTTCCCCAGTGATGTTTCGCTAACCAGTGCATGCAAGCCAAGGGGTCCATCAGTTTCAATACTTTTAGGAATCCTTTTTTTTTTTTTTTTTTTTTTTAAAGACAGGATTTCTCTATAACTTTGGAGTCTGTCCTGGCACTCGCTCTAGACCAGGCTCACCTCTAACTCACAGATCCGCCCGTCTCTGCCTCCTGAGTGCTAGGATTAAAGTCGTATGCCACCACCACCCAGCATAGTTAGTGTCATAAAATAGAAGTGTCTCAATGCTGTGGCAATCCTGAAAACTAAATTGCTAAGTTCTAAATGAATTTAATGTGAAAACCTGGAGTCCAGTTTAAATCCACTAGAATTCTGATGCACAGAAGACCATGAAATGCTTGTCTGTTTTGGATTGCCCATGCCTAGTCTTGTCATTAGCAATACCAGTTTCTGGTTTTTCTTAACATTTGCTTTTACATTAACTTCTCAAGGGAATGGGTCTTGTAAATGACGTTTTTACTGAAGATAATTTGAAGAAATTGTATGTCTCAAATCTTGGAATTGGTCATACGAGATATGCCACGACGGGAAAGTGTGAGCTGGAGAGTTGCCAGCCATTTGTTGTTGAAACTCTGCATGGGAAAATAGCTGTGGCCCATAACGGTGAACTGGTAAATGCAGCTCGGTTAAGGAAAAAGGTGAGTGGGTTCTTTACTGGCTCCTTGGGTGTTATGATAGTTAATGAAAAGACACTGATGATCTAGATCTAGGGCATCTTCTAATTATTGCCACTTGTTACCTCTGTTCAGGAAACCATTGCATCAGAATTGCCCGGCACGCTTGCTCTGACTCCAGATTCTTGTACTCCCCAGGCGACTGGAGGCAATGCCACTTTAGTGCTGTGATTTAGACCATTGATTTATGGGGCTGTCAGCAGCATGAGGAATTGCTGTCAAGATCCTCTTATTGCTTTGTCCTCTGTTCAGAGTTTGTGTGAAAGGAAAACTAAGCATTGTTCCCTGCGTCCAGACTCTGCACAGCATATTGCTATGACCAAACATGGAATTTCTTAAACCAGCCTGTTGGAGGCCTGTCGTTCCAATCCCCTCTGGTCCCATATGTTAGAACTCATTCTCATGAGGCTAAAGCCCAGTTCAGATGCCCACTCCAGTCTAGGCCCTGAGCACTCAGGGCCTATAGGCTGTACACTGAGTTCCCACATCCCCTCCTTGATTCCACTTGGTAAGGGAGTGACTCGTGGAACTCAGAAAAATGCTTAATTTATGCATATTAATTTATTGACCCCTGGAAACCACTCTGCAGGCACCAATCAGAAGCTCCATGGACCCAGTCTTTTAGTCCTGTAGCTTGACCTTTGCTGGTCAACTTGAGCTTCAAGGACTGTTCTCCTTAGAGGTCTGGTCTAAGACTGAATGTAGCCCTCTGTTCACACCATTGGTTTCCATGGTAGCTGCCCTGTATCCTGACACTGTCAAGGAACATCTAACCACCAGACATAACATTATTATATTATTATACAAATTTCTTTAGTGGCCAGGCAGTTTGGGGATTCTGTGCCAGGAAAGATTAGGCTGAAATTGATGTGTGTTTGGCTTTTTTTGGCTCTCTGTGTCTCTTAAATGTAGATAAAAATATTTGGAGTTGAAAGTAGAAAACTGTCTATTCTGAACATGTATAGTGTTCTTCCTCGTTAGTCCCCTGAATAACCTGACAGTAGTTACAATGTGCTTGTTACTGTAAGAGTAGAAAGAGGATTTTAAGTAGGTTTTGTTTGTTAGTTTTCCTTTCTGGGAGTTGGACCCAAGACGTCATGTGTGCTAGGCAAGCACCGAGTCACTGAGTTATGTCCTCTGCCCACGTCAGTGTGTTTAAGGGATCGAAGCATCTGTGGAGTTTGGTTTGTCTAGGGTTATCCCTTATTTCTGACTCTTTTCTCGTGACCGGGTCTTACTGTTGCCCAGGACACATAAGTAGATCTAGCTAACCTGAAACTCCCCTTGGTCCATCTTTCAAGTTCTGGGATTACGGGCATTTCCGCTTCTGAACAATCTCAGGAAAATGCAAAAAGAAAGTGGACTATAGACTCAGAAATCTTTATCTGACATGCTTAGGTGGGAGGTCTTTCAGATTCTGTAGTGTTTGCACCTGATGAACTGCAACCAAGTCAACGTGTAGCTTATATATCGTGGTACAAATTTAACATGTTGGCTAAATATAATTCTGTGTGCTTTTTGTTTGTTGGTTGGTTGGTTTGTTCAGCTGAGCTCTGCTCTGTTCACGGAGAAGTCATGAAGATGCAAAGTATCAACAGTTCTGAGCCCACGGGGTCAGTGTTACCACCCTGGGCTTTACGTGCCCGTGGCCCAGCTTCTAGTGTTACAACCCTGAGCTCAGAGTGTTGGGTAGGCACAGCTGGTGACTTCTGGCAGCCTGGGAACCCTTCCAGCAGTTGGGTCTGACAGCTTCTCCACAGCTCTGCTGCCTCTCACCTTCTCCATGCTGCCCTCTGTCCTTTTGATTTTGTGGATATGCGTGTGGGTCTGAGCGTATGTGTCCTCCCACATACATGATGGTGCCTCAGGAAACCAGAAGAGTGCATCAGATCCCTGGGTGCTGGAGTTCTAGGTGATTTTTGAGCTGCCATGTGGATGCTGGGAGTCGAATCTGTGTCCTCTTAACGGCTGAGCCATCTTTCCAGCCCTTTCCACAGGTCTCTATAAATCTCTGAAGTCTTTGGTAGCTGTGGTCCTGACCACCCCCTTGAACTCTTTAGCCTTCTTTGAGTTGTTGCTGGGTGTCCCTGGGATGAGGAACCCCAAGGGACTAGGTGTTCCTCACACAGCCCACTCAGCCTACTGGACCCATAACGAAAGGCCCTAAATAAGCAGCAAAACTAATCAAATTGGTGACTTTGCTGCAGCCAAGGTGCGGTGGGCAGGAAGTGTCCCAGACAGACGCCCAGAGGCTGAGAGGAGCCTAGCTTACATTTGTGGACTACCTGACCTGATGCAGAGTTCCTGCCCTGGGGAGCTGTGGACAACTGCAGTGGGGTTGGAATATCTAGATGGCTGCGAGGTGCGGGCTGCAGGCTGGATTGTGTGAAGGATCTCTGAAGCTGTCAGGGCCTAGGAACTTTTGAGAGTTCTTGGCAATTGGCAAGCACCCCTTTTCCCCTCCCCGTCTGAAATTAGTCTCAGTGGAGTCCACTGTTGGCCTGGTTCTCCCTAACGTTATCCTGACCCATTTATTTGGCAACTCTCAGGATTCCCCTGAAGATGGTAAAAGCTGAAGCTGGCTGTCACTCTTTCCAGGAAACATCAGGCACTGCATATCAGGTGGCACTCCCAGCAGAGGTCCTCCCAGCCCCGCCATGATCTGGGGCCTCAGAGATCACAGTAGCAGCTCTGTAGCCGGTGTCTCTGCTTCTGTTTCTGCTGTCGTCAGGCAAATACTGGGTGGCTCTCCGGTAACTGCTGCACTGGCCAGCCCAGGAAACGACTGACAGCTGTCAATCATGGATGAGTGTCCAGTCCTGACAGTTTCCTTTCTTTGAGCTGACGAGGGAGGGGGACTTGATTGGTGGGAGGGGGAGGAATGGGAGGCGGTGGGGGGAGGATGAGACAGAAATCTTTAATAAATAAATAAATTAAAAATAAAAAAATAAAGAAATAGGTAATGGGTGTGGTTACAGAGTGGTGGCTGTGGACTCGTGACCTCTTCGCCCTTTGGAGGAGCCTTTGGAGCATTCTGGTGTTTTGAATTAGAAAATACTCTCTATGTTTTTGAAACTTAAGAAGCCATGTGAGGAAAATGAGTACAAACTTGAAAATGATAAATTTGAGACAAGTATAAACTGGAAATGAGCACAGGAAACCAGAATCTGGTGGTCGGGGCGGAGTTCTTGCTCAGGCAGCCTGTCCATGGCACGTTGTTGGGGACCTTCGTCTTTTAATGGTGTCCAGTTTCTGTGTGTACGTGGTCATTTCATCAGTTTATTGCTGATTACGCAGCATCTTTATATTCCTGGTAGCCCCTTTTGGTCTATTTGTTCATTCAGTTATTGCTCTCTGCTTCCTCCAGTTCATTAGTTCTAGTAACCTTCCTTTGGTAACTTCAGGACCAGGTGGTGGTTAGTATTAGCATGTATAGTGCTAATATACCCACATACATGCACATTTTGTTTAGAATTTTTAGAGCTGATATTTCACATATGGTAAGTTGTTACAGAAATTGAATGATAGTGAATTGTTGGTTTCAAATACCTAGAGCCAGACTTCATCATTACCCATGGCCTGTCTGTTTTCTATTGTAGTGTTAAGTAGCTCCCGCAGCTCTGCTGTGCCCTCTTGGTGAGCAGTGGCATTTGTAGTGACTATAACGTACATCTCTGTCCACATATTGAAAATATGAAAATGAGTATTGTTAAAAATTTAGGCAATTCCAAAACTTTGAATATGAAGTAAATAACCAAAGTTGACTGCTTAAAAATAGTCATCACCGGGCTGGAGAGATGGCTCAGTGGTTAAGAGCATTGCCTGCTCTTCCCGGCAACCACATGGTGGCTCACAACCATCTGGAATGAGGTCTGGTGCCCTCTTCTGGCCTGCAGACATACACACAGACAGAATATTGTATACATAATAAATAAGTAAATATTAAAAAAAAGAAAAGATCTTTAAAAAAAAAATAGTCATCACCAAGAATTCAATTCTAAAGAATATACACATCACTTTTTCCAGACCTATCTTTACCCATTTAGCTATCCACTGAAAATGCTTTTTTGTGTCCACCTAATTATCCTCCACATGCTTGTGGAGCAGCTTCCGGGTTAATTCTGTGCAGAACTTCGTGATGATAGAGTGCACTCACCCGGTGTTGATTAGCTATCGCCTCCATTTCGTCCTTTGAAGTGTTGATCCCTGTCTGCTGTCAGTGCTCACAAGTATGGGTGTTCATTTATGCCAGCAGCGCACTCAGTTTGAGAGTCACGGGCGCAGTTTGCTGCTCTTCGGGAAGGAGTGTGCCCTCTTCAGGGTTATGGAGGGTAGAAAAGGCGGCCCACAGTTCAAGCCACCCATACTCACTTTTGCTTTGTGTCTGCTAAAGCCCTTTTCTGCCTGGCTTTGGAGACTTCCCATTGCTCTCAGCAGTAGTACCCTGTCACGAGTATGCACAAACAGTAAGTGGGGTTTAGGGGTTGTCACTTCGTATCTGTAGGATGTCTGGTTTCTATTACTGTTGGACAATAGCGGTCTAACTATGAGCCTTTTCTCTCCCATAGCTTCTGCGTCATGGCATTGGGCTTTCCACGTCCTCTGATAGTGAAATGATTACCCAGTTACTTGCTTACACTCCTCCCCAGGAACGAGACGATACCCCAGACTGGGTCGCAAGGTAACTATATAACTAGCTGACACTTGCAGCTCTGGCTATGAGAGCTTAACTTGTACAACATGTTAACAGCCAGGTTGATTCATTCAGTTACTTGTGGTTCCAGGATTAAGAACTTAATGAAGGAAGCGCCCACTGCATACTCTCTGCTCATAATGCACAGGGATGTCATTTATGCAGTGCGTGATCCATACGGAAATCGTCCTCTCTGCATTGGTCGTCTTATTCCAGCTTCTGATTTGAATGGCAAAGGTAATGAGCTTCAGTAGGATTCGATATTAATAATCTTTTCAAAATCATTGCTTCTATTGGCAAGATTTCTCCTTTCTCCCTTTTTCTTCTATGAGCTCCCAAAATCTGTGGATACAGGAAGCAAGGGAGGAAAGAAAACACAGTATCTTTATTTCCTTTATGTTTAAAGTTTCTGTGAGTGTGTATAACATTGTATGTAGGTGTGTGCCCCTGTGCCGTTTCTGTGTCTAGATCTGGTATCGTCCTCTATCACTCTTGACCTCTTCCTGTGAAGCAGGGTCTCTCTCTGCATTTGGAGGTTGCTTGCAGCCTACCTTAGCTGGAGTTACAGGGATGTGCAGGATGCCAGGCTTATTTTGTGGGTGCTGGGATGGGAACTCCGGTCCTTATGATTTCACAGCAAGCTTTCTAGCTTTTGATGTCTTTTAAAGATGTGTGCATGGGGTAGAGGCATACACATGTATGAATGCATGGAGGAGTGCTTGCCTGTGCGTGGGTTGAGAGAGGCCAGAGCTCAACTTCCATTATCGTCTTCCCTTGCTTTCTGCTTTACTTTTTGAGATGGGATCTCACTGAAACCTGAGCTCACTGTTTTCAGCGAGGGTGGATGGCAGTGAGTTCTCTGGGTCTCTCCCAGAGGTGGGGTTCCATGTGACCACTGGCATGCTCAGCCTTAAGGAGTCACTGGGATCCAAATTCAGCCCCTCGTGTTCACATAGCAAACACTTCACTCACTGAACCACCTCGCTGGCTCGCTCCTTGTTTAGTTTTAAAGTGTATTTCCCAGGCTGTGTTTGACTCCTCTTGTATTTAATACTGTATTCCTATTTTTTTTCAGAATTGCTAGTTCATATTTTTGCCTAACTATCTTTTTATTTCTGCAGTGATTTTTTCTTTGTGACATATTGTCTGTATTATTCGAATCATCTCATAATGCTATCAGGAATCTTGGATTATTTATTATATCATACTGGAACCAGCTGCTTTTATTGTGATGCTAATAATACCTTTTATATATTTGATGTTTAACTATTCTCATGAAGTTGTTTCCTTTTTTAAAGCTCTTTTTTAAAAGTTACTTTACAATTTTGTGTTTAAATCCACACAAATAGCAGTGGCATGGTGGGGGCGGGGGAGTCAGAGGACCTCCTGCTCAAGCTTGGGATTCCTTTCCCCACTGCCACGTGGCTCCCAGGATTGATCTCAGTTGTGAGATGTGGAAAAAAATCACCCTTGACCTGTGAGCCCTGTCATTCGCCTGAAAACCTCTTTTAAAAAATTTCCTTGTGGGAACTGGGGGTGTAATTTTTTAATATAGTGCTTGCCTGGGATGTGCAAGACTCTGTTTGGGCTTCTATTCTGGGGGCGCCATACTAAAAGCAAACAGAAAACAGAGACGTTCCTGTACCCAGTGACTGAAATGATTGTCTTGTGGTTTCTAGAGAAGAAATCTTCAGAGAGTGCAGGATGGGTGGTGTCTTCCGAGTCGGGCAACTTTCTCTCTATTGGCGCAAGGTAAGTTGTATCCTCTTTATTATTTCATGTTGTTTTTACATCATGAGGACATTTTTCTGCCAAATTTGATAATACATGCTTGTAGTTTTGGCTTCCAAAAGCCTGAGGCAGGTTGATTATAAGTGTAAGAAGAACCTGAATTCTATTTATGACCACCCTGTCACCCCACCTCCAAACAAACAAACAAAGAAACCAGATTGGACAGGGGAAGGGGGGAGGGAAAGAATAGAACTGTTTTATTCAGACATAGTGATGCACACCTTATAAGTGCCGAACAGGCTAGTCGTGATTTTGAACATGGAAAATCATTTGAACCTTGAACTCTGGAGTTCAATACCAGCTTAGGCAAATGTGTATCCAAAAAAAGAGGTGAAGAAATGTATGGCCAGGTGGTGGTGGCACAAGCCTTTAATCCTAGCACAGGGGGGCTGGAGAGATGGCTCAGTGGTTAAGAGCATTGCCTGCTCTTCCAAAGGTGATGAATTCAATTCCCGACAACCGTATGGTTGCTCACAACCATCTGTAATGAGGTCTGCTGCCCTCTTCTGGTCTGCAGACACACAAACACAGACAGAATATTGTATACTGTATACATAATAAATAAATAAATATTTAAAAAAAATCCTAGCGCAGGGGAGGCAGAGGCAGGCATGTCTCTTTGAGTTCAAAGCCTGGTTTGAGCAAGTTCCAGGACAGCCAAGGCTCTACAGAGAAACCCTGTCTCGAAATACCTTCCCCTACTCTGAAAGAAACAAAGACTAAATGAAATGAGTTTGGGAATTATTGTTTTTAAAGGGAGGTGATTGGTATTATTTTCATGACCAATTTCTTTGCTATAAGACAGCACCTGTGAGTAGTGTCCATAGCAACTGTACTGACTTTAATGTCCCAGTGCCACTTTCTGGTTCTGAAAATACTTTCTTTCAAAATGCCACAAGTCTCCAACTTGATTTGATTTTTTTATTTTTTAAGTATGGCTGTGTTTGCGTTTGATTCCATGTCTCTCACTAACCCAGGCCACCCTGGAATCTGTGGCATTTCTCTTCTGCCTTCCGAGGGCTAGGACTACAGTTTGAGACACAATGCCCAGCTTAGACAATTTAGTTTGATGATTTTATAATGACATTTATTTAGTTGTGTGGGGAAGGACACATTTGGAGGTCAGAAGATAACGTGCAGGGGTCAGTTCTCTTCTCCTAGAGATCAAATCCATGTCTTTAGATTTAGCGACAAGCACTTCTACTAAAATGGCTAAAGTCTTACTATCCAAAGTAGGGACTTGGGCTGGGAGAAGGCTCTGTTGGTAAAGTGCCTGCTGCCTGAGCAGTGGACCTGAGCTTAGATCCCAACACTCAAGGGAAAGTTGGTTGCAGTATAATCCCAGGACCTGAGGGGCGACTGGGGAGAGGTTTCTCGTTTGTTTGTTTTACATTTCTTTATTTTGTGTGGTGAAGGGGTGTGGGTGCCACAGGGCACCTGTGGAGAGATCAGAGGACAAGTTGTGAGAGTCAGTTCTTTCCTTCTGCTGTGTGGGCTCCAGCAATCAAACTCAGGTCCTCAGACTTGGAACCAACTGTCCTTAACCGTACTGAACAATTCACTGCCTCTTTAGGTCATGCTCTTAAGAATAAAGTAAGCCAGGCGTGATGGTGCATGCCTTTAAATCTGGCTCTCAGGAGGCAGGCAGCCGCATCTCTGAGTTCAAGTCTAGTTTGGTCTAGGAGGGCTAGTTACGGGACAGTCAGGGCTGACAGAGAAACCCTGTCTCCAAAAAACAACAACAAAAAGAATTAATCTTTACTCCTCTCAAAAAACACATAGTTACTTTCATAGTGAAGTGATATTATAGATTATATTGTATACCGTATCAAGATTTGTCAGTGGGCACATGAATGAAAGTACTGACTGGCTCCTTTATTGATAAAATAAGTCCCTTATTTTTAACATTTTTATTTTAAGAGTAGCAGGGTTATATAGTCTTTTCTTTTGCCTTATAAAAATTAGCATATACTCATCGTATAAAATGATAGATTTCACAGATGTCTTCTGTTTGTTTGTTCTAAGATATTCTCATGAAGTCAAGCCTGGAGAAATTGTAGAAATATCCAGGCACGGTGTCAGAACTCTTGATACGATTCCAAGGTCTGAAGGAGACCCAGTGGCTTTTTGTATCTTTGAATATGTTTATTTTGCAAGACCAGACAGTATATTTGAAGGTAAGTCATTTCTTTGACTCTTTGTATGAATTTCATTTATCTCATTGAGACATGACAGTTCTTGGCCAAAGGCTTGTGTGGCACTTGGGAAGCATATGGCTCAATAGGAGCTATGAATATGTCACTGAGCTGCAAATCATAATCACCCTTCTTTTCAACTCTTACATTCTATTGTTTTTCTTTGTTTTTTTTTGTAATAAAGGGTATAACTTTCAAATACATTTTATGGTGGAATTTTGTATATATCACACAATTGAATCTCTTAGTTTATGTCTTTCTACTTTATTGTTTCTGTATTTTTTGTTCAATCTATAAAATCCTTACACCAGCTTTTTAGAAACCAATATTGTTCTCAGTTAAGACAATCTTATTCTTTTCCAACCATTCCAGGCCAGATGGTTTATACAGTAAGGTACCGCTGTGGCCAGCAGCTGGCGATTGAAGCGCCTGTGGAGGCAGACTTGGTTAGCACGGTTCCAGAGTCGGCTACACCTGCAGCTCTTGGGTATGCGGCAAAGGTATTGACTTTTAATTATTCAGTGAGTTGTTCTTCTGTCTTTCAAATACATACGGATTAGAACGGGAAAATTCACCAACTTACTGTAAGAAGGAAATGTTGGGGTCTAATGTTGATTCCTGTTCAAGAATTTTTAGCCGTTTCTTTCAACAAAATGTGGGCTGAGATATTGGGTGGTGGGTAAAGGCTGACATGTGAGTTTGCTACCTAAGACTCTGAAGTAATAAGAGTGGCGGGGCTGCGTTCCCAGCACCCCGGCTGCCTGCTCAGCTAGCTTATGCCCCGAAATAACAACACACAAACTGTATTCATTTAATCACTGCTTGGCCCTTTAGCCCTAGCCCTTACTGGCTAATTCTCACATCCCGATCAACCCATCTCTAATAATCTGTGAGAACCGGTCTTACCGGGAAGATTCTAGCCTAGTCCATCCTGGGTCGGAGCTTCATCGCTTGTGTCTGCCAGGGAACAGGGCATGGCGTCTCTGCTGAGGCGTCTGCTCCGGAGAGCAGAGCTGTGGAGTCTCTCAGCTCACTTCCTCTTCCTCCCAGCGTCCTGTTCTGCCTACTCCTCCCATCTATCCTCTAACCAATAAAATGGGCCAGGGCAGTACCTTTATTAGCTAATTACCTTCCTCCATCATTTCCCCTTTTTCGGTTTAAACCAAAAAAAAAGCTTTAACTTTCACATAGCAAAATTACATATAACAAAACAGTTATCAAGTAAAAGTTACAATAATCTTTATCATAACTAAGGAAAACTATAACTATAACCAACTATTTTTTAACTCCATCAAAGACTCCAGAAAGATACAATACTACATAAGCAAACAGGAAAAAAGCAACTTTTAAAACTCTAGAAATGATAGAGACATCTCGCTGCCTGGACAGTCACCCAAAGTTCCTCTGTACCGTTGGGGCATCCATCTTCAGCCTTCAGACCCATGGTATCCAGCAGACATTTCCGTAAAGCAGGAAAATTCAAAGTCAGTTCAGCCACTATCTGTTGTGTCCTGCAGAATGTCTCGCAGACTCTTTCATGAATCAGGAACCCCGAAAGATCATCTCACCTTAGGCAAGTTCAGTAGTCCTCTCTCTGCGGGTTCTCTGTGTCCAGTTTATGCAATAGTCCAGGCAAGAGCAGTTTCTTGCCCAAATGGCTATCAAACTCCATAACGAGCCTCTTCGATGCCCATCTTCCTCTTGAAGTAGATTGGTGCTGTCAGGAGCAGAGTGTCTCATTGTCATGAAAAGTCCTATTCTGTAATCTTTGAAAGACATGAAGAATGTCTATCTAAAATATATCTCTATATATCTAGAAAATCTAATTAACATGACTACAAGCTTTACTATTATCGATGATTATCCATTAACAACCTATATTTCTTAATTATACAGTACATATTTAAATGAACTACACAATCACAATACCTTAATCAAAATCAGAAACACTTATACATATAACAAAATTGACCTTAAATCTCTATCAATAAAGCAAAATCTATACTAATGCAAATTATTCATATCTATATCATATCCCCCTTTAAATGTAAAAGAACGTTTATAAACCATATTTGGGAACATGGGCGCAGTTTTTTCTTTCCAAACTGCTTCCTGCTGAATGGGGGCGTCGTTAATTAGGTCTTTCATGCTATAACCTGTGTGTTAGTTTCATCTCAGTTGGCAGTTGAGCGAAGCAATTTTCTGAAGATGTTCACAGCAACTCTTCAGGAGGGCGTGGTCCATCATACCAAATCGGAGTAGAAGAAATGAACAGCGTCTCATCCTCTGTGAAAACAAAATAAGAAACTCCTTTCCAAAGTATCATGTCCTTAGATCCAAATTTCAAATTTAAGGCATTTTCAAAGTATCTATGTTGGATTAGTTCAGCAGCATTTATAAACAAATATCTTTTAGCAGTTGTTTGTCCTTCCTCAGCATTCTAACAATTCAAAGAGAGCATAATAGCATACAGTATCAAAATTCTCTTTGTATTTTCCATCTTTGTGCAGCTGTGTTTTAACCTCTATTTTGTTTATTTTTACTTTTAACTCTTTGCTTTTTGAGGCAGGTTCTCTGTATCTTTGACCTGAAGTAACTCTGTAGACCAGGCTGTCTTTGAACTCTCAGAGATCTGCCTGTCTCTGCCTCCCAGGCATTCGGGATTAAAGGTGTATACTACTACACCTTGAACTCACAGAGATCTGTTTGTCTCTGCCTTCTAGGCACTGGGATTAAAGGCGTGTGCTACCACACACAACAACTCTCTTCCTTTTTTTTTTTGTTACTTTAAGAACTTTAAATTTTAGTCTGCATATATTTTTAAAACACTTCAAACCATTTAGAAATTTTCTTTGTCTTTGAATCTCTCTTTACTGTAATCTCTCTTTTTCTGACCACACAAGTCTTTAATTTACCAAGCAATATCAGTAGGATTAAAGGCGTGGCTTTGCCGGCTGGATCCAGCCCATTCCTTAGCTTTCCAGCCTCATGGCTAAGGTACTGGCTGTAGCCAGCAAGCGAGCTTCAGCACCCTGTGCTTGCAAACCGCACAAACTGCCTGTGTAAAAGAGTCAGAGTTTGTCCTGGCAGGACAGCCCAGAAAGCCGGCATTTTTAAACGGCACAGCTTTTTTCCTGCTACGGCTGAAAACCAAAAAGCATGTGTTCAGCTTTTCGTCAACACCGTTTAAGTGTTTCGTGGCAGGACCTCTTAATGAGCTGCAGGCTTTGCAGCTAAAGCTGAGTCAGGAAGCCTCTCTTAGATGAAAGCGCATGCTTGCCTCTAACAAGCAGAGCAGGCCCGAGAACACAGCGAGTCTAGTTGCCATCAAACAAATCGTAGCACTTTACTCCAAATGCTCTATTCAAAAGCTCTGTCCCCCACAGGAGCCAGACAGAGATCGCAATGGCGGCACAGCCCCAGGAAGTCGCGCTTTAAAATGACACAGCGTTTTTTCTGCTACTGTTGCCAAATCAGGAAATCTCTCTACAGCATGCCACCAACAAACAGCAAAAATCTGTGTTAAACTCTCTCTCCCTTATTTTTAAGCCTTCTCAGGTTTTTTAAATGGGTTTAGTTGTCCACATGTCTGGGCGCCAACTGTAGTAATAAGGGCGGCAGGGCTGCGTTCCCAGCACCCCGGCTGCCTGCTCAGCTAGCTTATGCCCCGAAATAACAACACACAAACTGTATTCATTTAATCACTGCTTGGCCCTTTAGCCCTAGCCCTTACTGGCTAATTCTCACATCCCGATCAACCCATCTCTAATAATCTGTGAGAACCGGTCTTACCGGGAAGATTCTAGCCTAGTCCATCCTGGGTCGGAGCTTCATCGCTTGTGTCTGCCAGGGAACAGGGCATGGCGTCTCTGCTGAGGCGTCTGCTCCGGAGAGCAGAGCTGTGGAGTCTCTCAGCTCACTTCCTCTTCCTCCCAGCGTCCTGTTCTGCCTACTCCTCCCATCTATCCTCTAACCAATAAAATGGGCCAGGGCAGTACCTTTATTAGCTAATTACCTTCCTCCATCAAGACTCCAGTGGTGGAAGCACAGAACTGACCCATGTAATCTGATTTCTGTACCAGCTATGGTGTGCACATGCCCGTGGATGCACATGTGCACAAACAAGAAGCAGTTTTTATTCACCTAAAGATGAGAATATTGGATCTCATTTTTAATTTTGAGCAGCATACAGAGTAATGAGTTTCACTGTGACATTTTCATACACTTGTATTTTCTCCAGTTCTTCATCGTCCCTTTCCCACCGCCTGTCCTCTGTCACTTTGCAGTCTCTGGCTTCTCCACACCAGTTCTCCTTGTGCTGTGCTGTCCCGTGTCTTCCTTTACCTCTGTATTCTTTTGCCTTGTGGCCTGTTTGTCTCTCCTCGTCCCCTTTCTTTTTTCACATCTCTGTCTCTGTCTCTCTCTCTGTCTTACAGACACACACATACACACACACATACACGTACACACACGCACACCAGTGTACACTATATTCAGGTTTATCTAACTTCTTACTGGTGGTGTGTCCATCTTTTTCTCATCATTTTGTTGTGATGCTTTTGTGGGTTTCCACAGCACTACTTTCTTTCTTTTGGGATGGAATCTCCTTTGTCCAATTCTTACTCTTTTTCATGGCATTACGCAGAGGTCTGGCATCTTACTTACTGACAGTCTCTGGCCTCACGCATTGTTTGAAAAGATAGAAACTGCATAGGCCTGCAATCCCAGTACTGGAGCAGTAGAGGCAGGAACACTGCTGTGAGTTGGAGGCCAGTCTGGGTAGCATAGCAAACACAGTGAGACCATCTCTAGGGTGGCATCCATGAATATGTGCAGAATTTAGTGGTGTAGTTGAGCATCCCTACTTAGCCTCTAAATGAAGTCCCGAGTGTGTGTTAGAGCGATGGGTACCGTGAGGAATGGAGGAGTGTCTCCCGTCCCTGAAAGGCGTCTTCTCAGCCCAGTGTTGCTACTAACAGTGCATTTATTTCTCCCCTGCCAGAGTGGACTGCCATACGTGGAGGTGCTGTGTAAAAACCGATATGTAGGAAGAACCTTCATCCAGCCAAACATGAGGTTAAGACAACTTGGTGTTGCAAAAAAGTTTGGCGTGTTGACTGACAACTTTAAAGGCAAGAGAGTTGTCCTTGTAGATGATTCGATTGTGAGAGGCAATACCATCTCACCCATTATAAGACTGCTCAAAGAATCCGGGGCAAAGGAGGTGAGTACTGTTGAAACAGTCCTTGTGGCCCCCAAATCAACCAAACAATGTTGGCATCAAAGTTAACGGTCCAGTGAATAGGTAGGTGGGATTTAACTCTGCTTATCAGATGGCTTTGTGATAGCTGAGCAGCAATATGGAGAGCATGGATTAACTACTCTTACATTATATGAAGTTTAATCTTTACTATATTAAAACTAAACCTAAAAGAAACATCCCTTTTTTTAACAAAGTTTTTTAAATGTAACAAAAATAGAACAACATAAAAATATAAGCGTATTTGCTGTATTGTCTATTCGAAGATACAGAACCAATACAATGGATTTAACCCAAATTAGTTTAGTATCACTTTATCTTCTGTAAAATAGAGCTTTAAAAAGGATTGCTAAGCATGTGTCTAATTTTGCTGTTTTAAATGCTTGGATGCACATTATAGGAGATCTTGTTTTTATGTACTTAACTTTATTGAATTTTATATATTGTTGTTTTTACAAATTGAAATTTATTAAAATTGTTGGGGCTGGAGAGATGGCGCAGAGGTTAAGAGCACTGCCTGCTCTTCTAAAGGTCCTGAGTTCAATTCCCAGCAACCACATGGTGGCTCACAACCAAACCATCTGTAATGGGGTCTGGTATCCTCTTCTGGCCTGCAGGCATACACACAGACAGAATATTGTATACATAATAAATAAATAAATATTTAAAAAAAATAAAATTGTTTGAATCATCATGATCTGAGCCTTTTAAAATTAATGCCCACCTTAATCAAGAAGCTTGTTTGTTCCCACCAACCAATCCTCTGTTCTCTTTCCTTTGCCCTGTCTACTTCCTAAAACACAGTATTGAAACTGGCCAGTAAATAAATTTCAGTGGCCTTGAAGTGTTTGTGTGCAAGGCTGAAAAACTCCTTGCTTTCCTGGTGATTTAGCTTAATGAGAAAGGCATGCTGGGAGTCTGAGTACTTTCACTGAAGAGAGTGAGGACTGATGCCCTCTTTTGGCCACTGAGTGTGATGTGAAACACTCACATGGTGCTCAGACAGACATGCAAGCAAAAACTCACACATAATAGAAAATGAATATATTTAATAATATATCTAATCTAAAAATTTCCTATTCAGTGAAATGATTTCTATGGTTTACCTTGTTGCTAATGTTGTTAATTGAATGTTCAATAAGACAGTTTTATAAGTATAGAGTATGCATAATTTATTTACTGTGAATACATGATTTCTTTCTAAGGTGCACATTCGAGTCGCTTCCCCACCAATAAAATATCCTTGCTTCATGGGAATAAATATACCCACCAAAGAAGAGCTGATAGCCAACAAACCAGAATTTGATCATCTTGCAGAATACCTCGGTAGGTATTAAAATTTCTGTAGATTGTAATTGTTGGTTTGTTTGTTTTAAATTTTAAGTGCACATTTGTGTAAAACAGCAATAAGAAGCTGATTTACAAAATAAATTTGAGTGCTGGGATGTGGCTCAGCATTATAGTTCTGCACCACAGTTTTGGGGACCATAGTTGAGTTCGCAGTTGCTGGGTAGGTATGGGTGCCTTTGTGACTCCAGAGTTGAGCACGTGGAGACCGTATACCCAGAGTAAGCTGATTAGCCAGACTAATGGAATCAGTGACTCTGTGACCCCTAACTCTAAGTAGAGCCTTTCTGTCCTGTCCATCCCCCATGTCTGCTGCCATAATCCTCCTGCAGCCTCTTTTAAAATAACCACTCTGAGGCTTAATATTAATTATAAACTGGCGCATTAACTCAGGCTTATTAACTAGCTCTTACAACTAAATATCTGTTTCTATTAATTTGTGTATCGCCATGTGGCTGAAGGCTTACTGGTGGTTTTTTGGCATATAGTCCTTAGGTAGGTATATGCTGTCTCCCTGACTCTGCCCTTCTGTATGTGCTTGCATTTCCTGCCTGGCTATATTCTGCCTGACTATTGGCCAGTCATCTTCTTTATTAACCATGGAAATTGAACATCCACAGCGTGCTGAAAGACTTCCCATACCAATTAGCCACGCCCACACACATGCATGCACACGTGCATGTGGGGAGAAAAGACATTCCATATCAATTAGCCTTGGGCCTCTATAACCACGTCCACACATGTGCATGCACAAGTGCACGTGGGGAGAAAAGTCATTCACAATAGCAACAAAACTTATGTCTTTTAGAAATAATTTAAACATAAGGATTTCAGATTCTGCTTTGTGGGGTGGCTTATGCCTTTAATTCCAACACTGGAAGCAGGAGCAGCTGGAGCTCTCTAAGTTCAAGGCCATGGATAAAGACATTTCTTTAAAAAAAAAAATCACTCCAGGGGCTGGAGAGATGGCTCAGTGGTTAAGAGCATTGCCTGCTCTTCCAAAGGTCCTGAGTTCAATTCCCGGCAAACACATGGTGGCTCACAACCATCTGTAATGAGGTCTGGTGCCCTCTTCTGGCCTGCGGACATACACACAGACAGAATATTGTATACATAACAAATAAATAAATAAATATTTTAAAAAAATCACTCCAGATAACTCAGCAAAACAGTTTACTTTTATACATACATATACAAAGTTGTGTGTAGTGATATTCCTTCAAAAATATTTTTATAGACTTTATATCATGGTTTTTACCTTTTTCCAGTTTGCAATAGTATACTCAGAAAAAAACATGTGGGGCTGCAGAGACGGCTCAGTGGTTAAGAGCACTGACTGCTCTTCCAGGGGGTTCTGAGTTCAATTCCCAGCAACCACATGGTGGCCCACAACCATCTGTAATGAGATCTGGCGTGTGAGCATATATGCAGGCAGAATGTTGTATACATAATAAATAAATAAATAAATAAATCTTCAAAAATTAAAGGACTACATATTCAGGCTGGCATGATATTGCACATCTTTAATTCCAGCACTCAGGAGGAAGAGGTAAGCAGATCTCTAAGTTCGAGGCCAGTCTGGTCTACATAGTAAGTTCCAGGACAGCTAGTGATTTGTTGAAAAATACTCAAAAAAAATATGTGGACTACATCGTTAATATCCAGAATTGGAAATCTAAAATTCATGCTCAGGTGGACATACTGCCTGTATCAGAAACTCCTGTAAGGGTCTCCCTCATTATTGCATCCTTTCCAGAATTCCATTGTTCTGAATCCTCGCTTTGCCGCCATTGTTTCTACTTATACACAGATTAGCTATTCCAGATCTATGCAGAAGTAGATGGGCGGTCAGTGAACTTTACCATGGTCTTTACCAATTTTAGCTTACTATGTTTTCTTTGTATGTATGTACGTATATGGGACTGTCTGTACATGTACGTATGCATGTATATTTGCTGAGCCATAGAAATTAATTTGAAACCCTGAATTTAAAAAGTTATTATCATTATATGTTAAGTAGACATTGAACACTATTCTAAAAAGTAAAAGTGCTAGGGCATTTTTTTATATTAGAAATTATATAATATTTTATATTAGATGTAGTCAAAGCAAGATCAGAAGAGAAATGACTACACACACACAATCAGAACCCTACCTCAGACCCACCCCACCCCCACACACACAGAGAATTAAATCCAGGGACTACTGCTTCTAAACAAGCATTTTATCCCCAGGCCTCATTCTCAAGTCGTTCCCTCTCCTTTTAAAGGTTGGAACTGTCCTGGGTAACTTGACCTAGAGATCATCTTGTCTCTGCTTCCCAAGAAACTGGGATTACAGGTTAGAAGTCATCGCATGCAGCTTCCTTTTCAGGAAAGCTGAAGGAGACTTTCCATGCTGACATAAATGATGCTTTCTGTAGCTGCACTGTGGTGGAGCGTGTTTTCCTCCCTGGAGCAAAAGCTTGTGACATTTCCCTTTCCTCCTGCAGGAGCAAACAGTGTTAAGTATCTGTCGGTGGAAGGACTGGTTTCATCTGTGCAACAAGACATCAAATTCGAGAAGCAGAAAGTGAAAAGACATGATACTACAATTCAAGAAAATGGCAATGGTCTGGAATGTTTTGAGAAGACGGGACACTGTACAGCCTGCCTCACCGGGCAGTACCCTGTGGAACTGGAATGGTAGCTGCCTGGATGGAGTGTCTTGAGACTGAACTTGATCGGGAAGTGGTTTATATACTATCTGTTACTCAGTTGGTACAAAAGAGATACCACCTGCTTGTGTGTGTATACCTTTATAAGCTCTGAGAATTCCTGAGGTTACTAAATTGCTATAATTGAATCATGATGGTTACATGTAATACAACATGTAAGGAATTTTTTTTTATACAAGGATTGACTTCTCACCTAGGAGAAGGCAGGAGGTGAATGGTATTTCCCAGGCCCATGCTTGAAGGGTTTGCAAGAGGTTAGATTAGGGATGTGTAATATACACAGGACAAGGGGCTTTATAATGTTCAGGAAAAATTGGAATTCCTCGTGTCCCATAGAGATCTAATCTGTAGTCTAGTCTGAAGGAGGGGCCGCCCCCTCCTCAGCACACACATCTGTGGTTCTGGGGATCAATGGACAACTCAAAACAAAAACAAAAAGGAAAGAAATAAAAACTACTTGAGAAGCTGAGGCAGGGGATTCTTGGGTTCAAGGACAATCTGGGTTTTCTGCCTGAGGATTAAGTGTCTTTCTGTGCCTCGGAGCCCCCGTTTATTTAAAGCATCTAATACACAGTAGGAACGTGAATACACGCCATACATAGGTGTTTAGAGGTATCATTTTACCCTTATGTTTTAATAGCGCATGGTCGTTAGCTTTTGCTAAGTAAGTTTTCACTTACATTAGGATGGAGGGAAATGTTCAGATTTGCAGACCTCTGCCGTCTCTTTGGGATGCACCAGAATGATGGAAAAATGTATCTGAGGCCTTCTTTTTGCTTGGACTCAAAGATGTGATCGATGACATCTAGTACCTTAGGATACAAGCCTAGCAAATAACTTAGTACATTGGAAGTAGAAAACAAAAATTTGAATTCCAAGTAAGCCTTTGTCCTTAATTTGATTAGATTTGGCTGTCTGGATTGAGTGCTTGATAGTTATGCATTCTTTTATACATACAGACATTGGATTGAAATTGAACAAATAGAAACATACTAGGGGCCGATTTTGTTTAATGGCTCAGACAGCTACTGTTGGGGAATATTTGCCTGTACCCAAGTGTCAGTTAGCTCATAATCAGGTCTTTTCTGCTTTGTTTTGTTAGGTCTAGTGAGATTTTAGTTTCAATTTTTTTATGATGCAGATTTAGAGGATTGTGGTGATTTCCTTACTAACTCATGTTTGTGTAAGTTTTCACGTGCAAAAACATTTATTTCTATATTGTTGCCAAAATTGCTGTAGCTTCCCAACCCATTTAGAAACATAGTATTTAGGGGCTGGAGAGATGGCTCAGAGGTTAAGAGCATTGCCTGCTCTACCAGAGGTCCTGAGTTCAATTCTCAGCAACCACATGGTGGCTCACAACCATCTGTAATGGGGTCTGGTGCCCTCTTCTGGCCTGCAGGCATACACACAAACAGAATATTGCATACATAATAAATAAATATTAAAAAAAAGAAACATAGTATTTATTAATAACTGAAATTATTAGTCTGCCTCTGGTATATAGTCTCACGTGTTACAGAATAGCAGTCAAGATAAACTGTTAGTACTTTTAGGTCATGTGCTTTGGTGTCTGGAATGCTCCTGTGACAGCTGCAGGCAGGTTGACATTGTATAGCCCTAGGGCCGTTTCAGTGGGCGGAGCCTTGTATATTAAATGCATTACTTATGGTGGGCTGGAGGGTAAGCCTTTAGGTCAGTTTTTAAATGGCCTTATTTAAATTTGATGTTTTAAAAAGAAACTCAGGGAAAGTATTAAAACCAAAATCTCTAATTTGACTTTGTGTTTTCCATAGTTTTTATTTTGTTTTATTGGGATACTTTTATAAAGGGAAATGATGTTGTGGTCGTTTGATAATTGTACAACTTTCTTAATTATTTCTTCATTGTAACCTTTTATTTCACAAGTTTCTGAATATGAATTAAATTAACATTTTTTCTACCCGTTTCAAGCCTTCTTTTATCTGCTTTAAATGTATATTACTAGAATACAATATGCAGGAAAAAATGAAAAATGTGTTTGAACACAGTTAAAGTCACCAACTAATGTAAGCCCTTTTTAAAAACCTTTTTGTGATCTTTTTGGTAACAAATATATGTAATAAGTAAGCTACATTATGGTAAAACCATGAAGATGGCAGCCTGGATCATACCTGGCACCAACTGGTGAGATCTCATTTCTCTGATTCAGGCATTTTAATAGGTAGCCCATCTCTTACGAGCTGTGCAAACTTATGCCAAGTAGGAGGGCATAGAATGCTGAATGAGCACCTTGCAGAAAGGTCTTTGGAAACACTGGCAGCCATAGTTGTGTGTTCAGATTTTTCAAAGATCTTCAAAAATGCATACAAAGTAAACAAAAGTGGGACTCCCTCCCCCCTCAGACAGTGGGGTCCTATGCCGTGTTAAAAAGAAACAAGCTGTGGCTGGAGAGATGGCTCAGAGGTTAAGAATATTGCCTACTCTTCCAAAGGTCCTGAATTCAATTCCCAGCAACCACATGGTGGCTCACAACCATCTATAATGGGGTCTGGTGCCCTCTTCTGGCCTGCAGGCATACACACAGACAGAATATTGTATACATAATAAATAAATAAATATTAAAAAAAAAAAACCAAGCTGCCTGTAGTGGTGGTACTCACCTTTAATCCCAGTACTCAGCAGGTAGCAGCAGGCAGGTCTCAGTGAGTTCAAGGCCAGCCTGGTCTAGGGAGTGAGTTCAAGGATGGTCAGGGCTGTTAACACTGAGAAACCCTTTCTTGAAAAACTGAAGGGGGGGTTGAGAACAAAGCTGTGAAGTAACAAGATTTAGTGCATAATCACATGTAAAGGGGCTGTGAGAATGTACACACTGATTTCAACTGCCTGGTTGTCTAGGGAGACAGAAACAGACAAACACAACATGTCTGTGTGTGTATGTGTATGTGTGTGTGTGTTGTAGCATGTAAGTATAGATGACCAGAGAGGCATCAAGACTACCTGGACCTGGAGTCAGTGGTGATTTTTTAGCTGCCTGGCATGAGTGCTAATGTGTGCTAGGAACAGAACTTGGGTACTCTGGAAGATCAAGTTCTATTAACTGCTGACCCATCTCTCCAGTTCATTTGCATGTGTGTGCACGCACAACTGAAGACCAGAAGACAACTGTGGGAATCATTTCCATTGTGTGGGCCAAACTCGACCTTGGGCTCGCTTGTGAGTGCCCTTGTCCTTGAGCCACCTTGCTGCCTCCCTAAGCGTGTTTGTCTTCAAAATGTCTTCCAGGACTGTTTGTGGAGGGTCAGGCTGGACGCCAGCCTTGTGCACGGGGAAAGGAGTTAAACAGCTTAGGGTGAAAATGCTGTGTCCTTGAGAGCAGGTGAGTAAAGAGGTGTCCCTGAACACATTAGAGGGTGAGCCACTCCCCAAACCAAAGCCCCGGGGCTTATCCCACAATGGAAAAATGCCTCTATAGGACCAGCTTCTTTGATGTCTTACCTGCCAAAAGGTGATTCCCATCCCTCTGATCTGATGGTCTCAGTTTATCTGCTGCCTGCTGTTTTAGTCTTGCTTGTGATATATGTAATTTACTCAATTGAAACCAAAACCTTGGCTGTCGTTGCTCATTCTCTGTAAAGGCAAAGCAATTTTCCAGATTGTTTTGGAAAATGAATTTTTGAAGGAAGCAGTGCTGTTCACTTCCCAGGTAACTGGAAAAGGGAAGCAGTGAAATGACCAGACTATATATGAACAGGAAAATGCAGATGACTTTTGAGCTGTCGAATCTTTAACTCGAGAACAATGTGTCTGTTATGGTTATATGAATTGCATATCAGCCAGGTGGTGGTGGTAGGGTACACCTTTAATCCCAGCACCTGGGAAGCAGAGGCAGGCAGATCTCCGTGAGTTCAAGGCCAGCCTGGTCTACAAGAGCTAGTTCAGAACAGCTAGGGCTGTTATACACAGAGAAACCCTGTGTATAACAAAAAACAAAAAACAACACCACCAACCCCCACCCCAGCAAGAATTGGTTGCACCTCACTATAGGGAAGGGACTGATTATCAGCTTTCTCATAGCTGGTGTGACTGTTTCAGAGCAGTGGACTAGAGGTTCCTGAGTGGAAGGGAGCAGTGTTAGGTCAGGCAGAGTGTCATTTCTGCACCCGTTTAAACTTGGACAAAATCCCCCAGGGGTGAGGGAGGTGGTCTTGGAGAGCTATATGCACACAGTGGGTTGTGTTAGAGGAGAGAGATTCCCTCCCTATTTTTTTTAATGATAAGTATGTTTTTTGCCTTAAGAGGATAATCCTTCCACTATGAAATTCATCACCCCCAACAATTCTGAAAAAGTAACCTGGATAAAGAATCAGGGCTCTGCAATCTTGACATACCTGGCAAGAAAAAGTACAGGGACACTCAGCCTATGACAGATGGCCCTCACAAAAAATAATGCTGGGTGAATTCTCAAAAATTGAAAATAAAAAGGCCTGGTGATGGTGGTGCACGCCCGGCTAGGGTTAGGTTTTAAAAGGTGCAATCTAGCCAGGTGATGGTGGCGCACGCCTTTAATCCCAGCACTCGGGAGACAGAGGCAGGCGGATCTCTGTGAGTTCGAGACCAGCCTGATCTACAGAGCTAGTTCCAGGACAGGCTCCAAAGCCACAGAGAAACCCTGTCTCGAAAAAAAAAAAAAAAAGGTGCAATCTACAAAGAGGCTTTTTGAAGTGACTTTTGGCACGGGTGTCCCCTTCTGTCCCCTCCTATCCTGGTAAATCAGCTTTCTCCTTGTTTTACTTGTTATCACCAGGTGGCTGGCTGGCTAAATTCTACTGCTTGGATTCTCTCGGGTGGGAGGGGGAAAGGAAGGTGCTGCTAATCTGTGTTTCTAATTTAAAACATTTTGCTAGGGGGCTGGAGAGATGGCTCAGTGGTTAAGAGCACTGCTTGCTCTTCCAAAGGTCCTGAGTTCAGTTCCCAGCAACCACATGGTGGCTCACAACCATCTGTAATAAGATGGTTGCAGGCATCCATGCAGACTACTAAGAATACTGTATACATAATAAATAAATAAATCTTTAAAAAAACATTTTGCTAGAAAATTCTTGTCCCTTTGAAAATAAGGGGTGAGGGCTCTCATGAGGGTCTCTCACTGAGCAGTTAAAAGATGGTGTAATTTCTATAGATCTATAGAGCACAAAGACAGGTGTGCTGGCCACTTTGTCAGCCAGACACAAGCTAGAGTCACGTGGAAAGAGGGACGGTCAGTTGAGATGATGTTTCCTTCATGTTGGGAGGGTCCAGCCCACTGTGGGCAATAGCACCACTGTGCCTGGGTTGTTTAAGAAAATAGCCTGGGGGTTGGAGAGATGTCCAGTGGTTAAGAGCACTGATTGCTCTTCCAGAGGACCCAGGTTTAATTCTCCACACCCACAGGGTGACTCACAATTGTCTGTAACTCCAGTTATTATTATTATTATTTTGGGTTTTTTTTTTTTCGAGATAGGGTTTCTCTGTGTAACAGCACTAGCTGTCTAGTAGACCAGGCTGGCCTCAAACTCAGAGATCTACCTACCTCTGCCTTCCAAGTGCTGGGATCAAAGGCGTGTGCCACCACTGCCGGCCTTAAGGCCTTAACACCAGTTCTTGATCTGACAACACAAACCTCTTCTAGCCTCAGGCCACAGGCATGCATATGGTTCACAAACAGGCAAAACACCCATTCACATGAAATAATAAAATAACTGAGATACAAAGAAAGAAAAGAACGGCCCAGGCATTGGAGGCACAGACCTTTAATCCCCAGCACTAGGGAGTCAGAGGCAGGTGGATCTCTGAGTTCAGGGCCAGCCTGGTCTACAGAGCGAGTTCCTGGACAGGCTCCAAAGTTACATAGAAAAACCTGTCTTGAAAAAAAAAATAAATAACGAGAAAAGAGAGTCATGGGGTGTATGGTGGAGGTGGGGCAAGCCAGCAACCAGCATTCCTTACAGACGGCTTCAGGTCCTACCCCCAGATTTTGGCCTTGGGTTCCTGTGCTGACTTCTGTTAGTGTTGGAGTGTGATGAAATAAACTATTGGTTCCCCAAGTTGCTTTGGTTATGATGTTTTATCACAGCAACGGAAAGTTAACTAAACAAAACACTAGCAAGGTGTTTGGAGATGTCCGTAGTACACAAGAAAAAGGCGGTTTCCAAATGGGTATTTTTTAAACCTTCTTTTTTTAAATGGGTATTTTTTGTATGGTTGGGTATAAGAGCTTCCGTCCTCGGCAGGCAAGGACACCCCCCTATCCCTTTTCAGGCACTGTGATGGATGCTCAGCTGCTCCCACCTCCCATTCCGACACAAGAACAAAATTCCCTGCTCCTTTCCTCTCTGCTGGGGCACAGTAACCACTTGTAACCCTTAAGATTGATTTAATAATGGTCGCTTTGGAAACACACATATAAGAAAATGGGTCTAGGGAGCGCTGTTCACCTCGGATGGGCTTGGGTTTCCCTGATAGTGAAGTGTTGTGAACAGCTGCAGATGCCATAGTTTTGAGTCTCATTCCGCTGGGGGCTTCCCTTGAGGGCTTCACTGTAGTGACAGTCCCACCAAGCTTGACTATGTGTACTCAGAAAACGTGGAGGAGATAAAGCCAGTTACTCTCAAATTTGGGGGTGATTTCTTCACTTCAGCCTTTTGGGCTGCTAATTTTACCCCCAATTTAGGGAAGAGGTGATGACTGTGTTGGAGATGGCCAGGCTGTGAGGAATGCGCACTGCCTTTCCAGAGGCCCTTTCCGGTTCCGCACCCACGTGGCGGCTCACAACCACCTGCGACTCCTGGGAATCCGCCCGCACGTGCACGCACAAGGTGCCCGTTGACTCAAGCAGGCGCACACGTGCGTACAGGTTTGCTACCTGGAGGGTGTGGCAGCACTTAACCTGCACATCCCGTCTCCGCCATTGCTAACTCGGTACCAGGACCACGCGGCAAACCTGGGTGGAGCCCCGTCAGCGATGGCCACGCCCCCGCCGCTGTCGTTGACGTCACGGGCGCTGGAAGATTGACGCTAGAGGCCCGTTGGGGAGGTAGCTCTATGGCTGCTGGGTATCTGCTGCTCGCTGGGAAATGTAGTCGGCCCGATGTCGTGAAAAGGTGGGGTAGGAGCTTGCCCCGTCAGCGATGGCCACGCCCCCGCCGCTGTCGTTGACGTCACGGGCGCTGGAAGATTGACGCTAGAGGCCCGTTGGGGAGGTAGCTCTATGGCTGCTGGGTATCTGCTGCTCGCTGGGAAATGTAGTCGGCCCGATGTCGTGAAAAGGTGGGGTAGGAGCTTGCGGCAGCCACAGGATTTAGGGGTGGGAGATGGAGGGGCGCCGAGAAGGCTGGCTGCTTCCGCTTGAGTCCGCCCGACTTCGGCAGCCTGCCTGGCCTGGCTTGGAACCTGTGGGTCTGGCCAGCTGATCCCAGTTGTGTGGCGTCCTGGGCCACCCGCCTCCACCCGGTGCCCTTCAGGAACGTGCCTTGTACCTACCCCGCCGCCCTCCAGCGTGGTCCCGAGAGCCAGTGAAAGACTTGGAAGCCCCGAGTGCATTGTAACTAAAGGTGGCTGCGTGATGTATATGAAGGCGCGGATGGATAATTCACCAGTATTTATAATGCCCGATATAGGTAGAGCCCATCATTTACAAAAGTTGTAAATCGGCAAGCCGTTTAAGCGCGATAGTGTAACACAAAATCTGGTTGTTAGATTATCTTTTGTTATTCCTTAAAGACCCCTTTTTTAAAAAAAGTCATAGTTGACTTGGTTGTTTTCTTCTTATTTATTTAAAGTATTTGGAGAGGGATGGGGGTGATAGCATGCTTGAGGAAGTCACAGGATTTTCTTTCAGTTGGTTCTTTCCTCCCATCATGTGGATACCACGAATCGAACTGAGGCAAGTTTCTTTATTCGCTGAGCCATCTATTTAGCCCAAGTATGTCTGAGCATGGAATAATGATGTTATTTATTGGAGAGAAAAATATATATACATAAATTCGATGACTGGAATGAAAACCTAGACAAGACTGAATTTTGCCACTGGGAACTTGTAAATTCAAAGTAGAAAAACCCCTTACTGATTGTATAGATTTTTTGTGGTGAGTTTTGTAGTTGGATATAAAAAATTGACACTTTTCTCTTTTTAAGAACTTAGTTTATAGTCCCGTTATTCCACCGCTGTGAAATATGTTACTAGATTATATTTTCTTGTGAGAAATTAGCAGTTATATACGTGTTTGCTTTCTGGAAGAAAAGCAACTCTCAGACAAATTTTTAAAATTTTATTGTATGTAGGAGTGTTTTACCTTATGTGTGTACCTTATGTGTTTTACCTTATATGTGTCGGTACACAGCTCTGTGGAGAGGTTTTTCTTTGGACTGCCAGCCAGCTCACAAAAAATGACATGGAGACTTAATAATTAAGAAAGCTCGGCCTATAGCTTAAGCATATTCCTCACGAGCTCTTATAACTTAAATTAACCCATTTATATCAGTCTGTGCATGGTGTTACCTCTCCCATCTTGCACCTCCTGTTTTCCCTGTGTCTCATGGCAGCTCCTGTGTGCCTGGATTCTCTTCCTCTTCCTCTCTCTCCCAGGAAATCCTACCTATACCTCCTGCCTAGCTATTGGCTGTTCGGCTTTGTTTTTTTTTTTTTTTACACCAACCACCGCAGCACAGTGTACAAGTGTCTCACAACACAGGTGGGCAATAAACCTGCTGTAGGGATATCCCAAGATAGTGTGAGTCTGCAGATCCCAGTCAACCCTGCAGACTCATTTCATTAGTTGGTCCGCCTTCCCTGCAGAATCTCTGATAGAGACATAGCTTCCATCTGGGCACTTCCTCTCAGTTTGTTCTTTGGCCTTGCTGGGGACGGAACTCGGGGCACACTGGCAAGTGGTCTGTTACTGATGTAGATACCTGTTGGGACTAATGAGTCCTGGCCTTCAGCTGCTCTTCTCTCCTAGAACCTTCTAATTGAAGTTACTAGAAGCTGTGCCTAGCTTAGAGGATCAGAGGATGGGATTTTCACCTGTTGGCCATTGACTGCAGTGTATTGATGCCTACACGGTGCTGTTAAAGAGGGGCTTTGGTATCAGTGTTTAAAGGTCTGCGTGTCGGTCTGTCTCTGTGTCTGTGTTCTCAACCTCCAGCCCCTTGCCCGAAGCTCGCGAACTGGGGTCTAGCACGTAGAGCGCAGACCGGGGTCGCGGTGCGCGGCAGATACCCAGCCAATACACTCATTTTTTACTCAGAGACGTGTTTCTTCGTTGCCTCCCTAAAACTCCCCTGACTTCTGACATTTCTCTCTGTGTAGATTTCTCGGCCACTGGTGTTTAGACAAATCTCAGTAAAATGACTCTTCAGGCGCTGGTGCACCGTGCGGCCTCCATGCACTTGAACAGAACAGCTGTGTGCTTTGACGAAGGCAGCAGCCGGCCCCCAGTGTGTCACAGCTACAAGACAGTGCTGAGCGAGGCTTCCGAATTATGTGATTTCCTGCTGACACACTGTGACTTTGGAGGAATTCGGGAAATTGGTCTCTACTGCCAACCTGGGATAAGCGTACCCTCCTGGATTTTAGGGTAAAATTTCTAGGATAAAGTGAGATGACTCTAAGTTAGTTTATAGCTTTTAATACACAGCACACATTGTAAGCTACGTTTCTATTTACTGTTGGATTTTTTGGCATTAGTTTATCAATTTTCTAAAGAAGTTAAAGTACACATTATGCTAATATTATTTTTAAGTAAATTATTTTAAGCATTTAATCATTTTAATCATTTAGTTTGTGCCTATTAAGGAGAGACTAAAAGGTTTTACTAATGGAATATTTAAATATCTGCAATAAAGACCACATTTGTCTGTCAAAAGAAAGCAGCTGAAGCATTATATAACTGTTGTTAGCTCACAGGAAAGCACTGAGACACCACTGCAGGTCTTGTCAAGTCTTTGAAAATGTTGTATTTCTGTACATTAAGTGTCGGGAGCTCTCAGATATCCACTGGGCTCAAGATAAATAACTATTTACAACTGAGGCGTGACCCTAAAATTAGTGAAATTGGAATGGATATTAAAACAGGGACATCAAAGTGCTCACAGGAGAATTTTGTTTGTTTTGCTAACCTTGCACTTGCCCTTCAGGATTCTTCAGGTCCCAGCGGCTTATGCACCTGTGGATCCAGACTCACCACCGTCATTATCAGCTTACTTTATGAAGAAATGTCATCTGAAGTATGTTCTCGTTGAAAAAAAGCAGGTTAACGTAAGTCTTGGTGTTTAAGTGTTTTGGAGGGGTGTGAAGTGGGAGGGAGAGAGGGGAAGAGAGAAAGGGAGAGAGAGAGAATATGAGAATATTTCCAGTTTAAGAGTTCTCTCAACCTATGACTTTGAGGCCAGCCTGGTCTACCAAGCTACTTCCAGGACAGCCAAGACTACACAGAGAAACCCTGTCTCAGAAAACCAAAAAAGAAAACAAAGTTCTCTCCTCTGTCTTAACTTCTTAATCCACCAACTCTGGCAGTATTTCCCAGGTCCAGTGATGTCACTGTTCTGGTTGAGTGTGTGCTGTGGGAAGTTTCTCAGGTCCAGCATTTTTGGTTGAGTGTTGTGGGAAGTTTCCTGTACAACATAAGATGGTTAATAGCATTGCTGCCTTCCACAAACTAGAGACCACTAGCACCTTTTCGGTATGACATCCAGAAATGCCCAGATCTTCCCAAGTGTCCCCTCTCCACCCTGAACACTTCACTGAGAACCATCCCTTTATGATATGAAAATATCTTCCAACCTTATGGCAGTTGTGTGTTTTCCTTTCCTGTTTCCAGATTATTTCCCATGGTGGAAAGTGCCATACTTGGAGAGTCTACTTTTATGTACTTATATCAGTGTTAGAGAATTATAAATAATGAAGCTGCTTTTATCAATCAACACAAGAAGCTCTATTCAGAAGGACCCCACTTTCAGTGTGTATGAATCCAGTGGCGGTGCACCCTGTAGTCTTAGCACTCAGGGTGCTGACGATGACCTCCAGCTGGAGGCTGAAGTGGTCCACATAGTGCATTCCAGACCAGCAGGGTCACATAGCAAGGACTTGTTTCCAAAGATCAAAAACCAAACAAAATAAATATAACACCGTTTCATCCAGCTCACTCCTGCATTGCACCGAAGCCAGAACCATAGCCATTAGGTCCCACCTTCTGTTGAGGCTGCTTGCAGAACCTTGCTGTCCACTCCTAGTTCAAGACCAGCTCAGAACCATTGTAAAGGATTCAGTAAGTGGCTCTAATTTAACGGAGTTTAGTCCCATGCTGTTGCCGCTTTCAGGTGGGTCCCATCCTATATAGGCTAAGGGTACTTTACGCTAATTACACAAAGTAATTGAGGATTCTCCGTTCATCTCCATTCATCTTTCACCTACACCAAACCTCACCTTCTCCTCCATTTCTGCACATTTCTGAAGAGCTTACTGTTCTCCAGTGTCAGCTTTCTTAGATCATGTGGCTCTATATTGGTGATTGTCTGAACTACCCATCTTCTCATTTGGAGAATACAAATATTGCCTCTGAAATCTCGGACCCTTTGTGTGGAGTTAAATTCTGCTTCTCCACTAACATCTCAGTCATGTGCTGTTATCATTTTTCCAATGTTGCATTACAGTTGCATGCTTTTATATACATCTGCTTTGAAGGTGAGTTTGAAAGTAAGGACACTTAACTCTTAGGTATGTCTTATTTCTCCTTGTTCCCAGATCATAGCTAGTACTCCCATCCCTGGTTACGCCATATTGAATGAGTAAATGGATCTTTTACATTTCTATAAAAGAAGCCTTTCTTTCTTTCTTTCTTCCTTCCTTCCTTCCTTCCTTCCTTCCATCCTTCCTCCCTCCCTCCCTCCCTCCCTCTCTTTCTTATTATATACACAGTATTCTACCTGCATGTACGCTGCAGGTCAGAAGGTAATTACAGATGGTGTGAGCCACCGTGTGGCTGCTAAGAATTGAACTCAGGACCTCTGGAGGAGCAGAGCCATCTCTCCAGCCCAAAGAAGCCTTTTTAATATGTTAATATTTGTAAATATTTTCTCTAACAGAAATTCAGATCTTCACATGAAGCAGTTTTGAACTATGACACAGTTTCAGTGGAACATAAGGACCTGGTGCTCTTCAGACTTCATTGGGGAAACGGTGAGGTGTCGGCGCTCAGTGATGGAAAAGAGAAATTCGAGGTGGATGATAAAGAAACCAGCATGAGTTCTGAGAGCAGCATCGAAGGGAGGGCACACGTGGACATTCGGCAGGAGCGTTGCTTGGCTTATGTTCTACACACCTCGGGGACCACAGGGACACCAAAGATTGTTAGAGTGCCTCACGCATGCATACTACCAAATGTCCAGCACTTTCAGTGAGTCCTGTCCTTTGAATCCTTTAGAATTTGTGCTTTAAGCTGGGTGTGGCGGGACTCGCCCGTAGTCTCAGCATTTGAGAGGCAGAGGCAGGCGGATCTTTGTGAGTTCGAGGCCAATCTGGTCAACAAGAGCTAGTTCCAGGACAGGCACCAAAGCTACAGAGAAACCCTGCCTCAAAATACAAACAAACAAACAAAAACCGTCCATTTTAGCTGAGCAGTGATAGTCCACACCTTTTATCCCAGCATTCGGGAAGCAGAGGCAGGTGGATCTCTGTGAGTTCGAGGCCAGCCTGATCTATAGAGTAAGTTCCAGGACAGCCAGGGCTGTTAGACAGAGAAACCCTGTTTTGAAAAACAAAGTACCAAACAAACAAAATCTTGCATTTTAAAAAAGAAAAATGAGTTTAAATCTTTGTAAATCTTGATCCAAGTGGATAATCTTAAATAACTGATCAGTTGGATCTGCCTGATTGATGTGTATATCAAGAGGCAGACAAGAGGCAAGTTATGTACTTGTTAACAGGCCAATCACAGAATGCGTGTGTGCTTCTGTGTGTCTGTGTGTGCGTGTGTGTACGCGTGTGTGTGTGATTGGAGGTAAGATCCCAGGCATCCCACCAACGCCTCTAATCCACTAGCATCCTTTCCTCACACGTTTGTGTGTGTCTGTGTGTGCGTGTGTGTGTGCGCACGCGCGTGTGCATGTGTGTGCGTGTGTGGTTGGAGGTAAGACCTCAGGCATCTCACCAGTGCCTCTAATCCAGTTCATCTTCTGGCCACTAGCATCCTTTCCTCATATGTTTGTGCATTTGCAATGCGCACACACAATGTCTTCAGAAATAAAAATGAAAAATAAATCAAACAGAAGGAAGAGTCTACTGAAAGGAAACCAGAATATAATAATGAATTATTATAAGGAACTGGCTCTCACAGTGTGGCTGAGGAAGTGTGGAGACCACAGAGTCCGCAGCTAGGAGAGAGTCATAGCAGGCTGGGACCCCACAGGCATGAGACTGTCCACAGCAGTCAGAAAACACGGTCAGCTGCTGCTGCTGCTTGTTAAAAAATATTTTAATTTGTGTATATGTCTGTATATTCTTGTGGGTATGGTATGTGCCTGCAGAGGCCAGAGACTTTGGTTGCTTCTCGAGCTGGAGTTACCTAGACCGAACTGCCTGACCTCTCAGTAGGTGCTGGAGCACTAGTATGCTCTGGTCCATAAAGCCATCTCTCCAGCCCTGTTTGGTTTTCACTAAGGAGAAATTCAGCCATTCCAGGATTGATAACACTCAGCTGACTGTGGACTAGAACGTTCAGCAGAACCGACAAGAGGGTGTATCTTTACTAAATGGCAGCTGCCATCCTTCTGTTCTCTGACTTCCCCCTTAAAGGGGAACCCGTATAACTGGTGATTCGCATCTGTAATTCTAGCTATTGGAAGGCTGAAGCAGGAGGATTGCTGTAGTAATAAGGGCAGCGGCAGGGCTGCGTCCCCAACACCCCAGCCGCCTGCCCGGCTAGCTTATGCCCCGAAATAATTACACAGACACTGTATTCTTTTAAACACCGCTTGGCCCATTTCTATCTAACCTCTTCTAGGCTAATTCTCACATATTAATTTAGCCCATTTCTAATCATCTGTGTTGCGCCCCTAGGTGCGCTTACCGGGAAGATTCTAGCCTATGTCCTTCTTAGCGTGCGTCTGCCCAGGAGCCAGGAACATGGCGTCTCTCTCAGGCGTCTGCTCCCGAGAGGAAAGGGTCGAGTCTCTGAGCTCACTTCCTCTTCCTCCCAGCATTTTGTTCTGTTTACTCCTCCCACCTATCCTCTAACCAATAAAATGGGCCAGGGCAGTGCCTTTATTAGCCAATGACCTTCCTCCATCAGATTGCTGTGAGTTTGAGACCAGTCTGGGCTACATAGAGAGTACCAGGGCCAGCCAGAATGTCTCCATAAGCAAAGAAAAACAAAACAACAAAAATAAGAACGAAACCATAGTAGAAAAAGAATTCTGGGGGTTATAGTTCACTCTGTGTAAATTGACATATCAGAAAGTCTGTCTGGTAGAAGGGGGGAAATGCTGTTATTTAAGGGACTTTCTTCTATTTATTTTATTTTTAAATTTTTTTGAGACAGGGTCTCATTATGTAGCTCTGACTGTCCTCAAACTCATAGAGGCCCACCCTTCTCTGCTCCCAAGTGCTAGGATTGTGGGCATGTGCTACCACACCTAAAGGGCTCTCAGTCCTGCCTTCTGTAAAGAGGGTTTCTAGCAGCAGCTGCACCGTTGGTTAATCTGAAGAACAAAGTCTGAAGCATTCAGAAAATGTGTTCTCCTGATAACTGATTTCCCCCCTCTTCTTTGTTTAGATTCATCTATTTTTATTTTTATGCATATGAATGTTTTCCTTGCATTCATGTCAGTGTATGCCTGGTGTTCATGGATGTCAGGAGAAGGCATGAATTCCATGGAACAAGAGTTTCAGATGGTGGTGAAATACCATGCAGGTGCTGGGACCTGAACCTGGGTCCTTTGCAAGAGCAGGAAGTGCTTTTGACCACCCAGCTGTCTCTCCCGTCCCTACTTAATGGTTCTTTAGGGTCTGTGCTTACCCAGGCTTGGGCGTTCCTTATGACAGCTATGCTCTGTCTGTCCCTAGGGTGCTTTTTGACATCACCCAAGAAGACGTTTTGTTTCTGGCTTCGCCTCTGACCTTCGATCCATCTGTTGTGGAAATATTTGTTTCTCTGTCCAGTGGAGCCTGTCTGCTCATCGTGCCAACTTCTGTCAAAGTGTTCCCAGCCAAGTTAGCTGATGTTCTCTTTTCCCGCCACAGAGTGACCGCTCTACAGGTATATTTCAGTAGCAACAGAAAAGTTTTCATCTACATTCTTCTAATGTTACATGTCTTAGAGAATCCTTTATATTTCTATAGTTCTTCCCAGTGGATTGATGATGTGCAGTTAGCTCATCAAAGGTACCACCTTGTGATGGCAATGTTTATTTTAAAATGAAAGAGAGTTCAGTTAGTCATGCCTAGAGAATCATTAACTGTGCATTACCTGTAGTACAACTGGAGGAACTTGACTTTGACTATGGTGTACTGTTGGGGTATCTTCTCTCACAACATTTAAGCATATTATGTTTCCTACCAAAAACTAGTATATTAATTGCACCATTACAGATGAGCTAAGAACCAAGTGTGTTAGCACCTGCCTAGACTCTCAATACTTGGGAGGTAGAGTCTTCCTATAAGGAGCTCAAGACCAACCTCTGCTATGTAGTGAGTTCAAGGCTAGCCTGAAATACCTAGAATCCTGTATTTAAAATAAACTAAGGATGCCGGGCGGTAGCACTCTGGAGGCAGAGGCAGGCAGTTCTTTGTGAGTTTGAGGCCAACCTGTTCTACAAAGTGAGTTCCAGGACAGCCAGGCTACACGGAGAAACCCTGTCTTGAAAAACCAAAACCAAACAAACAACCCACCCCCCAAAAAACAATCCAAAACAAACAAACAAACAAAGGAGCCTGGCAGTGTTGGTTCCTATTGCTATGAAGAGACACCATGACCACAGCAACTCTTATAAGGAAACATTTAATTGGGGCTGGCTTACAGTTCAAAGGTTTAGTCCATTATTGTCATGGTGGCACTTAGGTAGACATGGTGCTGGAGAAGGAGCTGAGAGTTCTACATCTGGATCAGCAGACAGCAGGAAGAGAGAGAAAATGAGCCTCAAAGCCCACCCCAGATGACACACTTTCTCCAACAAAGCCACACCTAATAGTACCACTTCTTATGAGCCTATGGGGACCATTTTTATTTAAACCACCACAAAGGCTGATTTGTGCAGACCAAATATTCTTGGATGTGTGGCCTTTCACTGACACATGGTCAACTTACCAGGGCTACACTATTTTTTTTTTAATTTTTTAAATTTATTTTTATTATTTAATTAAAAATTTCCACCTCCTCCCATTTCCCTCTCGATCCCCCATCCCCCTTCCCCTCCCTCTCCAGTCCAAAGAGCAGTCGGGGTTCCCTGCCCTGTGGGAAGTCCAAGGTCCTCCCCTCTCCATCCAGGACTAGGAAGGTGAGCATCCAAACAGACTAGGCTCCCACAAAGTCATTACATGCAGTAGGATCAAAACCTAGTGCCATTGTCCTTGGCTTCTCAGTTAGCCCTCCTTGACAGCCACATTCAGGGAGTACGGTTTGATCACATGCTTCATCATCCAGCTGGCCTTGGTGAGCTCCCATTAGATCAGCCCCACTGTCTCAGTGGGTGGGCGCACCCCTCATGGTCCTAACTTCCTTGCTCATGTTCTCCCTCCTTTTGCTCCTCATTTGGACTGTGGGAGCTCAGTTTGGTGCTCCAATGTGGGTCTCTGTCTCTAGCTCCATCCATCGCCAGATGAAGTTTCTATGGTGATATGCAAGATATTCATCAGTATGGCTATAGGATAAGGCCAGTTCAGGCTCCCTCTCCTCAGCTGCCCAAGGATCTAGCTGGGGACATCTCCCTGGACACCTGGGAACACCTCTAGAGTCAAGTCTCTTGCTGACCCTAAAATGGCTCCCTTAATTAAGATATATACTTCCCTACTCCCATATCCACCCTGCCTCCATCCAAACCGTCCCATTCCCCCAAGCTCTCCCCATCCTCCCTTCTCACTTTTTTCTCCCCATTTCCCCTTACTCCCACCCCATCCCCACCCCCAAGTTTCCCATTTTTAAAAAAATATTTATTTATTATGCATACAATATTCTGTCTGTGTGTATGCCTGCAGGCCAGAAGAGGGCACCATACCCCATTACAGATGGTTGTGAGCCACCATGTGGTTGCTGGGATTTGAATTCAGGACCTTTGGAAGAACAGGCAATGCTCTTAACCACTGAGCCATCTCTGCAGCCCCCAAGTTTCCAATTTTTGCCTGGCAATCTTGTCTCCTTCCAATATCAGGAGGATAACTTTATGTTTTTCTTTGAGATCACCTTCTTATTTAGCTTCTCTAGGATCTCATATTATAGGCTCAATGTCCTTTATTTATGGCTAGAATCCAGGGCTACACTCTTAAGAGAAACTGGCAGTTGCTGGTAGCTCCTTGGTTAGGGGTGGGACATTGTGCCCAACTCCTCTCTCCATGCTGGGACTTGATCTGGCCTGGGCGTGCATGGATTTTGTGCATGCTGTCACACCCACTGTGAATTCAGATGCTGTCCTTGGAGAGAAGAGGTTCAACTTCTGTCACCCACATGGTGGCTCATAACTGTAACTCCAGTTCTAGAGGATCTGACACCATCTTCTGACCTCTGAGAACACCGCCTAGGCACACATGGTGCACGCATGGTGCACACACAGGCATGGAGAAGAAGCACTCACAGAAGTTATAAAACAGAGTGTAGAACACGGGTTGTGAGATATTACATGGTAAATGGCTCAGCGAGATGGGGCTGGAGTGGTCGCTGAGGATAAGAGTGTTTGCTGCTCTTCCAGAGGACTTCAGTTTGGTTCCTGGCACCCACATGGTGCTCATAACCATCTGTCACTTCAGACCCCAGGATCTAGGGGATCTGGTGCCTTCTTACATCCTCAGGCACCCACATATGCATGAAAGCAAAACAGTCATAGAGATAATAATAATCTTTTTGTTTTTTGTTTTGTTTTTAGAGACAGAGTTTCTCTAGGTAACAGCTCTGGCTGCCCTGGAACTCGCTCTGTGGACCAGGCTGGCCTTGAATTCACAGAGATCCACCTGCCTCTGCCTCCTGGGTGCTGGGATTAAAAGTGTATACCACCACTGCCCTCTGTTTTTGTTTTTTTTTTTGTTTGTTTCTTTTTGTTTTTTTTTTTAATTTCAAGATATTATATTATAAATGGTGAAAGATACTGATACTGGGTGTGCCAGCAACATGCCTTTAATCCCAGCACTCAGGAGGTAGAGGCAGGTGATTTTTGTGAGTTTGAGGCCAGCCAAGACTATATAGTGTGATCCTATCACAAAAGTCAAAAAATGAAAGAAAAAAACATTGAAGCGATGGGGCTGGAGGGATGGATCTGTGGCTGAGTATGCTTGCTGTGTCTCCAGAGGGCGCCCCCATGTCCATGGCTCACGGAATTCCGGCTCTAGGGACTCTGAACCCCTTTGTGGCTTCTGTGGGCACTTGCACATATATGCACATATGCACACATAGTCACACACATATACACATAGAAATAAATCTTAAAGAATTGAAGAGCCATGTGTGATGATACATACCTTAAATCTCAGCTCTCTGGTAGGTCTGTGGTTTCACCAAACTTCCTTTTATTTTATTTTATTTTATTTTTTGTTTTTCAAGATAGGGTTTCTCCATGTCCTGAAATTACTCATTCTGTAAACCAAGCTGGCCTTGAACTCACAGAGGTCTGTCTGCTGATTGCTGGGATTACAGGCACGCGCCACCACTGCCTGGCACTCTCTGCTCTTCATTAAGAAGAGAGAGCTCTTAATGCTGGTGAGTCTCACCAGTGCAGTAAGGGCAAAGGGAAGGGAAGGAAGAGTAGGAGGAAGAAGAGGGAGAGAAGAAAAAGGAGAAGGCGGAGGAAAAATTTCGTGTGTAGATAGCATGATCATGTGTCTGTAGAACGGGGAAAGGCAGCAAACCTGGAAGATACACACTCGATATAAAAACCAGCTGTACTGAATGTGTAAATGTATGCATATAGTCATGTATTTCTATATATATTTCTATTAAGAAAATGCCTAAAGCAAAATTAAGAAAATATTTCTTTACAATAGCGTCAAAAATAATAAAATAGGAATAAGTTTAAAGAATATCAAGACACGGTTGTGGGGGGAGGAGGGAGAAAGAATAGCAAGATTCATCCACCAAAACTCTAGCATCATTGACGGAAATTAGAGACACACCTACATAGACAGGCATCTCACACTTATGTAGAAGTCCAAGCATTGTCAACAGGGGAGTTCACACTCAGTCTGTAAATTATATTAAATGCACTATCCTACCAAATCCCAGGAAATGTTTGATAGAAGTTCACAAGTTGATCCTAGATTTTATATGGAAATGGAAAAAAGTCTTAATTTATACAGTGGATTACCACTTGATAATAAAAAAGAAATAAACTGTTTATATATACAATAAAATGGATAAGATGGGAAATATTTATTAGGGTTTTATAAATAGGGCTTACCAACTGAAAATTATAGCCGTAGGGCTAGAGAGATGTCCCAGTGGTTAGGAGTATTCCTTGCTCTCTCAGAGGCCCAGAGTTCAGTCCCTAGCACTGTGTCTAGGTTGACAATGCCTCTAACTCCAGCCATAGGCATCCAATGACCTCTTCTGGCTTCTGCAGGCACACACATACAAACATACACAGAAATAATAATGCATCTTTAAAAAAAATAAAAATACAGTCTTAGTGTCCTTATAGGTTCCGAAGTAATGATTACAGTGTTTACATACGGAAGGAGGAAACTAAGTGATTTTTATTGTGTTTCCAGGCAACGCCAACATTGCTGAGAAGATTTGGATGTGAGCTCATCAAGTCCACTGTCCTGTCAGCGCATACTTCTCTGAGAGTGCTGGCCCTTGGTGGGGAAGCCTTCCCCTCACTGGCTGTTCTCAGAAGCTGGAGAGGCAAAGGCAATAAGACACGAATATTTAACATTTATGGTATCACAGAGGTGTCTAGTTGGGCGACTTTCTACAGGATCCCCGAGGAAGTCCTTAATTCTCCTGTGAAGTAAGGCTTTAGTCACACTCAATAGAGGGGGAAGTCTTCTCCCGAGATCTTAGCATTAGCCCTGGGGCTTGTGAGTTTTGTTGGGGATGGCAGTTGAACGTGAGGCTGTTGAAGGTGATAGTCTTTGCTTGCTAAGCCCACCCTCCACTGGGGAGCTATGCTCCTAACCCTACTGACAGGGTTTGTCAGGTGCTGTAGTGATAATATTTAAGACACTATTTCAACTTAAGAATCCAAAGTCTTTCTTATAACTGGTGACAAGATTCTACCAGATCCTTTTGTGACATAACACATGGTACCAAACCATTTCCTCGGGCATCTTTGCATTGTACCATAAACTGCTTTTGTCTTTGTTTGCTGTAGTGTGCTTTTGAGACACTGGGAAGTGTGCCCACATGTGAATTTTAAGCCTGCCCTGGGCTGTGTTTTTCTGCAGACACGAATCTCCCGTGCAGCTGGGGTCACCACTCCTTGGGACGGTGGTCGAAGTCAGGGACACAAACGGCTCCCCAGTTCACGAGGGCACCGGCCAGGTATTTTTAGGTTTGTTCATGTTTATTGGTTTATTTTTCAAAAAGAAAAATCAGATGTTTCTTATGTTCATTTCATGTTTTTTTAATATAGAGTGCACTTTTCCGTGATAAATTTTAGTCTTTTCATAATCACAAAATATTTTGTGTTTACCCGAATAGTTTCACATGTAGTTTCTAATTATCTAGAAACATGATTTGAAGTGTTAGCATTTGTAGACAAAACTACGTAAATTCTAATGATACTTTTACAATCATATATATTTTTAGAAATAAGTTTGGTTTTATCCTTTTGCTAACTTCCTGAAGTTATTGTGCCTGGGTAGCATTAAGAAGTCTCCTCATTTTAATATAGTCAAGGTCTGAATCTTAGTCACTGAATTTTAGAGATACTTTGATTTTGATGTTGTTAAATCAATTTTCCATGGATTTTGTGACATTGGAGTTTGTGTCTTTGAAAGGTGGGGAAAACAGAGTGTGTTTCCTGGATGGTGAAACGGCAGTGCCTCCTGGCACCATGCGGGCCACAGGAGACTTTGTGACTGTGAAAGATGGAGATATGTTTTTCTTGGGAAGAAAGGACAGCCAGATCAAGCGCCACGGCAAACGTCTTAACATTGAGCTTGTACGACAGGTAGAGCCATTTAACACTAAGTGTCTCTTAGTGTATTAGGCAGCAGAGGCAGCTACCGCCAGACTTCTGTGCCAGGTCCTCTACAGCTCACATGCCTGACACATCACTCAGGAGGCTGAGGCTGAGGATTATGGGCTCAAGGCCAGGCTGAGCTATATAACAGGATCCTAGCTTTAAAAAAAAAAAAAAAAGACAGAATCAGTGCCAGGTGGCAGTGGTGCACACCTTGAATCCCAGCACTCAGGAAGCAGAGGCAGGTAAATCTCTGAGTTAAAAGCCAGCCTGGTCTACAAAATGAGTTCCAGGACAGCCAGGACTACATACAGAAGCCCTGTATCAAAAAAACCTAACAAAACAAAACAAAAATCCCAAAATAATTGCAGTAAAAGGCATGGATAATTCAAGGTATCTCTTATTTCCATCAGGAAGATATTTTGTTTGATAGTTTTGTTTTGAGGCAGAATCTGTTTATGTAGCCCAGGCTAGTCTAAAATTCCAAGTCCTCCTGCTTCGGCCTTCCTTGTGTTAGGCTTACAGGCACGACTCCCCAAGTCTGGCTTTAGATGGACATTTTTAAATGTTTTTGTTCGGGGGGGGGGGTGTTCTGAGACAGGGTCTCTCTGTGTAGTTCTGGCTGTCCTAGAACTCACTCTGAAGACCAGGCTTTGAACTCGCAGAGATCCTCCTGCTTCTATCCCCTAAGTGCTGAGATTAAAGGCATGCAGCACCACTGCTCAGCCAAGATGGCTATTTTTAAAATAAGGGGTTGGAGAGATGGCCCACTGGTTAGAACAGTTACTGTTGATGGAGGAAGGTCATTGGTTAAAAAAAATAAAGAAACTGCTTGGCTGGCCCTCATAGGTTAGAACACAGGTGGGTGGAAAAAACAGAACAGAATGCTGGGAGGAAGAGGAAGTGAGCTCAGACTCGACAGCTCTCCTCTCGGGAGCAGACGCCTCAGAAGAGACGCCATACCCTGCTCCCGGGCAGACACACGCAATGAAGGTCTGACCGACCCAGGATGGATGTAGGCTAGAACCTTCCCGGTAAGACCGGTACTCACAGATTATTAGAGATGGGTTGATCCGGATATCAGAATTAGCCAGTAAGGACTAGAGCTAAAGGGCCAAGCAGTGATTAAATGAATACAATTTGTGTGTTGTTATTTCGGGGCATAAGCTAGCCAGGCGGCCAGGGTGCTGGGGATGCAGCCCCGCTGCTCCTATTACTACATACTGTTCCTGCAGAGGACCCAGGTTTGCCTTGTAGCACCCACATCAGACAGTTCACAACCTTTTTCTGTAGCTCCAGTTGCAGGGTACCCGACTCCCTCTGTCTCCTCCAGCACCTGCATTCACATGGTGCATAAAAACTCACACAACACACATACATAAAAATACATAAAGAGGTTAACAAAATAGATTCCGAGACCTATGAAAATACATTGGTTTATTTGCTTTGGAATGTATTTTTGCGGACAGGAGGACTGGTAGCTCTGTTAGTAGTACATACCAATAGCAAGCAATTAAAAAAAAAAAACTCAGGTATTTTCTGGAAGTGATTCAGCTGTACTGATTTTAGATCGGCACAGGACTGCAAATCCAAGCATTTAGGAGCCCGTTTCTAGGTGTCCCCATTAGTAAGTGAGGACAATCTCTCTTCCAGGTGGCTGAAGAACTTCACCAGGTGGAATCCTGTGCAGTTACGTGGTATAATCAGGAAAAGTTGATTCTCTTCGTCGTAACCAAAGTTGATTTGGTAAAGGATAGCATCTTTAAGGAACTGCGGAAACGCCTTCCAACTCACGCTCTCCCTGATGACATGGTGTTGATTGATGCTCTGCCAGTCACGTGCCATGGTAAATAAAGTGACGTAAAGCAGATGTGTGCCGAGCTGGAGAACACTAATTAGTTTAACAGCTGCATAAGTGCCGTTATCAGCGATACTAGCATGAATTACGGTAGACTCTGTTAATCGCTTTGTGTTACTAACTCATCCCTGATGAGAGACTCCTGTGGGCTGGTGGTATTCTGATTTGCAAGTAGGCTGCAAAATATATACTCTTAAATTCAGACACAGGGAGGGCCACATACCTGCACTGGGGAAACTGAGGCAGGAGGATTACCAAGCTTGACACCAGCTTGAGCTACATAGTAAGATCCTGCTTTAAAACAAACAAACAAACAAACAAAAAAAACCTATGAGGCTAGAGAGATGTCTCAGTGGTAGAAATGGTTGCAGCACCAGCCTGGTGGGTTGATAACTTGATGCTGCGATGGAGAGAGTCAAGTCCCAAGAGGTGTATCGACTTACACAGAACACACACAGACACATTTTAATGTGCATCGTGTGTGTGTGTGTGTGTGTGTGTGTGTGTGTGTGTGTGCGTGTGTGCGCGCGCGCGCATTCTTGGTAGTTCCTTACCCGTGGCATTTTTATCTAAGGCATACTCGAGACCACGTCTTGAGCCTTTTTCTGTGGATAAAGAGCGTCTCCTTTCCTCTTGTCTTCGTAGCATTGGCCTTCAGAACTGACTCTCTGTGCTCTATGGTGTCTGAGCTTTACAGTGAAGAGCGTGTGGCTGATAAACACAGTGACTCTGGGGCAAAATTAATTTGCTTATTTTATGGGGTGGGATCAAGCCTAGGCCCACGTAGGTGCTGAACATGTGTTTTACTGCTTGGCTATACCCCCAGCTGCAGTTTAAATGTTATTTTAATGTTTGTTATTTCTCTTCATACTAAGGAAAAATTGATGTTTCTGAATTAAACAAGATATATTTAGACTACATAAACTCGGAGCCTAGGAATAAGATCCATGGAAAAGAGGAACTTTGGGAAAAATTACAGTATTTATGGAAGGTACAGTTTCTTAAATACAAACTTATTTTTGTAATTCATTCTTTGTAGGGAATTTTAGTATTCCTAGTAAACCAGTAAAAATGTTTTTAAAATGTTATTTCTGCCCAGGTGCCAAGTAGCATGTCTTCCTTAGTCCAGTCAGTTCATGCTAAAGGTTGGAGTGTTTAAGTAACTGTCTCACAGACATTCATTGAAAGGGAGCTAGTTTACAAGGTGCTCGTGTCTACTCGCCTACTGACGTGACTTTTCTCGGGAGAGGCAGTGCAGTGCCTGTGCTCTCGCCGGCTAGACCATGCTGTACCGGGTAGGCTAGCCATCGCATGTTGGGCTCTGTCATCAGTCTTGAGAAACGTGCAGTAGCTGTGTGCTACTGCTCAGGCATTTTTTAAATGTGTCCCAATAGGCCAGCAAATGTTCTTAGATAAGATGTAGAGTTTTCAGCAGGCGTTGGTGTCCCAGGCCTTTAACTCCAGCACTTGGGAAGCAGAGGCAGGTGGATTTCTGTGAGTTCGAGGCCGGTCTGGTCTACAGAACTAGTTCCAGAACAGAGAAACCCTGTCTCGAAAACAACAGCAATAAAAAGATGTAGATTTTCTGAATGCTTCTGTGAAGCAGATGCATTTGGTTAGTCTTAAAAATCGAGGACTGTTGTTATTGCTCACTGTAAGGCAGTTTGAGCTGTACGAAGTGGAATATCAGCCATGGGGATTAGTTGGTAAAGCAGATGTTTCTGTGACCTATTCCTTATTTTATGGGTAGGAAAACTGCTCTAAAGGGCATCATATTTAGAGATTATAGAGTGAATCTGACAGAGTTGGTGGTATAGTGATAATCATTAGAATAGAAAAAACAATTTTTAACTATCTTAATTGTTAGCATTTTTTATGATTGCTGTCTGTATCACTTGTTACGTGTGCAGTCCTGTGTTCGGGCCTCTTACCGTATCTCTCCCTCTCTGTATGTAGTCTATTCTGAGTCTCCCTGGGGATCCCGAGGATGCCTGGAAGGTTCCCGAGGACTCAGTCTTCTTAGATAGTGGCGGCGATTCCCTCAAGTCCATGTGGCTCCTCAATGAGATTGAAAAACTCACTGGCACATCTATGCCTGGGCTCCTGGAGCTTATTCTCAGCAGATCTATCTTAGAGGTGTACAACCACATCGTTCAGACCATGTTTGCACAGGAGGACCTGAAAGTCGGCAAGGGCTGTGCCTCGAAAAGGAAACTCAGTGACACGGACCCAGAGGAAGCCAGTGGCAAACCTGCACAGCCGGCCTTGCCCTTTGCCCACGACAGCGAGGCAAACGCTCTGATTGCTCTCAGCAGAGGGAGTCAGCTCCTATCTCTGGGCACTCGGGGGCATTTAACTAATTTAGGACATTGCCCGTCAGTCTGTCCTCCTGATTTCATCTCACAGACTGACACTCAAGCACCAAAAGACTTAAGTCCTCCAGTTCCTGAAGAGAAGTTGAAAAAGCCATCAGTTTCTCAGGAGGGGAAACCTGCGGCAGGGGCTGAGACCGTGTTGCAAGAGAGGTGGCGGTCAGACACGGGCAAATGCGTAGATGCGTCCCCTCTGCTGGTGATGGCAGCTGCCGATCCGTCATCCACAACCGTGTACATCGGTTCCCACTCCCACAGAGTGAAAGCGGTTGACCTTTACTCTGGGAAGACGAGGTGGGAACAGCTCCTGGGAGATCGAATTGAATCCTCGGCATGCGTGTCCAAGTGTGGAAACTTTATTGTAGTGGGTAAGCTTCTGAATCCGAGGTTCATAGAGTTAAATTCCACACGCACACGCACATGCACACGCGCACGCACACACACACACACATGCACACACACACACACTTTCAGTCTGACACCCGGATGGAAGCTTAGCTCTGTATTGCTGTACTCTGACTTTGGCAATGTTTAATTCACCACCTCACTTTTCTCACGGAGAAACGGAAACCGTAATAGAGCATGATGCTGTGGCACACATTACATTGAAACCCACTGACCCACCGCAGTGTCCCTGGGTCAGGAAGTTTGGAGGCACCTAGCTGATGATTGAGGTCTCATGCTTCTGTAGGCCCTGAGGGCTTTATGTGGGGTGGCAGGTTTGCTTTCAAGACGGCTCACAGACAGCACTGTCAGCACAGGGCCTCTGTTCTTAGTTGGTTTTTGCTAAGAAGATTCAGGTTTTGCCACATGAGCCTCTCTCTGTAGCTGTCTGAACATTTGCACAGCACGGCATCTGACTTCCCTCAGAGCGGGTGATCCCAAAGAGAAAGCCACAAGAGACCTAGGCTCTAAAACTGGAGACCATCATTTTTGTTTAATTGTGTTCATTAAACATAGATCACTAGGTCCAGTTCCTGCTCAGGGGAGAAAATTAGTTTCCATTTCTGGAAGAACGTCTAAGAATGTGTGGCTGTATTTTAGTTCTGGGCAGGATTAATCAAGCCCAGCAGTCCATTGGTACACTGCAAGGCTCTTCAATGATGGCGACACAGAAAACAGCTTGGAAATTGAATCTCAAGAGCAATGACCTGGCCATGGGCAGAACAATGTAAAGTGTAGCAGTTGAAGCCATCCTAAATGGCTGTCCTCAGGTCCCATCCACTTCGTCTTATTCTGTGTGCCCAGGTCTCTGTAGCGACTTCATTTGGAGGTTTTTACCCTTTCTACATCAGGATCCCCCAACTTTCTTTTCATCCACAGCCACACTTGGGAAGAGAAGTTCAGTGGAGTTACTAAGAATACCAGCTCTTAGATATAAATCCTGATGCTGCCACATGGTAACTTTGAGATTTTGGCTCTTTTGTTTGTTAACCTGCTTCCATTGTTGTCATCCATAAGTATGGATATAATTAGGCTAAAGTATTTGAAAATGTAGGCTGGGGATGTGGCTTGGATGGCAGAATGCTTGCCTAGCATGTCAGGGCCCTGGGTTCAATTCCCAGCACTGTATAAACCAGATGGTGTGATCATGCACAACTGTAATCCCAGCACTCAGGAGGTGGAGGCTGAAGGATCAGAAGGTCTTAGGATACCTGAGGCTAGCCTGGGCTAATGGCCCCAGTCTCAAAAGAAAAAGCCCCATACATAGGAAATGTGCAGTGGACATTGGTTGTTATTCATGCTAGCTTTTCTCAAACAGCTCTGAGCATCTGTACTGTTACAATAACGGTTGGGTAAAAGGAGAATAACCCAAGGCTCTGTGACACTGGGCAGTTTATCTGGTCACAGCCAGGGCAGATTTGAACCCAATTCTATCAGTGTGTGTGTGTCCGTGTGCTCGTGAGGTGAGAGACTACTTGTTGGTTGTCTCTTTCCCCCATGTTGGCCTGGGTATCATGACGTCAGGTTGGTGGCAGGTGTCTTTACTGACTGTCTTGCTGCCCCGCAGTACTATTAAAAACAAGGGCCTGCTGGGTGCGGAGGTGTCCACCTGCATCTCAGCACTCGGGGCTGAGGCCTAGGGCTGGGTGAGAGACCTGTGCCGCCAGACCAGCACTAGCCGGGATTTTATAGGAATGTGCTCTTCAGGATCTGCTGTGTCTGCTGAAAGCTAAATAAGGTGCGAGAACAGACATATAAGAAGAGCGTGAATACAAATTGTCATCATTTAAACTAAATATTTTTATCAAGGTATCTTAATCTCATCGTTTATATTTTGTTTCTCTGTAGGCTGCTATGATGGATTAGTTTATGTTCTAAGAAGTAAGAGTGGAGAAAAACATTGGGCATTTACTACTGAAGATGCTGTCAAAAGCTCGCCAGCCATGGACCCCACCACAGGCCTCATCTATGTCGGGTCTCATGACCAGCATGCGTATGCTCTAGACATCTATGTAAGGATTCCCTGTATCCGTGTCACACTGCAAACACAGGGGCATGTCACTGTAATGTGCGCCTGAGTCTGGAAGCAGGCATTAGCTATAAGCCCATGTATAACGTTTAGTCTGGAAAAAAGTGATTAGTCAAATTTAAACATCTTTAGGCATTTTTAACTTTCTTTCAAATAATTTCTGCAATATTAGGTATTCAGAATGAGCATAACAGAAAAAAAAGCTATTTTAAGCTCTTATTACATGAAAATATTAAACTTATATAAAATTATAAGGAAACTGCAATAATTTTTTTGAAATAACAGTGAATCAAAGCTCACTGGTATAAATAGAAATAAAGAATAAATATAAGTGATTAGAAAAACCCAGAAGAAAATAAAAACAAGTGCATAAACACACAGGAGGAAGCTGCTGAGGACATAAATGTTTCCGACCTTTAGTACTCGAAGCAACGAAATGAGACACTGCTATTACAGTGATTGACAGTCACGTCCCCGAGAGGTCGCAGCTTGTGTGGACGGGAGGACACAGGAGGACAGTTTGAGGGCTGGGATACAGCTCACTGCTACAGTGCTTGCCCAGTATGCACGAAGCCCTGAGTGCCATGCCTCCAGCCTCATACAGATGAGCTGGCACGTGAGTGATCCCAGCACTCAAGGCTCGGTTATGTGCACATAGTGATGTAATCAGTAATACACAGGAAGTAAATGCAGAGATGTAGTGTGGCTGTGGAAATCTCATAATCTTTGACCAAAAAATTTGTTTCTATGATTCCACCCTGGCAAAATCATCAGAAACATAAATATATGCACCAAGTTGTTTATAAGATTGAGTAATTGGTTTCTAACAGTTTTTAGATAAGGAAGAGAGATTATTTTGAATATAATGCTTTAAAATTATTTTTAAAGCCATTTTGTAAAATCAGTGAAGGAAACATACTGAGCTGTGTGTTCAGAATGAGTAAATGCACACATGCACATCCATGAGGGCACACACATGCATATGTGTTGTAATTGGAGCGGCTGGCTGCGTCCCCGGCACCCCGGCCGCCAGCTAGCTTATGCCCCGAAATAACAACACACAAACTGTATTCATTTAAACACTGCTTGGCCCATTTCTATCTAGCCTCTTCTAGGCTAATTCTCACATATTAATTTAGCCCATTTCTAATCATCTACATAGCACCGCTAGGTGCGCTTACCAAGAAGATTCTAGCCTACGTCCATCCTAGGTCGGAGCTTCATCGCATGTGCCTCAGAGAGCAGAGCTATCACGTCTACCCGGGAGAGGGGAGCATGGCGTCTCTGCTCCAGAGAGCAGAGCTGTCAAGTCTGAGCTCACTTCCTCTTCCTCCCAGCATTCTGTTCTGTTTACTCCTCCCACCTATGTTTTAACCTATGAGGCCAAGCAGTTTCTTTATTACTTAACCAATGACCTTCCTCCATCACATGCGCGCGTATGCACACACACACACACCAGTCAATCAAAAGGGAAAATGGTAGTGTGTTATCAGTATCAGTGACTTCCTTTGCTGCTCTGTGCTGTCTTACCCGGAATGGTAGTCCTAGCACTGACGAGGCTGAGGCAGGAGGATTCTGAGTGAGTGAATAGGGAGGGCAGGGGAGAAGAGAAGAGAAGCCTGCATTCCTCTGGGTGCTGGCGCCTTGCTCCTTGGTGCAGCATGTGCAAGGCTCTGGGTTCAATCCTAGCACCTCCAGAAGGAACAAAACCCAGAACTTAGCTATGTTATATGTGGACTTGTTAGCAATGAGCACCACCTGATTAATTCAAATTCTTGTTTTCAGGAAAAGAAATGTGTCTGGAAGCTAAACTGTGGTGGGATGATCTTCGCTTCTCCATGTTTGAGCCTGAGGCCACATCACCTGTACTGTGCTACGCTTCGGGGACTTTTACTGGCTATAAGTCCTGTAGGCATCCAGCCACTGTTAATTTAGCTCCTATCTTTATTTCTGATTTTGATATTTAAAAGTTTGAGTACTTTTCAGTTAAATATAATCTACACATTAATGAGTTAGAATTCACTTAAAATGATTGAAATTATTTGGGAAAACAAGGTAGCATGTGTTCATGTTTTTATTGTATTTGTTTCTTTAGTTATTTTTATTTTAGCCTTTAAAAAGATTTATTTGTATGTGTAACACATGTGTCTGGTGCCTGAAGAGGGCATGGGATCCCCTGGAACTGGAATCACAGATGGTTGTGAGCTACAGCGTGGGTGCTGGGAACCAAACCTGGGTCACCTGCAAGAACAGCCTGTGGACTTCGTCACTGGCCCTCTCCAAACTGTTTGTAACCTTGTTAGACAGGATTTTCTCAGTCATTTTAAGGACTTCTTGTCTGCCCCTTACAGTGGTGAACACCTTTAATCCCAGCATGTGGGGGCAAAGACAGGTGAATCACTGAGAGTTCCATGCTAGCCTGGTCTACATAGTGTTCCAGCCTGGGCTACATGGTGAGACCCTTTCTAAAAAAAAAAACTGAGCAAAACAAAAACAAACAGCACCAAAAAAAAACTTCTTGTCTATTGTAAGGAGAGAGGTCTTGTTCATATTTTTTTCTAATCTTAAAATTGTTTTTCCTTTTTTTATGTTTATGTTTTTTTTTTCTTTTTTCATTTTTGAGACAGGGTTTCTCTCTGTAGCTTTGGAGCCTGTCCTGGTACTAGCTCTTGTAGACCAGGCTTGCCTCTGCCTCTCGAGTGCTGGGATTAAAGGTGTGCGCCACCACTGCCTGGCTGTTTTTCCTTTCTAAAGATAGATTTTAGCTAGGCAGTGGTGGCATATACCATTAATCCTAGCAGCTGGGAGGCAGAAGCAGGCAGATCTCTGAGTTTTAGGCCAGTCTGGTCTATAGTGTGAGTTTCAGGACAGTCAGGCTGTTACACAGAGAAACCCTGTCTTAAAGTGTGTGGCTTTGTTTTATGTTCAGGGCTGACTTTTTGTCATGGCTCTGAGAAGCAGCACTGATTTTCTGACTCTTGTGTGCGCACGTGTGTGTGTGTCTGTGTGCATGTGTGTGTGAGCGCATGTGTGTGTCTGTGTGCGTGTGTGTGTGAGCGTGCGTGTGTGTCTGTGTGCGTGTGTGTGTGAGCGCATGTGTGTGTCTGTGTGCGTGTGTGTGTGTCTGTGTGCGTTTGTGTGTGTGAGCGCGTGTGTGTGAGCACATGTGTGTGTCTGTGTGCGTGTGTGTGAGCGAGCGCATGTGTGTGTCTGTGCGTGTGTGTGAGCGCGTGTGTGTGAGCGCGTGTGTGTGAGCGCATGTGTGTGCCTGTGTGTGTGTGTGTGAGTGCATGTGTATGTCTGCGTGCGTGTGTGTGTGCGTGTGTGAGCGCATGTGTGTGTCTGCGTGTGTGTGTGAGCGCATGTGTGTGTCTGCGCGTGTGTGTGAGCGCATGTGTGTGTCTGCGTGTGTGTGTGTGAGCGCATGTGTGTGTCTGCGTGTGTGTGTGTGTGAGCGCATGTGTGTCTGCGCGTGTGTGTCTGTGTGCGTGTGTGTCTGCATGTGTGTGTGTGTGTCTGTGTGCGTGTGTGTGTCTGTGCGTGTGTGTCTGTGTGCATGTGTGTGTCTGTGTGCGTGTGCATGTGTGTGTCTGTGTGCGTGTGCATGTGTGTGTCTGTGTGCATGTGTGTGTCTGTGTGCGTGTGCATGTGTGTGTCTGTGTGCATGTGTGTGTCTGTGTGCGTGTGTGAGCATGTGTGAGCGTGCCAGCGTCATCCACAGCGCCACTGTGCCACTGTTGCTGCTTGGTTCCAGCCTAGATGTGTAGTTTGCTGTAAAGTGGCTCCACAGGTAAGGCACGTACCGCCAAGCCTGACAGCAGGAGTTCAGGCTCCTTCCCACATGCTGGAAGGAGAGAAGCAAGTCCTACAAGCTGTCCTGCATTCTCCACATGTGCCCTGTGGCACGTGCGTGTGCACACATACATGTGCACACCCACAATAAATAAATAAATCAGCAAATGTAGCTTTAAAATGGTAAAGGTGCTTGGTTAGTAAATCGTCTTCAGTGCTGTTGCTTCGGTTACAACAGGCTGCTGGGAGCGTCGTTTGGAAGCACTGCTGTGGACAGCCGCTCTTCTCTTCCCCACGGTGCTGCCAGCGGTATGTTTGCGTCGGCTGTGTGGACGGGAGCTTGCTCTGCTTCACTCATGTAGGAGAGCAGGTGAGAGCAGGTGTTCCAGTTCTGTGCGTAACCCCACCCCCAGCCCTGGTGACTGGACCCAGGGACTTGCTGTAATCAGCGACCGCTCTGTTATTGAGCTTCATTCCCAGCCCTTGCTCACACACAGACACACATATATACACACATACATATATACATAGTATATATATATATGTATATATTATTATTATTTTTAATAATTTCTTTTGATACAGGGACTCCCTTGCTATCCTGGAACTCATTGTGTAGGCCAGACTGGCCTAGAACTGTGATCTGCCTACCTCAGCCTCTTTTTTTTTATTTTTATAATTTATTAATTTGTACTTTATGTACATTGGTATTTTCCCTGCACATATGCCTGTATGAGGGTGGTGGATCCCTGGAATAGGAGTTACAGACAGTTGTGAGCTGTCCTATGGGCGCTGGGATTTGAACCTGGGTCCTCTAGAAGAACAGGTAGTGCTCTTAACCACTGAACTCTCTCTCCAGCCCCTGGCTCAGGCTTCTTGAGTGCTGGGATTGAAGGCGTGTACCACCTGGCAATGCCCAGATTTTTGTTTAAAGCTCTAACTATTTGCACTTAAACTCCTTCATTCCGTTTCCATCTCACTTGGTTTGGAAAACTTGAGTTAGACTTTTTTCTCCCTTTCTCTTTGTTCTAGAGCTGGTTTTGGAACAAAGGCCAAGTTCCACACCCTGTCCAAGATTGTTAATAACATAATACAGTTTTTTTCTGTAAACACAGTGTCTGTGAACACACCAGTAGTAATTCTCAAGCAGCTCAGAATTACTTGTAACAGCATTGTCACGTAACTTGTCTTTGTTTTTACCACCGGAGCAGTCCAGTGGGAGAATGAAGCTACTTTCCAGAAACCAGCATTATTTTTGTCTCTGGAGTTACCCAGTTGTCTCCCTCTCACCTTTTCTGTCTGTATGAAGAAACCCTGCAGGCTTAAGAAAGTACTGCCCTGGATAAAAGACTGATCGTTCCTCCTCTTCTTTGAAGGTGTGGCGCTTCTCTGCGGGAGGACCAGTCTTCTCATCCCCGTGTATCCCAGCATCAGAACAAGAAATATTTTTTGGTTCCCATGATTGCTTTCTGTACTGTTGTAGCATGGAAGGTCACCTGCAGTGGAAATTTGAGACTACCGCGAGGGTGTACGCAACCCCCTTTGCTTTCAGTAGCCAGAGCTGCAGCAGCGAATCCCTGCTGGCGGCCGCATCCACCGACGGGAAGCTGTGGATCCTGGAGTCTCAGAGTGGCAAGCTGCGAAGTGTGCACACACTCCCGGGAGAAGTTTTCTCTTCTCCTGTGGTCTGGGAATCCATGCTTATCATTGGGTGCAGAAATAATTACGTTTACTGTCTGGATTTATTGTGTAGTGATAATCAAGTATAGTCCTTGTAAGTATATATGTGTGTGTGAGATGGTTGGAAATATTGTAAAGCTATGTGGATGGTTTTATATTAAAGATTCTATTTTGGGTAAGGAATTTGTCTGCTGTACTTCAATAGAGAACAACCATGTTTATTTCTTATAGAAGGAGCAGGAGCTTCTAGTGGGGGTTGATAAAACACCTGCTATATATTTTTTTTTTTTCGAGACAGGGTTTCTCTGTGGTTTTGGAGCCTGTCCTGGAACTAGCTCTTGTAGACCAGGCTGGTCTCGAACTCACAGAGATCCGCCTGCCTCTGCCTCCCAAGTGCTGGGATTAAAGGCGTGCGCCACCACCGCCCAGCTCTATAGTTTTTTAAATAAACTTTTAAGATTTATTTTATGTATATAATGCTCTATCTGCATGTATACCTATATGCCAGAAGAGGGCATCCGATCCCATTATAGATGGTTATGAGCCACCATGTGGTTGCTGGGAATTGAACTTAGAACTTCTGGAAGAGCAGCCAATGCTCCTAACCACTGAGCCATCTCTCCAGCCCACATCTGCTGTATTTTGTAGTACTTTTAATTAAGTACTACAAATGTGATGGTGTGCTGGATAGTTTCATATCAACGTGACACAAGCTAGTCATTTGAGAGGTGGGAACCTCAACTGAAAAAAAAATGCCTCCATAAGACTGGGCTGTAGGTGAGCCTCTACAGAATTTTCTTAATTAATGATTGATGGGGGAGAGCCCAGCCCATTGTGAGTGGTGCCACCCTGGACTGTTTCTGGCTTCTTTAGCAGGTTGATCAAGTCATGAAGAACAAGCCAGTAAGCATCACGCCTCCATGTCCTCTGTATCAGCTCCTGCCTGCAGGTTCCTGCCCTGTTTGAGTTCCTGACTTCCTTCAGTGATGGACTATGGTATGGAACTGTAAGCCTCACTTGCTTTTGGTCATGGCGTCTCATCACAGTAACCCTAACTATGACAGGTGGTGAATTGTATGTCGTATGGGGGCGGCACCTTTGTGAGATGGTTAAGATTCTGTGAGGATGTGTGTGTGTGTGTGTGTGTGTGTGTGTGCGTGTGTGCGTGTGTGCGCGCGCGCACGTGTGTTGGGGGATGCTGCTGACCCTGAGGGACTGGAACTTTGTAAGGAGAGACCAAGGCCTGTGTGCTCTGCTTTGCCATGTGATGTCTAGCATCATCTTGGTTGGGACTCTGCAGAAGGTCTCTATTAGTAAGGGACACATAACTAGATGTGGCCACCAGTCCTTGACCTCCTCAGATTTCAGAACTGAGAGCTAAATAAACGTGTATTTATTATAGTTAGTCTGTGGTATTCAGCCATGGACAAGTGAACAGAGACAGCTAGTAAAACAGTTCTTGCTGTGGATTGAGCTCGTTTGTAAACTGGCTAGCGTTTGAAGTCGAGCCAACAGTGAGTGTCTGCATAGAAGGCAGCAGAGGACGGAAAATTGTCTTCTCGAGCAAGGCTCACCGTATAGTCATGCCTTTGGACATCAGAGCTCCTGGTCTGGGAAGGAAATGCGGCAGCAGCAATTGTATCCCCTGCTTCTCAGGCCTGCGGGTTACACCATCAGCTTCCTGGTCTCGTGGCCTCTGGCCTTTATCTGAGTTGAACTACACCCTGGGTTCTGCAGGTCTGTAGTGCGCAAACACCACATGGTGGCACTTCTCAGTCTCCATAACCTCATGAACCAGTTCTGGAATCTCTGCCTTTGTGACCATCAGTTGCTTGTTTCTCTGGAGCAATCCTGTTAGGCTCTAGGTTTCACAATAAGTATATCTATAGCCTTTCATTTCTCTCTCCACCTAGCTAAATATATCTGATCAGTTATGTTTCTTTAGAGAACCCTAACATATTAAGGTTGTTTTGTGGGTTTCTGGGGTTTAAAAATCTCTGTGGAAAAGAAAGGATCGGAATATGTTTTGAGTTATAAACAGACTATACCATTGACTTTATACTGAAAAAGATTTTTATCTTTGGTGTTTTTGCCTGAATGTATCTAAGTGTACCATGTGTATGCATTCCCCTCAGAAGAATATGTGGGAGCCTCTGGAGCTGGAGTGAGCCACCATGTAGATGCTAGGAACTGAGCCTGGGTCCCCTGTATGAGGCAAGAACTCTTAACCAGAACCATCTCTGTAGACTGAGCTAAAGGTTTTTAAAGGTAGGCTCTATTTACCAACTTAGGTTCATTATTTCAAAGCTGGGGAGGCGGGGGAGTCATGGACGTGTATTGTGTACTGCTCGGGCTTGAACCCAGGGCTTTGTTCACGTGAGGTGAGCACTCCACCATTGGACTATATCTCTAGGTCCTTATTTAGTATTTTTAAGCAGGCAAAAGTGCCCATATTACACACATACACACACACAGAGTTTTGACTTAATACGGTGACTTTAGGCCTTCATCAGTCCTGCTGTGCAACCCAAGCCAACCTCACCGTTTTCACCAAGTTGTCTTTGCAGGTCAAATGCTCAGAGTCCAAGGTGTAGCCTGTGGTAGCCGGCCCTCAGCTGAGGATGATGCTGCTGGGCTGTGACCTGGAGTAAAGAGACTGCAAGATCATTTTATCCGAGACTGAGACCACTCACTTCCTACCGGACTTGAGGTAAACATCTGGGCTTGTTCATATATATGTTCGTCCACTGTGTATTTGGGGTGGGGTGGGAGGTAGGATAAACACAGTAGCATTAAAAACTCGAACCTTTTCTTGTTCTTCCAAAGCTCTGTAAATAAGAGATTGCCCGTAGATGGCCATCGGGATAAGTCACAGCTTCAGCTTAATAAGGACATTCATCAGTGCCAAAGGTCTTGTCAGTATTTTATTGAAAGGTCTTTTCCCTTAAATAATGGACATTTTTTTTTTACATTCAAACTGTATACAACCAAAATCTCAAAATAATATTAAAATCACACTAAGGAATTTTTTATTAAGTATCTACTTTAATTTTATTGTTGGTAAAAATATTGCAAGACACTTGTAGCTAATGTTGCTGCTTTAAAATAAGCAAACTAAAATCACGAGAAGAGACGGTGGATATATACTATACATTTGTAGATGATCAGCTAAAGTGAGAATTTCATGGTAATCAATCATGTTTTATAAGAAACAATTGCACTTGAAACATCTTTAAAGTAAACAAAAACTCTACTTCCATATGTAAGTCTATGAACAGAGGTTAATCACCTATATAACCTTGTCAGAAGTATGTTTAAATTTAAAGAGCTTGTATATTTAATATAGCAGTCATTCATTAAAAAAAAAAAGTCTTGAACTTTTGTTTTCACAGAACTTTCCATAGTTTGTTGCTGAGACAAGCGCAACACAACTGAAGCAGAGTAACACTTCCTTGGTACTCAGTGCAGGTTCGGGTGACTTGGAAATGTAATGTTGAGCATGTGCTTTTTCAGCAAGAATGACGGCCGCCTGTTCTTCGGTAGATTCTTCTTTAAAGATATCCGTGGGGCATTTTTAACTACGCTATATCTTGTACTGTGTGTGGGCTCATGGTATCGAGTCAGTATGAACGCATCTACTAGTCTTTCTTTAATTTGTTTTAAGACGGGGTCTCCACTGTATAGCCTTGGCTGGCCTGGAACTCATCATGTAGACCAGGCTGGCCTTGAACACACAGAGATCCACCTGTGTCTGCCTCCCAAATGTTGGGTAAAAGGCATGCGCCACCATGCCCAGCCCTATTCTTCTTTAGCCATCTTATTTCTGGTCCTGTTTGCTGCCATGATTGTGGTACTGGCCAAAGCCGAGAGGATGGAGGAAGAAGCCAGTTTGGAAGAATCACTGTGGCACTGTAAGTCTAGAGCTTTGTGTGGGAAGATTCCCATTCTATAACTCTAGGGTTTTGTGTGGGAAGATTCCCATTCTATAACTCTAGAGCTTTGTGTGGAAAGATTCCCATTCTATAACTCTAGGGTTTTGGGTGGGAAGATTCCCATTCTATAACTCTAGGGTTTTGGGTGGGAAGATTCACATTCTATAACTCTAGGGCTTTGGGTGTTCTATCAGTGAGGAAATCATTGAACTAACAATTGTCTACACATAAGATTTAGAAATGAATACCAGTGTGGGAAACGTGCAGTGGAATATTAGTTGCTTACAATAGCAGTAACAACAAAAAAGTTACATTGATTCTTAACAGTCAGAAGGTCCAGTAAATATAATACTAAGTCCAACTTGCTATAGTACAGCTTCTTGACCACACATGCCAGCTGCTTCATGAAGCTGAGCCACTGTTTCTAGAGAGAAAATGGTTTCTATGTGGTAAACAGCATCCCTGTCATCCTGTGGAGCAGACAGAATGACAGCACATTGCATATTGAGTAAGCACAGAGGAAAAGGAGTGATGTATGCTATAAAATATGTTAGTGCGGGGGACCAAAAGGGAGGGAATCCCCTGCACTGGGCTAAGATCCTACACCTAGAAAAGGAAACGATGCCAACACCGGGAAATACAAAGTGATTGCCAGCAGTATGTAGGCATTTGCTGGTATGTCTAGTGTCATGTAAAGCAAATCTAGAGAAATAAACATAAATACATGTGGCTTTGACATTGCCAAGTCCCTTGTGTGCACATGTGTATGATAACAAGGCCACGTAAAACTCTGAGATGCTTCTTTTAAAGGTATCAAGGTGAATGCTCTACATTGTAAATGCTTTGGAACATTCGACTCTGAATTATTCAAGTACAAGAGAGGAACAAAAAATTCTCTACAAGAAGTCCTTAGAACAAATAGGTTACACATCTTGGCTTGTTCATTTTCCCTTAAGGCCAAGGGGAAATTTCAGAGGCATGTAATGCCAACAACCTAAACTATCGTACATAAATGGCTGGTTTGGGTGACGGTTTTATTTTCTTGTCTCACGTTTGCATCTTTGGGTGGACAAGCCTTCTCTTCATAACGTGAAAAGCTAGATTACACCAGGGTCTTAACTTTTGGATGTCATCAGAATTCATCTGAAGGGTCTCTCCTAAAATCTATATCCTAGGCCCTGTGCTCCCAGGATCTATCTGGGAGTGCCGCCCGGGCTGCTGGAGAGCCACTGCGCTACATGAGGAGTCTTCTCAGCGACAGCTCTGACCCAGAGTTTGTTCCTTTGGAGCCAGCGAGGCCAGACAGTCCTTGGTCTTTAAAGAGGGCACTGCTATAACAGGGTACACCATGGATCAGTCAGTATGAGTGGTTTGCTACGTTGTGGTTTTAGGGTGGGAAAAAAAGTCATGAAAACCAGACAGGCACAGAGCTGGGGGCCAGCTTTTCCTTATTCTCCCAGTCACTGCATCCAGGAGAGTGATACCATGTTTTATGTACATGTGAACCTGTCACTGTTCCATATGCAAACACACAGGGTAAATGTTTGGGGTAGAAGAGTAGAGAATCAAAATAAAAAAAGTAATAGATTGGCAAAAGGATATAATCTGAAATGGTGCGTGGGTGTGCATGTATATGTGGGGACCATAGATGGGCATGGCAGGCTCTCCTGAGCTCTCCTGTGCAGATTTAGATGGGCACAGATGGGCATGGCAGGCTCTCCTGAGTTCTCCTTTGCAGATTTTGCTTCATGTGGTCCCTCAGCCAAAACTGTCTCTTGAGAACTAGGGGAGCTCAAGGCACCAGGACCCAGGGTTGTGCAAATACACTCTTTACAATGAACACCACCAGTGCAGTTTCTAAACATTATTTTAGAGCCTATAAAACATGCTTCTTTTCCCTAACTTGGTTTCTTTATCACATATAAAAAAATAAATAAATAAAAAGGGCAAGAGAAGAGCCAGCAACTGGCCACAGACATGGGAAAGAGTCACTGTTTACTTAATGATTTGTGGGCAGTCGCTCCAGGCCTTTGCTTTTCTCTTGGCCAAAGCCAGCCAGGCAGGTTCTGTAGACACGGGGGCAGCGTCTGGAGTGGAGAACCTCTTGGTGACCTCCTTTACCAGCGGTGTTGGGGGCGCAGAGTCTGAGATCTCCACTGCGTTGTTTGAAGGAAGAGAGAAATAAGAACCACATAAAGACAAACATTTTAGTCAATAGAATTATATGTACTTACTATACATGAAATGATGCATGCACGCACACACACACGCATGCACACACACACACCTCAGAACACCAAAATCTAGCTAGCTGTTGTTCACAGAATTACTAAGAACATTTAAAATCTGCTCTTAGGACTTTAAGAATCCAGTAGGCTGTTAGCTCTAGTAACTGCGTTATACAACAGATTTCCTTTTTTTTTTTCTATTTATTTACTTGTTTATTTATTTACTTATTTTTTGAGACAGGGTTTCTTAGTGTAAGAGTCCTGGCAGTCCTGGATCTTACTCTGTAGACCAGGCTGGCCTCAGAGATCCATCTATGTCTGCCTCTGCCTCCTGAGTGCTGGGATTAAAGGCAAGTACCACTGAACTTCTCTGAAATGTTGTACCCTTTAGCAAACATTTCAAAGGTTCTCCAGAACAAAATTTTGACTTATTTAGTGGTATGAAAGTCAAGTCAGGCATGATAGTGCGTGCCTTGGAACTTCTATGGTCCCGAACTCCTGGTCTTCCTGCCCCAGCCTCCCAAGTGCTGAGATTACAAGTGTGGGCCATGGGGCCTGGCAAGTTGGTGAAGTCAATAGCAGGCTGCCTCCTCCACAGAGCAGCTCCTAGCTCTATTAAGCTAGCATTATTATAAAGTGCGATAATCCTTTTGTCCTTCCAACTGGACAGAAAAAAGAATGACCTCTTGGGCCTTGCACCTTCCACTTTTCATAAAAAAAAAAAATCTCAGTCTTAGTCTAACATTTAGAACCCTCATTGTAAGAGCAAATGAAAGAATACTTAGAGGTCCCAGAGATCAGTGTTCTAAGGTAGTTCTGGTATATGAACACTCCTACTTTACCACTAGGTAGTGAAACCTTTTGTAATACGTCCACATCTCCAGACCTCAGGGGACAGGTAGCCAAGGCCTGAGTGTTAGTATTCAGGCATCTGTACTGGCCTGCCCTTGGGGTCCTGACAGGGTACGTCCTCAGTTACAGCCACTAAGAGCAACCCCTGTGCACATTCACTACATTCCCATCTATTTTTCTCTCTACCTCTCTCTTTTGCCATTCTTGTCCCCAGGGTCCGGTCTCTGCCCCTTCTCTCTCCTCTTCTGGTAGACCTCCCATGTGAGTCCTGTTATATGGCATGATTCCTTAGCGCCATTTTTTAAAATAAATTATAACACTGGTGCCATGAGATTCGGCGGGCCCTCCTGGTGCTTCCTCCAGCCCACCAGAGGTCTGAGGCGTGCTGGGACCCTTCGTCCAATACCGGCCTGTCTGGACAGTGAAGGGGGCAGAGATCAGTCCCTGGGGATGAGTGGCAGAAGAAAGAAAGAGAGAGGGGGAGAGGTGGGCAAGGCCCACCTTTTAAGGGAAAAGTAGTGAGGTGCTCTTAGCTGCAGCTAGGACTATCCTGTCAAGCCCCTAAGGACAGGCCAGTACAGATGCCTAAATGTTGGTAATGGGAGAGGCTGGGGCTTAGATATGGCTACGGTTTGCACTGTCTCCCCAGTGTTGACATGCAGGAAGACTAATTTTCTAGTGTGGTGGCAATGAATTCTTCAGCGTTGGGAGGCAGAAGCCTAGTGGTGTGTGCTTGGGTGTTGGGGACCGCCCTCACAAGTAGATTAATTTCCTCATGCTACTATAGGAGCTTGCCTGCTTTCTCTCTCTCCCTGTGTACACACTTATCCCTTCACTTTCCGACCAGCTCTGTAGGTTCCTCATCTCTGGGTATTCTGCTAGCCTTCTGTAAAGGGACAGAGACAGCTTCCACAGAGGTCCGGGTGGCGGCTTTCACACACTTAGACCAATCTTGTCATTTCAGATGACAGGACCCTGGGGTCTACTTCCAAGCCTGGGCTCGCTCTATGTCAGTTCTGCCTAAACTTTACACCTCGCCTTCCCCAGCCTATTATACTCATCTCTTTCTTTGTTTAATGTCCTGGTAGATGCCCTTCCTTGCTGTAACAGACAGGCAGATGATAAATAATAAAAGTGGATGGTAGGCAATGAGGTACTGGTGATGACTCACGTTACCCTATTGAATGTTCAGAAACCAGGGCAAGCCAGTTGGTGTCAAATCAGCCACAGCTTACGTATTTACACCATGGAAGGTAGCGAAGGCTACAAACTCTAAGGAGATGACTGCACAGGCATTTTACTGTCTCCCCTCTGAGAGCTGGGGAATTCCTGCTGTCTGCATCAGCATCAGTGTTTACAACTGGGTCTTGAGAGCCTGTGCTCTGTGATGTCTAAGATGCTATGCCAAGTCACTCCATGACAGGGAATAAAGCTGCTCTCAGGCAAACCAGGGTGTACCGGCGCTCTACCTGTCACGGATGTGGGAAGAGTGTTGGCCTTCTTCAGCTGTTCTCGGCGCTGGAGCCTGGACACTGCAGTCTCAGGCTTCTTCTCTTCCGACGGAGTGGCGGACTTGTGCAGGGAACCGGCTCTGCTTCCAGGCTGCGGGCTGACACTGACCTGCATTAGCACAGAGAAAGCATGTATGTTTTCAGGGCACGACCTCTCAGCCCCGCTATGAAGGGACTGGGCTGCACCTGTGAGCGGTGTGTTCAGGGCAGGCCTCCAGTGAGGGCCCAGTGCCTTGTACCAAGGATGGGAAGTTACTTTCCAGGACGAGCCCCATCAAGATGATCAGAAAGTTAGGTCATAGAAGAAGGCTCCAGATACACTCTGCCCACTGAACAAACTCACTTCCCTATCTCCTACTTACAGTAGTTTCCCTTCTCCAAGATGGATCAGTCTAAGATCCTTGTGGGCTGTCTAAAGCCAGGGGCAGAACTAAACGCTGATTGTTCTCTTTCCTTCCCTTAGATTTCAGTCACTTCAGTCTGACTGTTCTTACTAAGCCAAGCACTTTTGCCTCAGGAAGGCCTTCACAGCTCCTTGGCATCTGCTCATCTCCAGTATCGTCACAATCACACCTTGGGAACATTCTTTTTTTTAATTTTTAAATTCATTTTACATACCAAACACTGGACAAAGAGTGTCTGATGTGGGAGTCCCCTCTGTGTGCTGTGATTACCACCAATGAATAAAGAAACTGCCTTGGCCTGTTGATAGGGCAGAACTTAGGCAGGAGGACTGGACTGAATGCTGGGAGAAAGAAGGGCAGAGTCAGAGAACATGGAGCCACCAGAGACAGATGCAGGTTGGAACTTTAGCTGGTAAGCCACCACCACCTGGCAATACACAGATTAATAGAAATGGGTTAAATTAATATGTAAGAGTTAGCAAATAAGCCAGAACTAATGGGCCAAGCAGTGATTTGATTAATACAGTTTCTGTGTGATTATTTTGGTTCGGGCGGCCAGGATGAACAAGCAGCTCCCTGCAACAAGTATCTCTTGTCTCCGGGAATAGAACAAGGGATTTCATCATACAAAATGGGCAATTTAAACCTATGAATTTCTGGAATTTTCCACTTAATATTTCTAGATCATGATTGACCACAAGTCAAACCATGGAAAGTGAAACTTCAGATCAGTGGGCAGGGACACTCCTGTAAGCACAGTATGGGAGTGCTGTAAATACATCCATCTTAGATCCTGCCGAATAAGGCTCGCATAGTAAAAGCATAGTAAAACCAAGTTAAATTTAAATTTTGCTGCTTAAAAAATGCTTCCCTGATTTAAAGGCAGTCAATTTCTCTACTTCCCTGCCCTCTATAAACAGCACCTCCGGGTGGCATCTTAAAAATGACCTCGCGTGACTTGGAGAAGAGCTAAGCTCGGCTTGGGACGGCAGCACTGAGAACGGAGAGGGAGGGCTACTCACAGTTTCTTTACAGAGCTTCTCTGCTTGCTTGGCCTCCCGGGCTTGCTTCCTCTCCTCTCGAGTGGCCTGCTGCTCACGAAACCCCTTTTGCTTTTGCAGTGCCAATGTTATCCACAGCGGCTGAGCAGCTTCACCTTTCTCTGTTAATTTGGAGCCATCTACAGAGTGCCTGCTCTGGAGCATGGGCTTCTCTATGGAGGAAAGAAGATGACGTTTGCTGCAATTAGCACTTGGCTTAGCGTCTCTTCCCATAAAACTGTGGCATAATTCCTGATAGGTGTATGACGTCTATGCTGATGCCCAAGGGATCCCATTGGCTGGGAAGGTGACATCTCTGACTAACAGGAAAATGGGTGTTTTTCTTCCCTAAAGTGGAACTACTTTATAAGAAAATAAAATTGCCAATGTGATAAAAATCCAAGTTTATGGGGCTGGAGAGATGGCTCAGTGGTTAAGAGCATTGCCTGCGCTTCCAAAGGTCCTGAGTTCAATTCCCAGCAACCACATGGTGGCTCACAACCATCTGTAAAGAAGTCTGGCGCCCTCTTCTGGCCTTCAGGCATACAGACAGAATATTGTATACATAATGAATAAATAAATAAATAAATAAATATTTTTTAAAAAAATCCAAGTTTATGGGAGACCCAGGTAGTATGGGTTCGTTGCTTTTGTGGGCTTTTTTAGCAACAGAAACGTTCTTCTCAAAAAATGTTTTATATGGCACCCCAGTGTTTGAAGAACAAAAAAACAGCGGTGCTGTATACTTGAGGTAGCTGCTAAGGGGAATTCAGACTCCACAGTGTTTGTGTCTTGCCATCTATTACCTAAACACAAACAGACACTAAAAAGACAAATTGTTTTTAAGAGGAAAAAGGAAGGAAGTCTATTTCCTGAGAACTGCAGTTTGCGTAGAGTAGCCTAGGGTTACGGGTCATATTTTATAGACTGATAGACTACCCACGTACTCTAAAAGACTAAGTGTAAAGGCTTATTAGGTCTGGCTCCCAGGACCATAAACAGGACATTAAAATTGGATTCCTATTTGAGCCTCAGCCAAGGATTTTCCCAAAGCTTGTGACAAAATAATCATTGCTACATCGTCACATTTTCTACAGTACAGGGCCACCTACTATGGACCCGCATGGTACAGGACCATCAAACAGCCACCACCAAGGACATGGGAAAACTCAGATGGTAGCTGAAGACTAGTCTTTCTTTTGGATATCCTACTGTCCTTACATAGCCTCTGGAAGGCAGGCTCCTTTGTTAGCCAGCGGTCTTCAAAGTTGGTTGAATGTCCTAGAGAATGTGTAAGACATTTCATAGGGGTGAAGAAATTATGAAATTTTTAATTTGTTACTTTTAAAGATTACACATGTATATGCCTGAAAAGGGAAAAGGGGCCAGCCAAAGAAACCCACCCTGGCTCTGAAACCAGAGCTAGTGGAAAACACACACACACCCTGGATCTGAGACCTGAGCCAGTGAAAAAAATACTTTAGCCCTGAACCCAGAACCAAAGAGAAAACACCCTGACTCTGAAATCAGAGCCAAAGAAACACACTTTGGACCTAGAACCAAAGCCAGTGAAAAAAATATGCTCCAGCCCCAAAACAAGAGCAAAAATCTTTTAAAAAGGCCAGTGAAAGAAACACAATTTGGCCCTGAAACCAGAGCCAACTCTGCCCCTGACCAACTAAACTAACCAATCCCCGCGCAGGAAAACTAATCAATCCTTGAGCAGAAAAATCTCGCTGGGAAAACTCCACCTCTAAGAAGCCCTATCTAAGTGCCCCCACCCCTGCCAGTTCTGTTGGGGTGCTGTCTTTCCTCATTGTGGCAGAGGCAGCCACTCGCCTGGACTCCTCCTTCCCAAACAAATCTCTTAAAAAAGTCTTGGGTGAAGATCTTCATTTGCAGATGCACAATAGAAGAACCTTGCTGAGATGTCCCTTATGGGACCGAGCAGAAAAACCTTGCTGAGAAGTTCTTTTAGAAGGACTAAGCAAGGCTGAGCCTAACAGAAAAGAAGAATTTCACTGAAATGTTCCCTTAGTGGGGGGCTGAGGAGGACTGAGCAGAACAGAAGACCATCACTGCGGAGCAAGACTGAGCAGAAAAAAGTAAGCTTTTCTTGGAGCGGGGGAAATTGCTACATTTCTGCAGGGGCTTCCCCTTTAGCAGAGTGTAGCAAAAGAAGTAACATCTTGGGTGGCAGCAGATAGCTCAGCTAGGGCTAGGAAGTTCCACCGCACCCCAGCTTCAGGTATCGCCTGACTTCCCGACAAGCCAGGATACCTCTCCCTCCAGGGCTGAGCTTTCCTATTGCGGCCCCAGCCTTCAGAGCTTTCCTATTGCACTTCTACCCGTCCAGAGCTGTCCTATGGTGGCTCTAAGAATAGACTGGCTTCCCCTTAAGTCAAGATACCATTGCAGATCAGAGCTGTAATATTCACAACGCCCACAGAGGTCAGAGGCATTGGATCCTCTTGGACAGAATTATAAGTAGTTGCGAACTGCCCAATGTGGGTGCTGGTGACCAAACTCTGGTCCTTGTAACAGTGGTATGAGATCTTAATCAATGAACCAGCGCCAGCTGGCCTGGGACTGGCTATGCAGATCAAGCTTGTCTCTAACTCAGAGATCTATCTGCGTCTGGTTCCCAAGTACTGGGATCAAAGGCATGTGCCTATTTAATCTGAAGTCTGACAAGCCAAAATCTGACTACCAGGGAAGAAACTGGGGCGGTAATAGTTTTAGAGAGAAAGTTACAAAAATCAAAGAGTGTTATAGAATATTATTATGAGGTGTGTTACTTTTGTTTATGCTCTGGAACATTTGTTTAATGATGCAAAGATATGTTCGATTAAATAAAATTCACCTGCAGGCCAGAGACTGCCAAAAAAAAAAAGGTTAATTCTATCTGTGTTAGCTGGGGCTACATTTCAGTTCAAGGGATGCATAACATGGAAAGGGACTGATTCAGGCGAACTTGTTTCTAAGGTGTTCCCAGAGCCAGTGACCCGGGCTCCCTCTCAATTCCCTCTCCATTGAATGAAGCTGAGCATTCAATCTGCAGCCACATACCTTTTCTTCCTGTTTCAGGAGTCAAGGAAGGTCTCTCTTGCTGGCTGGCTGATGGAGGCGGGGAAGCGGGTTTCTTTTCTGGCACCTCTTCCTCGACCCTCTTCTGTCCCTTCAGCTCCTCTGGCAGTGGTGGTGAGGGTGGCTGGTTATCACTGTTCTCCTGGCTCTCCCTGCAGGCCCCACTCGGCTCGGAATCCACCTTCCCAGCACGCCTAGCAAGCAGCTCTATTAAGTGAGGTCTGCTGAGTTTGGAGAACGGCGATGAAGGTGGCGTCTGGCTGGTAGGCTTGGGAGCCAGGGCTGGCTTCTGCATTGGTGGCATTTTGCTTGCTGCCTTGTCCTGCCCTGGAGCTGGGGTCTGGCTACCTTGTGGCAGCCCTGACTGAGCTACAGCAACAGAGTGACGGCTAGAAGGGATTTCGGCAGAGTCCCTTCGAGGGGCTAGGGCTGGCTTTTTCTCCTGGGGATGGGATGTGCCAGGCTTGAGGGTCACAGCTTCAGGCTCTTTCTCTCCAGGGTTGCTCCCGGTTGCGGGAGTGCCACCATCCACAGTGTCTCCCATGCTGCTGTGCCTCTTTTTCTTCTTCTGTTCGGCTTGCTGGTCACACTGGAAGCGCAAGGAGTAGTTGGTCCTTCTCAGCTTTATTCCGAAGGGCGAGGCCTTTTCCTCACCTCCTGAGATGACAAGGTCTGGCTGTCCCACATCACTCGTGGTACTGTCCAAAGTGGTCGTGGACCCTGTGCGGGAAGCAGATTTCTGCGGAGAAGGCAGGCCTGGAACGAGGAAAGATGGAAGGTCTTTGGCAAATTTGCATCCGTCAGTGGTGTCTGGTGGCTCCTGGTGCACCTCTTGCTTCTTCTCCAGGCACTCCCGAAGCTCCGGAGCGGCAGGCAGAGGCTGAGGTGTTGTTTCTTCACCTGCTGCTGGCCCGGGTTTTTTCCTCATGCTTTCACCACCGTCCAGGCTCTGTTTGGAGGTGTCTGTGCCTCCGTCCGAGAATTTCTGCCAGGCAGGCATGATAGAGAACTTGACTGGCTGCGTCCTGCGCATGTTCCCTCGGGAATCGCACCTTGCTCGGGGAGCGGGCTCATCCCCGGCTTTGGCCGGCTCTCTGTCACCACGCTGGTCACCGTCTGCGTTCTTCAGGATCCTGGATCGAATGGACGCCCACTCGGCTAGCGCAGTGGCATTGCTCGGCGACTCTGGGGGAGGCCTGGCCTTGCTGCTGGTGGCCCTGGGTTCCACCGTGGGGATATCCACCTGCCGCTTTTCTTCTGACAGGCCTAGAAGGGACTTGCACGCCGTGTCCTTGATCTGGCTCAGGTTGACCGCTGGGCCGCAGAGCTGCGCTCCAGTGACCAGAATGGCCGTGTGAGGGATGCTGAGTGCCGAGGGCAGGGCGTGTGGGGTGGCGCCACTGGGCACAGGTGGTTCCTGGGCCACTGGAGCCAGGCTTGCGTCCTTGGCGGGTGTCACTGGGCTCAGGTTGACTTTGGGGAAGAGAATCTGCCTACTCCCAGAGGACACCTGGAATGTGTAGGGTCGGGGCATGGTCTGCCGCTCTTCCACCTCTTGCCACCGGAGCTCCTCCACATTTCGGTCCTTATCTGCAGCGACAGCTTCGTTCTTGTCTTCTGAGGCCAGCGTTCTGCCCATCTGCACCTCTCCTGGCAGGGGGATATCTATCTGAGTGGCTTCTCTCCCTTCCATGTCTACATCACTGCACTCCGTGCCCAAGTCTTCCCTCTGCCCATCTGGCTCACTGGTCATCTTAGCCTCTTCCTTCTGCTCCTGGGCCATCTCTTTCTGTCCCACGGATTCGAGGTTTTCTTGTTCCTCTGGCTTCTCAAGGTCCCGCTGCAGTGGGCTTTGCTGATTAGTGTATTCCGCTAGTCGAGGCTGGCTCTCTCCTGGACTCCGCGGGCTTTCGTCCATGCCCTGCACCTCCATTTCCCATCCTTTCAGCTCTTCTGTGCACTTGGCCTCCTCTTCTTCTTCCTGCCTGAGGTCCTGCAGCATCCTCCTGGCCTCCTCCTCCTGAGCATGCTGCCTCTCGGCTTCCAGCTGCTTCATTTTCTCCTCCTGCCTCTGGGCCTCGAGCTGCCTCAGTTCTTCCTGTCTCTGGGCCTCAAGCTGCCTCAGTTTCTCCTCCTGCCTCTGAGCCTCAAGTTGCCTCAGTTCCTCTTCCTGCTTCTGGGCCTCGAGCTGCCTCAGTTCCTCCTCCTGCCTCCGGGCCTCGAGTTGCCTCAGTTTCTCCTCCTGCCTCTGGACCTCGAGCTGCCTCAGCTCCTCTTCCTGCCTCTGGGCATCCCGCTGCCTCAGCTCCTCCTCCTGCCTCTCGGCCTCACACTGCCTCAGTGCCTCCTCCTGCCTCTCAGCATCTTCCTGCTCACGCCTATGCTTTTCAGCCTCTAGGTTCTCGGGGTCATCAGCTTCCCCCAACTCTGCACCTCCCCACTCCTCCAGACCAGACTGCTGCTTTTCCCCTGGAGGTGCCTTCCCTGCCTCTAGCTGCAGCTCCTCCTCCTTGCCTTCCTCCTCTTCCAGCAGCTCCTCTCTGAGACTCTCCTCCCAAAGCCTCCTCTCCAGTGCCTGCCGCCTCTCCTCTTCCAGGCGCCTCTTCTCAGCTGCCTCGGCTTTTTGTCGCTTGCACTTGGCTTCAAGTTCCTGCCAATACTCTTCCTGGAGTCTTTTGTCTTCGCGGGAATCCAGAGGTTCTGGTTCCTCTTCATGCCAAATGTGCTTGTCTTCTCCCGGCTGCCCGTTCTGGTCCAGGGAAAACTGCCTCTCAAAGCTGCCTGGCTCATTCTGACGATCCTGGCACAGGAAAGTGAAGCAGTTAGCCTTTTCCCACAGAGCCCCAACTCGTCCCTGCCACAGCTCAGATCTCTTAATCGCAGGAGGACACGTGTTCCCAAATACAGACAGAGGTGCCTGCAGCTGCCCACAATGGTCAGCTCTTGCTGTCAACCTGACTGGACTTAGCATCACCATGGAGACACACCTCTGGGTGTTTCCAGAAGAGCCCGAGGTTGAAGGCCCAGCCTGAATATGGTGGTGTTGGTGGGGGGTGGGGAGCGATTCCAAGGGCTGAGGTCTAGGGTAGACATAGGATGGAGAGAGAGGAGAAAGGGAGCTGGGCACTAATGTTTCTCTCTGCTTCCTGAATATGCAGTGACTGCTGCCTCACACGGCTGCCGCCATGATTTCAGGGACATGTGCCACTATAATCAAACTGTCGGGGAAAATAAAGCCTCCCCTCAGTTCCTTTTCTCAGACATTTGTTACCAGTGAGAGCAGCAACTAAATCCCTGCTATCCAAGGTCTTGCCCCACCATTTCTCTTCTCTAAGGGCAACTGAATAACATGTCGTTATGATTGTTCTAAGTGATTATTGTTGTAAATCTTTTTTTTTTTACCATACTAGTTTAGGAATTAAACTTTATCACAAGTATGTATATATGTACATTAACCACAGATCAAACAGTATATATAGGACATTCACAGTGGGGGGTTAAAATGTGCTCCTTCCCAGGTGAATTCAGGCACTGGTCATACAAAAGAAAAGCACTTGAGGGGATGGAGCAAAAAATATTTTTCATTTTGCCCTCTATCCCCTTCATTTTCTATCTCCAAAATTATTTTTTCTTAGTAGGAATTAACAACAGGGAAAGCAATAGCCTGCCAGCATGAGGAAGACGAGCAAAGGGAGATTTGGATTTCATTACTGACCCCTGAAGCTTGTGACTTAGAAGCTCACCCTAGAAAACCTCGGTTAAGCTGAGCCAGCCTGCTTTTCTGCACCCCTCTATCGGCAACACCCTGAGGTCCCCCAGCCTCGGGCCCTGGAGGGTATGCTGCTGGACACTTGAGTTTCAACAGGGAGAGACATAGAGTTAGTATGGCTCTCCCCAAGCACAGCCCACAGTGTACGATTACTGCCCGGCAAGCAAAGGCACCTGCCTCACCGGCTAAGATGGATGCTACACACCTGGGAAAGCCACCTGTGCTTCCGTGACACCCTCTGGTTTTTTGGCTTCACAGAGAGCTTGTGCTTGGCAGCACTGTTGTCCAGACGAGCAATCGCCAGGGGGATGGCGTCCAGATTGACACTTTCAATGGTGCCAGCAGGAGAGAGGTGCCTTTTTGGCCGAGAGGGTTTAACTGGAGCAACCTAGGGCACAGTGGAAGATAGAAAGGTGAGCACGGATCAGAACACGACATACAGGGAGTCCTGCAATGGCACCGGGTTCTGTGTGCCCAGTTTAGTCCGTGGAATGTTTGTTTTAATGAGGGTCAAAGTCGCTACAGAACTCTGAAAACCACAGCCTGTTCCCACCTAGCTTTGGAGGTGGGAGGAAGCCAAGGGTTTCTTTTGCTTGCGGGGGATGAAAAGAGGCACAAGTGCAGGCCAGAGAAATAGAGAGGGGAATGAGCCGCAGAGACCTGTGGGAGGGGCCTGCTGGCCTCTGCTCTGACCTGCTGGTCTGTTCTGCCCCTGGGCTGGGCTTCAGACCACCAGACAGCAGCTGCATGCATTTCTTCTTCATGCAGATTTCTGTTGTCTCCTTTGAATTCTGTCACTGGGGGTTTGATCCTTAGGATCTGACTGCCGTGGTGGTTTGAAAGAAAATGTCCCCTATAGTCTCAGATGTTTGAATACGTGGTCCTGAGATGGTGGTGCTATTAGGGGGGGGGGGGTGAGGCCTGGCAGGGGGGAAGAGTGTTTCAAAGCCTCAGGGCCATTCCCAGAGTGCTTTGTTTCTGGGGTCCTGGTTCAAGATGTGAGCCCTCAGCTTCCTGCCCTGAACACGATGCCTCCACTCCGGCATCTCAGACTTCACCCTCTGGAATCATTGGTTCACAGGAACTCTTATAGCTATAAGTTGCTTTGGTCATGGTATTTTATCAAACAAATAAATAATAGAAACTCATAAACGAACGTCTCTGCCCCTTCTCTCTTGTTCAGAGTCACCAAGACTAGACAGCAATACATACAGGAACCAGGTTCAGGAGGGCCAGCTGGGCATGCCCGAGGAAGTCAATGCTTCCTCAGCAGGAAACAGATGCCAAGGATGCTGTGGAGGGGCAGGACACCAAGTCCTTAGTGTCCAGTTCCAACTTGACAATCTCTGGGCAGAGAGGCCAGGTAAGTCCCCTCCCTAAGGCAGAATTGTTCCTTTCACTGGCCAGCTTCTAGATGGAGGAGGGCCTGGGGCTGTAGCCCATGGGTCGGCTTCACTTTCTAGGGGTCATTAAACCTAGACATATGATACTTGTATCTCTAAACACAAATTTGATAGATGATTCCTTTTATTAACTTACTGGCATGGTTGGATAAAAGGGTAATTGTGAAGCAATAAATTTTGAATTTTGAATAAAAGGCTCCTTTTTCTGTCTGAAAAATAGAAATTATCCATTTGCTATAAGGATTTTCATAGGTTCATGACCTTGGGCTATTCTGACATTGGGCTATTCTTTCTTTTTTTTTTATTTTTTTTATTTTTTTTTAATAATTTTTTTATTAAGAAAAGAAGAAAAAAAACATAAACAAAAAACAAGTTTCCACCTCCTCCCAGCCTCCCATTTCCCTCCCCCTCCTCCCACCCTTCTCCCCCTCCTCCCACCCTTCTACCCCTCCCCCCCACTCCTCTCCCCCTCCCTCTCCAGTCCACAGAGCAGTCCAGGTTCCCTGCCCTGTGGTAAGTTGGGCTATTCTTTCTTAAATGTGATATTAGGACAGGTAATTTGTAACGAGTAAGAACATGTTTTGGGACGGGCACAGTGACACTTGCCCGTATTTCTGGGAGACACAGGCGGAAAGACTAAGTGTGAGCTCATCTTGAACTCTACAGAGATCTTATCTCTCATATGCGGATCATAGCTTTACATCTTTACTTTAGATTTGTGTGTTTAACCTGGAATATCTGCAGAGGTCAGAGTTCTTCATGGTGGGGAGGATTGCAGAACATGTGATATTACGGCAGAGGAGTATCCTGGAGGTTAACGTCTAATTAGAATGGGGGGGGGACGGCATGGGGGAGAGGAAGGAGCAAGGGAGTGGGTTCACCAAAATGAAGGATGTATAAATAACTAAAACCTTACCATTTTGTAAGATAATTAAAAATTAAAAAGCAAAGAAGTTTGAGTTTGCTGCTCCAGAAACTTGGGTTATTAAACAAAAATACCACAGTGCTAGGCATAGGATATCTTCCTATAAGTTATTGGTTATGGAGGTCCTGGAGGCCCCTAGATCAACCCAGGCTATTTCATTGCTCTTGGTTGCCCACCATCATTAGATGTTATGACCCTATTGCTGAAGACAGGTGGCAAGAAGTCAATCTGGAACATTCTGGGTGCTGCGAAATAATCCTTCTGTACACTGTAAGGATGTGTTGTTTGCACTGGTTTACTAAAAAGCTGAATGGTCAGTAGCTGGGCAGGATTTTGGGGGCAGAGAGGATGATGGGAAGAAGGGCAGAGACAAGTGTCAACAGCCAAAGGCAGAGGAAGCAGAAGATGAACATGCTGTATTGAAAAAAGGCACTGCCACTTATAGTAATTAGGAGTGGCGGGCTGCGTCCCCGGCACCCGGCCGCCCCCACGGCTAGCTTTACCCGAAATAATTACACGGAAACTGTATTCTTTTAAACACTGCTTGGCCCTTTAGCTCTAGCCCTTACTGGCTAATTCTGATATCCCGATCAACCCATCTCTAATAATCTGTGAGCACCGGTCTTACCGGGAAGATTCTAGCCTACGTCCATCCTGGGTAGGAGCTTCATCACGTGTGTCTGCCTGGGAGCGGGGTATGGCGTCTCTGTCTGAGGCGTCTTACCTCACTTCCTCTTCCTCCCAGCATTCTGTTCTGTTTACTCCACCCACCTATGTTCTAAGCTATGAGCCCAAGCAGTTTGTTTATTACTTAACCAATGAAATCAACAGATTGATATATGACACTCCCACATCAGCCACTTGGTACAGCATAAATGAGAAATATGGGTTAATTTAAGCTGAAGAGCTAGTTAGTAATAAGCCTAAGCTATTGACTGAGCATTTATAATTAATAAATCTCATAATTGATAATAACTCTCTGTGTGGTTATTTGGAAGCTGGCTGGCTGAATGGAAAACCCCACCTACATCTGGAGTTTCTGCCAGTTAATCTCATAATTATAGAAGATGCTGCTCAGGCCACCGGGGGAGGAAAGATACCAATGGTCTTACCCAGCGCTGGATTTTACAATCCTGACCTGCCAGGCAAGACATATCCACTGTAGAAGTAGCATGTCTGTTATGGGAGTAACCAAAAGCTTTCTGCTTGGGTTTGAGACCTGCTCCCCAGGAAGGAGTTCGTGACTGGGACTGTAAACTTGCTGAAAAACTCATAGCTGGGGAGGTCGTAAGCCATAGGAGGACCTTACTATAACAGTTTTGCTAAATGGTCATCTTGTCAAATTTCCTTATAATATTTTTGTTTATACCCACACATTAGTGCCACTAGCAACCTTGGTCAGGGCAATTCTTTCTGTGGTGGGCAGTGCTTACGGCAGAGACTCAGGACTGGTCAAAGAGTTGAGAAGAAGTGGCTGTCGCACACTCAGCCCTAAACAGGACATGTGGATTTGTCTTCCTCCTTCAGAAGGACCAAGAGACAGTGTAGAAGAGTGGATAGAGTGACTGCAAGGGCTGGAGGGGAAGGAGGAGGGCTGAAAATGCCTTCCTGACATGATACCGAGGTTCCGCTCAAGAACCCATAGCACCCACGGTTACCAGGACGCAAGATCAAGCCAGATAATATGGCTGGAGATGGGGCTGAGGCTCCTGCACTCTCGCCCCTGGCTGTGGAGCTGCAGTGGGTGGCTGATGGGGAAGAAAGAGAGTCAATTTTTCTTTGGGGGTGTGGTCCCTGGTAGATTGTCCATGCACCTGTGGATGGCACCACACCCAGAACATGTGGGCAGTTCTAATAAAACTCAGTGAGGTTTTTTTTTTTTAAATGAGGGCATGAAGTAGGGAGATGATGTAACGGAGAGGGCCTGGGGGAAGAGAATGCGAGGAATAGGGGATGGATATGATCGAGGTAAATATACAAGTATGTAATTGCTAAAATACATAAATACAGTATTACTAAATTTTTAAAAATGTTTTGACACAATCATAGGATGCTTAATACATCAAAAAGCTAACAAAGAGCTCTGGTTAAAAAAAATAACCAAGTGGCCTAAGTGTCATTCCCAGAAGGAACCTGGAATAACCTGCAGCTCCGGAATAAAGATACAGTCACAGAGAGACCACTTCCCCTCCCAGCATGGTGTCACAGCCCATACCTGTAATCTCAGTACTTGGGAGATGGAGCCAGGGAAAGGATCGTCCTTGGCCACATACTGCATCCGAGGCTTGCGGGAGCTGCATGAGACTCTTGTCATGGAGACATGACTCAGCAGTAAAGAACACGTGCTGCCCTTACACAGGACCTGGGTTCACTTCCCAGCACACACATGGTGACTCAAAACTACAACTCTAGTTCCTGGGGGTCTGATATTCTCTTCTGACCTCCATGGGCACCAGACATCCATGTGGTGTAAATACATACACACAGGCAAAACACTCATAAACAAAAAAGATCTTTTGTAAGAAGACCCAAACCTTAGACAAACTGCGTGCTTTAGAGAAATTAGTGGCCAAGGCACCGGGTCAGTCAGAGGAGGAAGCCATTCTGGTAATTTGATAATTTAGACATCTGTCCAGCAGGGGACGCTCACAGCCCTCTCAGTCAGCAGGAGCTTTGTGCACAAAGGCCAGCACTGGACAGGGCCAGGCTTGCGAACTGCGCTGTGTGTGTAAAGTCTGTGGGGCTTGCAGGTTGCAATTACCTTCCACATTTTTCCGCAAAAGATAAAAGACCAAGCTAGTACACAATTACAATCAGCCAGAACTACTTAGTACATATGACTCCAGCCTTTGGCCTTGTCGCTTTTACTTGCTTATGGTTATTCTTATAACAGCTATAAAATTCTGAGAAGAGTTAAACACTTATTTCCATTCCCTAAGAGATACCTGGGAGGACAGCAGAGCCGATGTGGCGGACTAACGCCAGGGAGGAACGCACGAAGCTGAGAGGTCAGAGGTCAGTGCCAGGCTTTGTCTGCAGCTGTCCCCACTGGGCTGAGGGACTGGTCAGAGCCACCCCCGCGGCCCTGCAGGTGCAGAGCTGGTCTCTGCCACATCCTCCATTTCTTCAGAGAGGGTGTGCCCCGTGTAGGGATGAGAATTCTCACCAGAGAAACTCAGCCCCTCAGGACCAATGCTCGGGGCAGAGGATCTAGGCTCCTCAATGAAGGTAAAATCCCAGGGCCAAGGCGGGGCTAGGGGTGAGGTGATTTGTAAGTAAGAGCAAGCATGAAGCCCTGAGTTCAGGTCCCGTCACCCATGTATGAAGCAGAGCATAGCCATTCACACGCCTGTCACCCCGACACTGTGGAGGCCAAGATGGGATGACCACCTGGTTCAGTGAGAAGGCCCTATCTCTGGAGAAAGACGCGCGGAGAACGGTAGGGCGGGGCTCCTGCTCCTGATTTCCTTCTTTGTCCTTTCTATGCCTACGCTTAGGCGCAGCCCACCCTCCCTCCTCCCCCACCCCACCACACAATAATAAAAGGGCATTAAAAGTGCACATGTGTAAAAGTAGAGAAAGCTAAGGTTGGGTACGGGTTTGTCTCTTACATTTGTTCATAACAGAAGACCCCCTTACAGTCTTGAGTACCTTGCAGACATTCTAGAAAGCCCTTCTCAACAGATTCACATCTTGAAGTGCACCATCCATTTGTACCTAGGGAAGTCAGCACTGTCTAAAACTCCCAAGGCATGATGGGAGTGTGGCTATTCTTCAGAGCAGGGCTCGAGTCTAGCAGTTGGGTTGCCATGGAAACGGATGCTTTAACCTCTTCCCCTGGTCGCTCCGGTTTATGAACAGAAAATAAAATAGCAGATGGTAACAAACGAGGAAAGAGGCTAAAGAGTTCACATTCCATTACCTTCTCTTCCATCTCACTTCTGGCTTCAGGTAGATTCAGAGGACTGGAGGAACTTGGCGTGTCACTAGACTGGAAGAGAAGAGAGACCGCTTGAGCTGTGGAGACAGGAAGTGCTGGGCGAATAACCAGCTCTGTCTAGGCCTGACCAGGGTGGCCCCGTGCTCCACAGGGGGACACGGGCTCTCCTGGAACCACCAAGGACCACCGTGGTCATTGCTGACTGGGCCTACAGAGCTGTGGAGGAGCACCGTCCTCTTTTATTCCTGAGTTCGTTGTGCTTCCCTCCTGGTTAGCTCCCAGCCCCACGGCCTGTGCTTCCTCTCAGGGTCAGGGAGGCTGAGAGGCTGCTTGGCGACCACCTTGCCTGGGAAATGGGGCCCTGGTACACACAGTTCGGACCTGGGAGCTCTCAGACTTCCTGGTAGCCGTCTAGCTTTCCCCTGAGACTCCGGAGCAGGGAGTGAAGATAAAAGATCCTCCCAGAGCCACGTGCAGAGAAGGCAAAAGAGCAGGGAGGAAAATCTGGGGGTGGCGCACCAGACTTGTTCTGGAAACATCCCCAGAAGGTGGTTGTACTTCTACCTCATGTGGGTGTGTCAGCTTGCCCAGTCCACTCTAGGCTGCACACGTAAGATGTTTAGAGACAGAAGTCAGGCTTTGTGAGTCGACTCAATGGATAGGGGCAGATCTGATGACCGGACTTTAATTCCCAGAACCCATAGGTAGTAAGGGCAGGAGAGAACTAATTCTTTAGAACTATCTTCTGTTTTGCAGGAAAATGGATGGAGCTAGAAAACATTATTGTGAGTGAGGTAACCCAGACACAGAAAGACAATTATCACATGTACTCACTCATAGGTGGTTTTTAAACAAAGCAAAGAAAGCCAGCCTACAAACCACAATCCCAGAGAACTTAGACAGCAATGTGGACACTAAGAGAGACTTACATAGATCTATCTAATCTACATGGGAAGTAGAAAGTAGAAAAAGACAAGATCTCCTGAGTAAATTGGGAGCATGGCAACCTTGGGGGAGGGGAGAGACACGGAGGGGAGCAGAGAAAAATCTAGAGCTCAGTAAAAATCAATAAAAAAAGAACAAAAAAGAACTGTCTTCTGAATTCAACACACATGCCATGGTATGCACCTACACACACACACACACACACACACACACACACACACACACACACATTTAAAAGAACACAAGTCAGCTCCAGACACTTCCTTCCTCACTATTACTCAGAATTCAAATCAGGATTCTCCCTTTTCATGGCCTCCAGCATCTGGCCTTGGCATCTGCCTTCCCCAGCGCCCACCCAGCCCCATCTGACCAGTTCCTCCCGGTCTCCTTTCTAAGATCAGCATGTTCTTTTTGGTCTTTGGTCTTTGTTCCGGCTCATACCTGTGCCTAGAACACTTACACCTTGTCACCCCCTGGTCTGTTCCCAAGCCCACATCTGAAAATGCCACCTCCCCCCGCCCGCAGTGAGTCACTTACTGCCTTATTCTCGGCAGGCAGCATTGTGCCTGATCTCAAACGATCATCTTTACCTGTATGGTGACTTGTGTGCTCTGTGACAGCCTCTCATTAGGATGTGAGCCACCAGAGGCCCTCCTGTGACAAATCTTGCTCATCTCTGTAACACCCACACCTAAGACAAGGTCTGCTGAACAAAGAGCCTCTGTCCTTCCTGAGGCCACAGAGCCTCCCGCTTTGAAGTCATAAGTAATAGCAAGGGCATTCTTTGGTCCTCGTGAATTCCCTGTGTTAGAGTGAGGGAGGTTGCTGCTGTTGCTGCCACCACTGCCTGATACTGGGCAGGTGGGGGAGAGCATTTCGAAATCCACGAGGAAGGAAGGACCCCCGTTTCTTCCTCCTTCACCCACCATCATTTGTCAACATGTGGGGGCCAGGGGTCATCACGGCCAGGCCCCAGCAGAGGTGGCAATAGGACAAATTGTCCGTTTTCACTGCAAACAGTTTGCCTTGCTCTTCTGAAATATTAGCTGATAATAGCTATGCCTATTTTTAACAGCAAACACCCAGATTCTGGAACTGATAGGCAAAGTTGTTTTAAGAAAGACCCAGTGTCCACTTGTCACTAGAGAGCCCCGGACTGGCTATTCCGAGGGCTTTAGAGCCTTTTCTCCTCTACACAGGCCTGTCCTCTGCTGTTGGAGGAACTGGGAATTCAGGATCTAGTCAAAGTGTTCCCTGGAAAGTGTCAATACACCCAGTTTAGACAGCCAGATACTGGAACGTGACTTTCTTTCCAGCTGATGGGAGTTCAAGCTGGCGGATGTGAGGCCCTCTCCCTGGACCCCTACTGCTTTCTTTTCCAGCTCTCTTAAATTAGTCCAATTTGTCAAATAATTAGTCAGCTACTCAGCTGGCAGTCTCCAACTCCTGAGGAGAAAGGGATGTATAAGAGGCAGTTTTAGCTGCAAAAAGCCAATGTTTAGAGATGGAGAGAAAACAATTTTACACAAACATTTATGGATGGGGGACACAGATATGAAACTGCAGAGGAGTCAATGCATCTTTGGGTGTGAGGTCGGGAAAGATTTCCCAGAAGCACCTGAGTCACCTGAGCCTTGAAGGATATGCAGAAGGCTCCGGCAAGGGCATCTGCAAAGGGCTTGTGCCCTCCTCCTCCTCATCTTTCCCACTGGTCCTCAGTACCCTCAGGCCACAGCCTGAGCACCAGAAAAGCTTCTCCCCTCATCTTATCCCATCCCCCATCCCTCCACTCCTCCAATCTAGACTCCAGGGTCATCAGATGTCACCGTCACCTGGCTGGCATCCTGCTCTCTGGCTTATGAGAATCAAATTCCCCCTGGAGGAGACTTACTTTGTTCTCTGGGTCTGAGAGGACAATATCCTGCTGAGTCACAATTTCCATGGGACTGGTCAGGAAGAAGTCCTCATCAGAGCTAGCGTCCGCACTGCCCGCCTTCTTCATGGGAATGGCATTCGATGGCCGCTGCCCAAACTTGATATTCTTGCCCAACTGTCGCTGCGGGAGAAACAAGGGGAAGACGTTCTGAAACAGTCTCTACAGCCATGACCAGGGTCCCCGGAGACAGTCGTGCCCAGCTGCCTTCTGGGGGCACGGCCATGCCGAGGGACCTTAAGGCCATCCTGCACTGAGTCCACTAGCTTCCATCCGCAGAGTCACAAGCTTTTAAAACTCCAGCCACCTCTTAGATGCAAATGTTAACAGCTTCCGGAATGGGCAGGGACCACGTTTCCGAGCCCAGGTTGGAAATACGCGTTTTTAATTTCTTGGATCCATCTACCTACAGCCTTTGAATGCATGAAGAAATTATGTAGAAAATAGTGACATGAAGTGCAGGAGCCATGGGGAGAAATGAAGACTCCTGGGGTGGGCACAGTGGAACCCGCTAGTCCCTTCTGGATACATTCTCTGGGAATCTCTCTGTGTCTTCACCTAGCGTGGAATTCCTCATGTCAAAGCCACATGCTCTGGTCACAGTGGGTCACCAGCCAAGGTGGAGAAGGTCCCAGGGTCAGCAAGGCTTTCCTTGGTGAATGTTGAGATCAGGGATGGGAATGATCCCGTTTTCGTTCCTTGTTACGGTTACACATCGTGAAATAGGGGCCACAAGGAACCTGGGGTAGGGGCGGGGAGGGAAGGGCTAAAGAAGGGCTGATGACTGGCAGCTGGAAGGGCATCTGAATGAAGGGGAGAAATGGGCTGGAAACAATGACCAGCAGCTTGGGTAAGGGCCAGATTCAAAGCAGGAAAACTGACTCCATATGTTTTGCCCCATGTCTCCTGGGGGTAAACTGTCCCCAGCTAAGGACCACTGCTCTAGAGCTACGCCCATGTGTGGTTTAAACCTAATGTGGTGGTTTGATATTTATCTTTAATCTGGCTAATAGTTAATCTGGCAGGGCTTCCAACAAGAGATTTAGCAACCAACAGCTCCAGCCCTGAACTGGCTAGGTTTTCTGAACCTGAGACGAGCTAGAGGCACCCACCCGGGAAGAGAGAACCTCAGCTGAAGAACACCTCGATCAGAAGGGCCTGTGGGCGCATCTGTGGGCACTTTCCTTAATTGTTAATTGATGGAGGAGTCCAGCCCACCGTGGGCGGTGCTACCCCAGGCAGGTGGTTCTGGGTTGCATAAGGGCAGGTGAATGCCAGCCACTAAGTGGCCTTCCTCCCTGGTCTTCAGTTCCTGCCTCTAGGTTTCTGCCTTGAGTTGCTACCCGGGCTTCTTTCAGTGATGTACTGTAACCTGTTTGATGAAATAAACCCTTTTCTCCCCAAGTTTGCTTTGGGTCAGTGGTTTTATCACGGGAACAGGAGGATCAAACTAAGACAAACCCAGTCACTTTGCAAAACAAAGTCCAGGTGCTTGTGGAGAGGTGACCGGCCCAAGCTCATGGGAAGGCTGAGTGGTCCCAAAGGAATCTGAGCCCACGTCTTTTAAAATGACATCCAGACTTCTGGTCACTGTGCTTCACACCAGTTCTCATAAATTTGACAGTGTACTTCCTTCTTGCAGGGTACAGTTACATAAAGAGATGACCGGCATATTTAATATTTCTCTAAAAATCTCTGGCCAAAGAATCCCCTGAGGGAAATATCTCCTGTCCCTCAGAACTCAATGGGACCATGTCCACCCACCTCCACCCAGCTCCTCCCCCATCCCAGCCTTGCCCAGTGAGCAGGGAGACGAAGATGCATGACCAAGATGAGCCCCAAGATGCCCCTCTCTGCACAGCGCACCCCACCCTCAGCCACCCAGCATGCCAAGTCAGGGAGCAAGGGCTTGCGTTTGGTCCGCTGTGATTTCAGCCTGCACTGGGCTCTCGGCCTCCCAGGAAGAACGCACACCCAAAGCCCCCATTCAGCCAGGGAAGGAGAGCTTCAGCAGCCCCCAAGACGTTTGCAGGTTGCTGAAAACGGATGTCTTCCAAAGGCAAGTGGAGCAGGAAGCGGCAGTTAGTACATACTCTAAGCAGGTCCAGAAGCAACACATGTACAACAGCCGATGGAGTCAGACAACAGGAGACGGAATCACGGCCACGGACCCGGGGGGAGGGGGTGGGGGTGCTTCCTGTGGCCACCTGCTCCAAGCCTCCTTAGGAGTGTTGGCCATGAGCCTGACACTGGACTGGGGAGACTCCCACCGGCAGGGTCTTTTGGTGCCAGTGTTCTGGGATGAGATGTGGGAAGAGGGAACCTTCCTTTCTCTTCCGAGACAGCATCTTGCTATACAGCCTAGGCTGGCCTTGGACTCTTGATCCTCCTGCCTGCACCCCTGAGAGTGGGAATTATGGGCATTTGCCACTTGGCTGAGTTTTCCTTCCATCTAAATTGATGAATAATAACTGTACATACTTGTGGACTACTGTGAGGTTTCAATACATGTACATAATACATAATGGTCAGCCAGGGTGATTGGCAGATCCATCACCTCACCCATTTTTCACTTCTTTGTGTTGGGAATGTTCAAAGTTCTCGTTTCTAGCTATTTTGAAATATACTATAAATTATTAACCATAGCTACCCTACTGTGCTATAGAACACTACAACTTAATAGTCCTCCTAACTGTAATGTATTCATTGACCAATGGAGATGAAAACCATTTCTCATTTCTATAATGGGAAGGACTTTCATAGTGCACTTCCTGGCATAACGCTATATTGTCACTTAATGAGGAGTTTGGCCACCACCACAAAAAGCACAAACAGGCCTCTTTACTTGACCAGGGCTCTTCTGAGAGAATGGTTGTTGCTTTATCCTGACGCTTAAGAGACAAGAAAGAAAACATCACAGCCTAGACAGAAACAAAGTCCAAAGACGAAACGATGGTTGTGGCTACAAATAGAAAAGGAAGGAGAAGGCAAAGAATCTCAGTACAAAGAAGGACAGGGACAGGCCGGGAAATGGGCAGAGGAATGTTAGGACATGGAGTGGAAGGCTAAGGAGGACAGGGAGGGAGGCGGCAGAGACAGGAAGTATGGAGAAAGGAAGAGGAAGAAGGGCCCAGGACAGTGGATACAACATCTGAGGACCTGGAGGACACAGGAGGAGAAAGGGCAGAGGGAAGGGAACATGCGACCATGCCAAAGGGCTGATGTATGTTGCAGACATGTTCATCCTGACAAATTAAATAATAAAAGTGTTCTCCTTAGTCTAGAGGCCATTTTGAAATTCCCCATGGAAAACAGACTCAGGCTGGTGGCTGGGGAGCTGAGGGAGAGGAAATGAAAGGCCAGAGGGGATGGTGATGGTGATGGGGAATAGGGCTGGTCTCTGTGTCCAGATAAAGGGATGTCCTGTGGCTTTTTAGACAAGAGCTGGTGAACCAAGGCTGTGGCAGGACTTGAAGCCCAATGCCCCACGTGGTGTTTAAGGACCAATCGCTCACACCCCGACACACCCTTTCTCCACAGGTCCCTTTTCTAAACACCTTTACGTGACTCAGAGGAGACTGAACTGCTGTGACATTTACTAAGGCGTCTTAAAGAGTCCTGCTAAAATCTAGCTGGGGATCTGGGGTGTCACACAAACTATATGGGAGCAGATTATTTCTATTGCTCTCATTGCTCATGGTTCAGGCACTGTCAACAAAGGGCCAACAACAGGAGGGAGAAATTACTCTAAATCAGGCTGCTGTAAGCTGGCCCCAAAGTTTATCGGCCCCACGAGCTCTGTCTTTTCACATGTCGCAATTCTATCCGGAGAGGAAAGAGGAAACTGGTCCACACACTGACAGCGTGTGCTGCTGCTGCTGGCTATGAATGCAGCTACTGTTGCGACTGGAATGCGAGCTAACGGGACTATATTTTATTCATTCAGTTTGGGCCATTTTGCCATCATATGGAATGCTTGGGAATCAATGATGCTACAGGAATGTACATCCATATTTATGAGGCTGGATGCTGTCGTGTGGAAATGCCAAGTACATTGTATTCTGCAGCTTTTTGCACTGCCACTATCTAGAATTTCCCAGATTTTTTTTTCTGTAGCCATTTTTTTTTCAAATCATGTCCATGAGAGCAAACAGCAGAGGGGAAAAAAAAAGGTGATGTCTTCCTGAGCAAACTGCAGGTACTCCCATCACAAGAGTGAATTCTTTAAAAAAGCATATGGATTCAGGACACCTGTTCTAGGAAGAACTGGCCGAGATCAGGTGCTTTGCTTTCTGCCCTTGACGGCTGTATTAGATGTCAAAATCCTCAAACGTAGGATTTTGGAATTCTCAAGTGAAACCTACTTCAGTAGGCGACATTAGCTCCCCGGGACCGAGGCCCCCACCTACACCTGTGCCAAATAATCCGTGGGACACATAACCTAGGCATTTCCCGACAGAAGTGTGGCGCGGCTCTGGCAACCACCTGCGAGCATAGCCAGGCTTCCTCCGGCGTCACCAGCAGCTGGTACGTACCTCCCAGCTGGGTGTGACCTTCAGCAGAGAGGCTCTCTCCTCATCTGTGCTGCTTGGTAATGTCAAGGTCGTCGCAGCACAAATATCACCAAGGGCAACGCTTTTACAGCTACCATGGGCAGCGGTGAACAGGGACTTCACACAGACTCCAGGCTTTAAGGCCTGGAGGAGCCTTGGGGCTTGCCCATCACCTGCGCCTCCTTATTGTTCAAGTGGGGAAAGCGAGAGTCGCAGAGATTAAACAATTACGTGGCCCAAGGTCACAAGACCACATGGTGGCAGAGGCCTGACATCTTTTATTGCTGTGTCCTCTTACTCATTCGAGTGGTCATCCTACCAGCTGGAGCAAATGACTACGGACTGAGCCTTCAAAAGGGCGCTATTGTTTTAATCCCTATAACTGAGTGTTTATTCAAATTTGTTCTCACGTGCACATTTTTATACGCGGAAAAAATGTGCTCTTGTTCTTTTAAAAAGCTCAATATTTTGTCATGGTAAAGTGATGTTATTTAAGACAGGGAAGGGTAACTGTGCTGGATTGCTTTCTTCTATTAGTGGAGCCCTGCTAACAACTCCTGTGGGTGCAACAAGACAATTCTAGGTGCTGTGACATAAGTGGGCACTAGGGGGCAACCTTTCCAAATGCAAACACGGTCTACCCACGTTCATGAGTTCTAAGTGAATGCTGGACAGTCTCTTAAACTATTTTTTTTTTGTTAAATTTCATCACAAAAGAATATTTAAATAATTGTGGCTATCCATCTATCCAGAACATTCACTGTCAAATTGGTGTTATCCATTCCTTTCTCAAAAAAAAAAAAAAAAAAAAAAAAAAAAAAGAACATAGACATGTACACAATGACAGCTCCAGACAGAAAACCACACATGCCTCCGGGACAGCTAGACTCTCTCATTCCATGCTGGAGTCTAGGAGGAGGCTGTCTCCTGTGCTTCCTACTGGGCATCCACAGCAGCATAAGGTTGTCGTGGGAAATGCAAAGCATTCATGCAAGTGTATGAAGTCACTAGATTTGGGGGACTTACCAGGAACATACTGCTTAGGCGACTGAAAAATAAAACACAGTCTTTTGGGAGTGATTCAGTTAAACCTTAGGTCACTTAAAGACTAAAAATCCCTTTTGTTCTGACCGTGGTCCCCGTTTTCAGCCTCGAAGAGCATAGCCCCAGATATCCCCAAAGTCACTGTAGAGATCAGAGGAGGAGTCGGAGGCCAGAAGCAGAAGCAAAACTCAGCAGAGCTCATCTGCCAGTTCGCTGTCCAGATGAGACCCCTCACACTAAATACTCGTTCTGCTCTGCTCACCTTCCCTCTCCGCTGTGATAATTGTGTTGTCACTTCAGGGAAGGTGATGGTTTCATGTTTTACTAATTATGAGATCAAATTATCTAAACTCTTACCTTATTGTTAAAAAAAAGCCACGGCCCTTGCTCACATATTTTCTATTTTTTCCCAGTACTGCACAATTGCACGGCACATACTTAACAACCCTTAAATCCACTTTTTAAAGAGGGAGCGGTATGTGGTGAACGTTACAGAGCAGATATGTTGGCGCCCACGGGCCATTATCCACCTTTAAAGGGCTCTCGAAGCTCCTATGAACGGCAGCTATCTCATGGTCTGAAACCTGCACACCGTTTCTTTTAGAGAAAGGTTTATGAAAAGGCAGGGGCTCAGAACTGGCAGAGGGAAGTGGGTCCAAGTTCTCCCTGGCTATTCCTGTCCTCCCTCTTGGACCTGTGAATAGTGAGAGCTGGCTTCTTCAGAGTCAAGGAGTAGACACAGCCAGCAGGAACAAAGGGGAGTCTGGCTAGGAAGTGCTGGGGTTTGCGAGCCAGCCTGGGTAGGCTTTATGGGTGGACTGTGGCCCTTGGTCAGTGTGGCTCTAGGCGTAATGATCTGGGCAAGGCTCCAGGGTGTTGGCTGCTTCCTGGTTTGTCATACATCACCGTCCACCGACCATATGACCATAGGTCATAAAATATACAGCTTACGTTCAGAAGAAATGAGACCATGTGAAAAGAATAGCAAAGTTACTTTGGAGAGCTGGGATTAAAGGCATGTGCCGCCACGGCCAGCTCTTGTTGCCTTTTTTCTTCTCATCCATTCCTTGATCCAGTCACTGTTGTGGACATGTCGTCAGATGGGACTCAGCAACTCAGAGCTGTCTTGATCCAGACCTTCCCGCGAGCTATGCTCTAACCCACTCTTTTTTTTTTTTTTTTTTTTGGTTTTTCGAGACAGGATTTCTCTATGGCTTTGGAGCCTGTCCTGGAACTAGCTCTTGTAGACCAGGCTGGTCTCGAACTCACAGAGATCCGCCTGCCTCTGCCTCCCGAGTGCTGGGATTAAAGGCGTGCGCCACCACCGCCCGGCTTCTAACCCACTCTTTGTCTAATATGCTAGTGAAACAATTTGTTGAAGTTCTTAACTTCAGAATTATTATTTTTTTTTATCTCAAACCATCACTTATTTGTTTTTTAATAGATTCCAACTCAGAGCCCTCTGTCCAAAGTCTAGGGAGTCCCCAAGCACTCTCGTTTCAGAAGTACTTGCCTTGGCATTGCTTCCTGGTGAGGGAAATGCCCTACATAATGAGACTCCACAGTCTTTGTTCCTTTGACGTTTCCTGGGCCCATTATTTTAACGACATTCAGTATAGCAAGGTTTACTACACTTTCACTGTTAGGGAGTCACCAGCTGAGTCAACAGTAGGTAAGAAAACTGCCCTACCGCAGGGTGAAAGGAGGAACCTCTCAAGACAGGGTGGCTGGAAGCCACATTTACAGCTACCACAGAGCCTCGCCCCGCCCCATCCCCTGCTGGAGACTCACAGGATGGACTGCACAATGCGGCCTCTGTTGACAGCAGCTCCGGTACTTGGTGGTTGGGAGCTCTTTCCCACATGCAAGCCCAGGAGCTTATCTTAGGGACTTGTTCTGGTCAAACCAGAAGCGACAACTGGAGAGGAGAGGTGGGAGGACAAGCCGTGCGGGTGGGTACAGCAGGGCTAAGTGTGCCTCTCACGGGGGAAACTGAGTGGAGCACCAGATCTCAAAGCCTCTCCCCTGGAGCGACCCCAGGACCTCCCACTCCATCACTCAAGGACCGACCAGGGTCTTTTCCACTTCCCTCCTCTGCCTCTGATCTGCCCATCATCTCAAGCTGTCTTACCTGAAGAGTTTTGACTTTGCCCAGGATGTTGTCCTGTGACATTGCTTGAACTGTCTGCTCATTTTCTGCTCCCCCATCAGGGATAAAAATACTGTCATGGGAGAGGGCCCGTGCTCCCATAGAACGGGTGGAGGACCTGGAATGCAAACCACGTGCTTCGTTTTATTAGGATGATAAATGTCTTCTCCAGATTCAGTTCTCTGTTCTTCCTGACTCAAAGGGCTCTGCCCACATCGCCTATCTTATTCAGAAAGTCCTTTGACACCGTGGCCTTTCTACAGAGGGTCAGATGGGGAGCAGGGGAGATGAGAGGGTCCCGTGGGAATGGGGAATGTGGCTCTCTCACAATATTTCTCAGAACCACTCAGGGCAAGAACTTCAAGGGAGTGTTTCTTTGTTGAGCCAACGGCCCTGCTCAATTTTTAACCAGAAGACTTGCCCAGATGAGCTGTCCCTACTAGGTTTGTTCTGCAAAATCTTTCCAGCTGGTATTTATGAAGTGATACCCAGATCTGGAAGAGGTCAGAGTTTCTTTCTTGTCCAGTCAGACTGCAGTACTGGGGTAGAGCAAGGTTTTGGAAGAAGGGGCCATGAATGCCTGAAGATACAACCAAGGGGGAGGAATCCAGGTTGGAGCCCTTTTGACATGTTTTGTACACATAGAACATGGTATAGACTCACAGTTCACAGAAAACTGCTGTGGTTTGAATTCAGGGCTCCATGTACTGTAAGCTTGGTCCCCAGTGCAGCAATGTTAGGGAGTAATAAGACTTTTAAGGGGGAGCTCATTCTGGGCACTGTCCTCGGAAGGAATTCTCACAAGACTATAGCTCTCCCGAATGAGTAAGAAGAGGAAGCCCAGGCATTCCCCATACTCTGGCTTCCCTTCTACCCAGGGGACACAGAATGTAAGAAGCATCCACTTCTGGCTAGATGTGTCCTGCTGTGATGCCTTCCACGTTGACGTAATGTAACCAGCGGGGTCACGACCGGGGCTGGCGCCATGCTATTTGGGTTTTCAGCCTCTCAAAGTGAGCCAAACAAACTTTTCTATACACATCCTGGCTCGAGGAAGTCAGGTATTTTGTTAGAGTAATGGGCAATGGGGCTGGATGGAGCTCAGTTAGTAGAGGATTCAGGATGCACAGGGCCCTAGGCTTACTCTCTAGCATCAACAAGAAGAAAACAGATGCCTTTCCAGTTGCAGGGTTGCACCGGAGAGACGTCTGGACATCTCCCTGATGAGAGGCAGGAACAGTGGGAAACTCAGGAGAAGGAAGCCCCAGGAGATAGCCACTCCTTACTCGGGCAGACATAGCAGCTTGCCCTTCCTGTGGCAACGCAGAACATTTCCGAGGTGACACAGGCTGAGGAAGCAGCACTCCCCCCTTTCCTTAACGGGAGGTTCCCCGGAGACCAAGTGCAGGCAAGCGCAGGGTAAAGGTGACCTTCACCAGTCCCCCCATAATGTACTGCAGCTGGACTGCTCATCTACCCAGGTCTAGACGGAACTCAGAAGATTATGGCATTTAATTTACGGAATTGCAGGAAGCACGTTAAAGACCATCTGAGGTTCCGGGTGAGAGCCCGTGCGACCTTAGTTACGAACAAACAGCCATGCACTTGCAGTGTGATGAACCCGACTGGTGAGCGTTCGTTTCATCCTCTATTTACTCGTTGCCACCCTCGTCTTACTAGAGACGATGCCGCGGGTGAGGACCACATCCAAAGCCATTCCAGTCCAAGCAGTAGAGTATCCTCCTGAACGCAGCCCCACGCCAGCCAGTTGACATGCCTTTGGGACAGTTTTAGAGTGTGGCCATCCAAGAAGGACAGGGTGTATGGGGAAGGGAGGCAGGCAACATGTGCCAGGAAGGCTGGAGTCTCAAAAGGCTGAAGACATGAAGTCACTAGAATAACTGTTCCGCCTTCAGGAGAGTCGCTGGCCTACATAGGACAGCAGCTTCCTGTGTGAGCCATGATGCAGTCTTGTTTTTGGAAATACAAAGGGAAAAGAAAGCTCTCACCATCTCCCAGTCCTAAGTAATGTTATTCACATAGGTTAAAAAAAGTGAACTTCCAGTTTCATTCAATGGTGCCACAAACAAGGTTTTCAACCAATGGGGTTAAACCTTTCCCTGTTTTCTGTATTAAATTCAGACTTCTGGTTACAATTCAGATAAGAGAAGAATGATTCATTTCTACATAGTCTATGGAGCTTTTTATTTAAATTGTGTTTTTAGTGTGTATTTGTGCATGTGTGTGCACGCGTGTGACTCGTGGGTGGAGCCCAGAAGTCAGCCTGTGTTGTTGCTTCTCAGAAGCCACCCACCTTGTTTTCAGGGACACGGTCTCTCACTGGGACCTGCAGCCTGCCCGTTAGGTGAGGCTGGCTGGACGGTACACTCCAGGGATTCTCCTGTCTCCGCAGGGATGACATGAGAAGTGTGCGCCTCTAAACATGCCTTCTCAGGAGGGTGCTGGGTCCCAGATGCAGGTCCTCATGCATGCGTGGTTAGCACTTTCCCCGGCTTATCCATCTCCTAACCCTTGTACACGGCGCTTTTGCAAACAATTACATATATAAACAGGCCCTCAAATACTCATACCAGTATGTATGTGCCCACACATGGTTCCATGTTTAATGTTTAGTAAATTCCACTAATTTCTTACAGTTGTGTGTGCAGAGTACAATAAGGCCAAGCTAAATTCCATTTCAGTTGCCACGTCTGTCTTACCTGAGTCGCGAAGTTCTTAACATAGGTGTTCCTATTATTTTTGGTATGTAGGCTAGAAACTGGACCTTGTTTGCTTTACTGTGTTGGCCCCTGTTTTGATGTGGAAACACCCCTGCTTTTAGATGATTATATTAAAAGACAGATAAAGAATAAAAATACTAGTTGTCAAAATTATAGCAATTCTAAGAGGTACAGTGCTAATAGTAATTCTAGCTAAATACAGTAAGACATCACATCTTACTGTATGTATAGTTAAAAGTAATAAGACATTGTGTATGTGTATAGCTAAATACAATAAGACATCATATGTGTATGTGTGAGTGCGCCTATGTGTGTGTGCACATATATATGCAAACCTCTTTACTATAACATATAAATCCTCCTGCTGTAATATTTAAAACCGTTGTTTAGGAACTGATAATAAGCCTGCTTTTTAGATGAGAAAGAAACTAAAGCTCGAAGCCAGCCTGGTCTAAAGAGTTCCAGGATAGACCAAACCTACAGAGAAACCCTGTCTCGAAAAACTTAAAAAAAGAAAAAGGAACTAAAGCTCAAAGGCCTGTGGTGACCCTGGCCTCTGCTCCTTTCGTCTGCTCGTCTACTTTCATGGGCAGAAATAAGCCCACTCTGGCTGGGTGTGGTGACATACGTCCGTAATCCGGAACACAGAAGACAGGGGCAGAGTCATGAGAAGGAGCCACACACTGCAACCCTGCCTCAAAAACATGAAAAGAAATACAAACCCCACAACAACCAAACAAAACCCCAAAACAAAACAGAAATAAGCCCTTGCCCATTCTGTCTTAAGTTTGTGTCTAAGTTTTAATATCTAATTTGTTTTTCAGCTGTTTTATTTTTTTCTCCCAAGACGGCTATCCTGTCCCTTTGCATTTCTATATAAATTCAATCCTGTCCTCCCCTATTCTCTTCCTCCCCTGTGGGAGTGATTTCTTATTAATAAAGAAACTGCCTAGACCCATTTGATAGGCCAACCCTTAGGTAGGCGGAGTAAACAGAACGGAATGCTGGGAGAAAGAAGCTGAGTCAGGGAGTCGCCATGATTCTCCCACTCCAGACAGACACAGGTTAAGATCATTCCTGGTAAGCCAGCTCGTGGGCTACACAGATTAGTAGAAATGGGTTAGATCAATATGTAAAAGCTAGCCAATAAGAAACTGAAACTAATGGGTCAGACAGTGTTTAAAAGAATACAGTTTCCGTGTAATTATTTCGGGTAAAGCTATCCGGGTGGCGGGACACAGCCCGCCGCTCCGTATTTCAACAGAGTGGCACCCAACGTGCTAATGAACTCCACGTAAAACCTGAGAGGGCATAAAAAGGAGAGAGAGAGAATTTAAGACAGCTTTTTGCTGTTTGTGGGTTGCGTGCCGCAAAGAAATTGTCCTGACTCAGCAGCAGGAAAAAACTGGCTGTTTTAAAATGCCGGCTTTCTGGGCTGTGCCGCCATTGCGATCTCTGTCTGGCTCCTGTGGGAGACAGAGCTTTTGAATGGAGCATTTGGAGTAAACCTCTACGGCTTGCTTGATGGCAATGTGGACTGCTGTGTGCCTGGAACTGTGTGTGGTTCAGGGGCACCAAATGGCTCTGAGGCAGGAGCGGCTTGGCTCAGCTCTGCCATGCTGAACTGTGCTGGTCTCAGGCAGGAACTACCATAATTACCATAAAAACAGTGCATTTAAGGTTTCAACTGGGCAGGACACGGGCGGTACCGTATTACCTGTACATGGCGCAACTTAAGTTTTTAAGAACTGCTTAACATTTTAAGAAATGTTCCTGGATAGTAAAAAAATGTTACAGATTCACAATCAAACAGATTCAGACATAAAAGACCACACTGTTGGATGAATGTACATAGACTTGAGAGAGAGAAGAAAAAGAATATAGAAAATAAAGTTAATGGTTTAAAAAAAAAAGGTAAAGTCTTTAAAGAGACAGAGTACAGATAGTTAAGAGATTAAAAGAAATAAAGAAAAATAAGCCACATAAAAATGGAAAATTCACCGAGAGTCTGGATTATGTACATTGTGTTTTCTTTAAAATTTTTGACTGTGAAGGAGCTAAGTACAGAGAGACATTTCATTCTATGGGCTGCCAAGTGGAACCAAAATGGATATCATGAGGGTATGACTTCCGAATTTGGGTCTAAGGATATGATGCTTTGGAAAGGGTCTTCTTTTGTTTTCACAGAGGACCAGACCCTATGGATTGCATCTATCCCGATATGGTATGATAGACCACGACCTCCTGAAAATTTCCTGTGAACACCCTCAAAAAATTACTTCACTCAACTGGCAACTGAGATAAACCTGGCACACAGGTTACACCCTAAATGATCTGATTAACAGCGCCCCCATTCAGCAGGAAGCAGTTTGGAGAG